AGGGATAAAAAGTGGTAGTGCAGTTAAAATATCAGATTAAGATATAAATTTAGAGCCAACAATGAACAAATTGAAGTAGCTATTTTTACTACTTTCATGGAAATTTTCTCAAAATCGACTTTTCCATTTTCAGTTGTTTCTAATAGAGGGGAGTAATATCTATCAGATGTTTTTAAACCCGCGGAAAAATATTGTTCCTAGCCGAAATTATTGCTGGTCAAGGGTCAGCGCGTGTGTGTAATTGTATTGCGCAAGCGATTTTCGATCGCGTGCCCTGAAAATCGAGTCTAAAAATCTATATTCTCCCAAATTTTTTGAGCTATCACCCTGATACTTTCAGGATATGTTCTAGGGATCATTTAGAAGATAAGAGATGAGCCGGGCAGAATTTTGAGATGGGCCTTTAAAATTTTTTATTCGATTTTGAAAATCGTGGACCTCGTTTTTTGATGATTTTTCGTATATTGTTTGAATTTCTACATGATTTATGTATTCCTTAAAATGTCTCGATCACGTGATATGTGTAGAGTGATTATTCATCATTCTTCGTTGCATTCTTTATTTTGTGAGATTACCCAGTAAAGTAAAGTAAACCCACTTTATTATTAGGAGTTTAGTGATAAATGATACAAATCCATATCATTTGATTCATGTGGCTCTAGAAAACTTATAATTTCGTGTGGAATAAATGATGTTTAGAAACCTGCTGTTAAATCCCAGCTTGGTATATTATATGGTATTTTTAGTTTATTAGAATATTAAATTTAGCGGAGACAAGAAACTAATCCAAGTGCACAAATATTTCTTTGTCCGCTTTTGCCAACTAAGAATGCTGAGTTAAATAGAAAAGTGTTCTTTTTCATGGATCTTGTTCGTAAGGAGCTACTCCTTAAAATATTTCGTGCGCAAATGTTCGGTAGTTTTGACGTCTTTCTGGGTAACAATGGCTTACTCAGCCAGTTGTTGTCCAAGGACTTGGGTAGAAACGGACGACCAGACTTCTTGCACCTGAATTGGAAAGGGTAGCTGTGCCTCATTTATACTGTTTGCAAGTGATTAATGATTATTACTGTTTCAATCAATTTGAATTTTACACGTCTAGCTGAGACAACCAACCAGCTTTTGGTGTTATGAGTCTATATAATATGATTTGATTTGTGAATAAAGACCTAGAAATTTAATTTGTGTTTTCTTAAATTTTTGTTTTCTTTAGCACAATCTCTTATCTAGGTCCCCGATGCCCATTCCATACCCTGACTCTCTACTCTGACCCCAACGCTAACCCTGCAGTAATTTAACACTCTCGAACCCAGTATAAGCTGTTCACAGATCATCAATGTTAAGGAGTTCCACTTTGGCTGTGTTCAAACCATATTTTCACATTGATTTCGTAGCACCTTCCTGAGGCTCACAATGTTGATTTCAAAACGCTATATGCACTTGCAAAACGCTCATTTTCACGTTCAAAAGTTGTTTTTAACCAGAGCTTTTTGATAAAATTTGTGCTAGTTGTAGTTTTTGCGCTGTTCTGTGCTTTTCTTGCTACTACCACTTTTTTCAATCTTATTATTTAAAATTTCAATTAGATGATTTGTACAATTAGATGATTTGTACAATCTCACTTAAATTTCTGTTCACTAGTTTGGGGCTTTGCTGCAAAATCCCATATTCACTCACTTTTCACTAAACAAAATCAGGGAATACAAGCAGTTATGTGGGGCTACGTGAATTATTATTACAAGGACGGTAAGCTTCCGGATCATACTAAAACTACGTTTAAAGAGTACGAAATATTATCTGTACACGGGGTCATCATAAAAAATGCTCTGACTCTGATGCACAAATTACATGCCTGGCCTTCGGCCGTCGTCGATAAAAGACTTATTTCCTCCCGATATACCAAAGTATGGCACGTCTTATGACGACAATATCGACTGGCTAACAACGTACTCTCAACCAGATCTACGCGCTAGTGTTCTGTATAAAGGTCCTATATTAGCTATCATACCGAGCACAACATTAGTCACATAACTTGCCCATCTAGCATTTTCTCAATAAGCATTTATAAGAAATCAGCAAATCGTGTAATGATAGAACTACAAAGCTCAGGAAACGATGAAGAATGGCCACCTTTTCTGTTACATAATTTACCCGGGCTACGTAAATCAGCTAGATCAGGCACTCAACAAATCAACTACCGAGAATAACCTAAGGAATAAGTGAAACCAGACGGTTAGCACACTAGTCACTATCAACCATATGCCACATTTTATACTGCCCATTCACTGTCATATTCAGTTAAACAAAAAATTTCAGTTAAACAAAAATTTCAATTTTATGCCATTTATTACAGATTAAACAAGTTTACAATAAATCAATTTGATATTTAACGGAATCCTAATTCAATGTGCAGTATGGTTGTCACTCTTTAAATAGATTAGATATAGGTTGACGGGGCAAAGGAGTGTGCGTGCTGTTCGCTATTGCTCACACCAAACGGCAACCTAGTAAATGTTTTGTATGAACCGGTCTCCATCACGACACAAAATTAGGATTGTAGAATTTATTGTATAACTATTAGTGCAGTGGAGGTAGCGGTGTGGTGCATTAATAGAGTGACAGCCTACTGATTTAGAGTTGTTTTTAAGTGAGCATAATGGGTGTATTTTTGGATCTAATGGCAACTTTAAAATTTGTTCTTTTAATCATTTATTAAATATCAGTTTAAAAATATATAAATCTGGAATCTGTTCACTCTGTGAACCAGTCCTAAAAAAATTCCAAAAACCCTCCTAAATTAAATATTAAAAACGTCTCAGTAATGGAAATAGTCATACAATTAAGAAATTATCCAAATTCTTAATATCTACCTAAGAGAAAAATACCTACCTAAGTCAATTTCTACCTGTAATACACTAAATATTAGGTTAAATACATAGGTGGTGGAGTCAGCACACATTTACCAAAATCAAAATTGTTTAATAGGAGGAGCCTGTGGGCCGAGATCACTGGATTAAATTTGATGAAGGGGATTGTTTTCAAATGACAGCTGCTATTGATAGCGTCATATTGATAGCGCTAGCAGGTGCTGATTATAAGACATGGGCACAGTTATTCTTATTTGTTTTAACTTCAATTAAGAGCACTATACTGATACAGAGTACTATACCATCGACTCTGCACTGTCCACTAATCAGTAATCTGACACAAGTACTAGCTTATAAAACAGTGCATGTGATCATCTGTCGTATCAAATCAAATTATTTGTCACTATGTTAATAAATCATGATATGCAAGTTTTAATTTTTAAAGTTTTTTGTTTTTTTTAATGAATGGACGTAAAAGGTTACATAATAATTTTCAATTAAATTCATATTCACGTATACTGTATTAAATAAAATTATATTGTTATGTATCATATGATTTTGTAAACATTGGCCGGTGTACCAAAAACCGGTCCCCAAACAAACATGCTTTCTAATTCTGTATAATTTTCCTCAAACTCTGTCCAAGGAGGGCAGCACTTTCTAAAATTTGGTGGATTTTGGAGCCCAGAGCAGATCTTTTGAAAAAGAGCAAGCTCTATGTATGTACAGTGAGTGTTCAAAATTGTAGGTCTAAAACCGACATAGCACTACTTTGAACTATTTATTTCTTAGTATTGTCTTAAAGTTTTAAGATTGTTCTCTCCGTCAATGACATTTGACAACCTAGATAGTAAAAACTTTAAACAGAACCCCTAATGTCTGCTAACAATGTTTCTTATAGTCCTAATTTGAGCCTTGTCTCTAAAAACTTAACTGAACTAGCGTTTTGGTGTGTGCAAAAGCTCCCAGGCACGCGCATTCCTTGCCCCGTTAGTAACCTGTCCTTCCAAAACCAAACAAGCAGTCAAGGACAAAAAGTCATACACCAAATGGGCATTATATTTTATGAATTGTTTTACATCTTTTATTCTGTAAAATGTGCTAAAATTAAATTTCTTGTTTCATTGAAATTTCTTGTTTCATTGAACCAACACATCTCCACTATTGTCAACTTCGCAAACTGCACCAAACGCTTAATTGTGCCGAGGAGCTGGACCAGACCGGTGTGATATAGCGACTACTCACATGTCGTCTTAGCTCACCTTTCTCTTCCACACCCAGCTGGCACTTAAGCGTTCATTTAGGACACATCTCATAACACTTACCAGTTACCATCTTCCTCCAATATACATTATGATTCTTGCGGCACCCTCCCATAGGACTGATCCCATAGGACTTTACGGGCACAAAGAAGCATTATTAGCAATTTTGTCCTTTACCCTCCTACACAATTTGAACATTTTCGTGGCTAACTCATTGAACAACTTCTGACTTAATATGCATTTAGTATTAAACAATTCAGTGAGTTATCTTTTCATGTACGCGTACGCTGTACATTGTAGTTAGTAAATGCAAACCAAACTTTTTCGATCAGCCGCACGCTGAGCCAGTTTTGCAAGGTAAAAATTGTGTATATTTTGTACAATTTTGAGTGTAAATTAATTTATTAATTTATCACTTAAACATGTATCACAAATTATTTAATTATAATAAAACCATTTCTGTGACATGGTCATTTTGACTTTAAATATTTGAACTAAATATGATTGTGGGTATAAAATAAAATTTGTTTTACTTAAAAAAATGTGTTTTACTGCCATACCCCAGAGGTAGGCAAAGCATCCACATGCTATCCTCTCGTGGGCCACCCAGGCCCATCCTCGCCACAAAAATAGCACTACTTTGAACTATTTATCTCTTAGTATTGTCTTAAAGTTTTAAGATTGTTCTTAGTAATTTTCTTAAATTATTTTGATTTAGTCACTCAGATAGGTTTTATATCAGGACACTCAACAAGGAGCATATTTTCATTGCCAGGACACATATTCTGCCAACAATAAGGGTCCGTAATTATTTTGATCATGTTACTGTATTATAGATTTATTATTATTTTAAATTAGAATGTTTCGTAAAACTAATAAGCCAAATTATTGTAGATGATAGGAGAATGGTTGTTATTTTGTATGATTGGTTTGTCGACTAGTGAATTCGTAAATGTGATCCTGAAAGATGCCAGTTTCAAAGACGTTGGATTGTAAGTCTTTTAAGTGTAGTATAATTGTAATTCATGATCATACCCTTTATGATTTTGGGGGCCCCTGATTTTGGATATTTTTATATTGGTTTCTTAATTATCATCATTTGACATTTAACACTATCAATTATCATATCATATACTACTTACCTTTCTAGAAATTTAGTCAAGTTCTTTAACATGTTGCCAAAATTAGAATAGATATATCAAACAAAAACCGAACCACAGCTCTAGCTATACTATACTAAGAAAATGAGTGGAAAATATAATGGAGGTCTCCTTCATAAATGTTTTTATAGACATTTAAAACCGTTTCAATGTCTCGTGTACACCCTGTACATGATATATTATCTTTCTGCTAATCAAATTACATAATCTACATTAAAACCAATTTAGATATGCAGGACAAGGTTATAAATTGATTTAAAAACATTTTTTTCTGTTTCAGAATCAATGGAGTTGTAATACCACCAACAGAACGCTATAATTTGCCTGAAGAAACTGGAAAAATTGTTCCTATCGAATTTGGTGGATTTGGGGAATCGGGATTAGACAAGCTTTCAATGTGTCAAACAGGGGGATGCATACCCATTATAGTTATCAACAAAGACGCTCGCTATTCCAATAGCACTGTAAGTTTAAAGTTTATGAAGACTGAGTTTAAACAATGTTGTTTTCATCAAACAAATGACAAATCAGTTGCTCTGCTAATACTCATATTTAGTATTCATTTTTTGAAGGATAATACAATTTTTCAGATGGCTCAATTGAATAGGATAGCTGATATCGTTATCATAGGCTTTGAAGCCTCTCCAGATAAATTCAATCAGGTATTTAAACGTTTATATTGACCAGTGGATGAATAATTCATTCAATTAATTGTGATTCAATCACATAATACTGTATGAAGATTTCTAATATATATAATGACAGTCACTAGCCAGACTGATCAAATGCATAATCAGTCTGTTTGAGATTATGCCAGCAAACATGAACTAATCATTGCACTGACCCTCATGGAAATGCTATTGTCATTTTGATTCGTAACATACTGACTAGTCATTCACTACTGATACTGACTATCCTCCCTTCAAGGGCTCATGGGAGCACATAAAAGATACACCTCTCGCTCTGATAGAATATAGTGATGCCAAGACAGCTAATCTCATGGTTAAGAAAGGTGTTGTTACATACGCATCTATATCTGCATACACTAACCATATGAAGGTAAGATTAAACTATTTCTTTATTTGCTGTAGGTATCCGTATCTGTTCAGAGCACGGTTAGAAGTTCATGTATAAATTTTCGCAAGCAAAGTATTTTTCCGTTTTTGTAAAGAAGAAACCAGAGATTAGCCTCTCAAGCTTACATCAAATGATGCTGCTAATGATTTAATTTACTGTGTGGTTTGAATGAGGCCACCCACAGACCGACAGACAGACACACAGACAGCTGTGATATGTCGCACTTTTCCTACCTGGATACAATTGTTGTTAATCAAATAGTCGATACACTGTGCATCTCAGAACTAACAGCGAGATTTTATTGCAGAAACTATTGCACGGGAATATTATGAGCATATTATTATTATTAATAACATGCTAGATGTTATGTTAATATGCGTGTGTAATAATTTGAAATATTTCCTGACGCTAATTTCACTAAACACTCACAGAGACGGGAACATTTTATGAAGCTTGGAGTGCTATTCCTTGTTTTCGCCTCCGCTTGCTTTATTCTCGCCATGCGGGTAAGTCTACACTCTACAGCATCCTAATTTTCTTGCTTCCTTTTCACTAATTAATGGCATTCATTAGATATAATATATCGCATCATCAATATCTCAGTTAATACAGTTAATACATTACCGCGCCTGTAATCTGTATGTAATAATGCCAAGAATGTATTGTTACACACTGTTGTTATAATATAGTTATAAACATAACTCCATTATATCATGAAATGATGTCGAAATGTTAGCTGTTTATCTTATATACGGCATAATTGTTTGTAACAATGTACCTTTGAAGAGACTGAACTTTCAGCAAATTAATTTGTTGAATAAATGGGCATAAAAACATACAAGTTTAACGAACATTCTAAACATGCACCTTTAAAAAAACTACACTTTGAGCTAGCTAATTTATTGATTAAACGACCATAAAAGTTAAACGGCGCCTGTTCTTGAACATTTTAGATTTAAAGTAGTTGATAGTATATAAATATCTTTTAATAGTGTAATGTAATAAATTGTGATTTAGGGTAATTATTGTGTTAGACAAGGTCACCGAGCCAATGTAATTAGTGTTCAGTATAATATATTTAAAACAAATGAAACATGGGGGTGGGTGCAGGCCAGGAACTATCTCTTGTTGCTCAGTCTGCTATTGTTAATAACAACACTTTGGTATGTCATGTACTAATTGCACTGCTGTTAAAATGACTGTAATTAACCTTGGTGTGGTTGGTTTACACATTAATTTACAACATGTGCCAAATTAAACCCTCCCACAAAAAACCTCCAAATTAACAATTTCAAAACATTAAAACCGCAGATCAGATCATAATGTACATTTAACTTTATAATGTTGATATATATAAGTGTAGTACATTACACCCGCATAAGTAGATTGTAAAGACTGCCGCCTCAGTGGGCACACCTAAACCAGGTGTTCAACATTTCAACAGCATCATACCACACTGCTCTGAAATATAGCACGGTTATTGTCAGCAATGTTGTTGGATCTTATTACTGGATCGGCACTAACGCCATAAAACAACATACAACGTTCAATTTAGCCACAATATAAGATGGTATACTTCATGTACCTACATACCAGTAATCAGTATCATAGATATTATGATAAAACTAACTAAACACGTCTCAGAAAAACATTCGTCTTTGCTAACAACCGCCTCCCTGCTCCCAGGTCCGAGCACAGAGAAGTATATACGTGATCAGGCGACATGCTCAACAGGTAACACTTTTTAGCCGCGTGTACGTGTTATATGATTAGTACGTGCTTTTAGCAGATCTCAGATTATTGATGATATTATGATTATTTAATTATGCAATTACAATAACATTTAATTAAAGTCATCATGTTTTAAATACCCGGTTCAAAATGTTCTCATAACTTCGTACTTTCTGAAGGGATGGTTATACTAAATGTGAGATATAGTTCACTTTGAGTTTAGTGAGTGTAATGTGTAAGTATTCTGAAGGAAATTTCTGCCATAGACGGCCTTAATGCGACTAGTTGGGGGTAGTGTGAATAACATATTCTATATTTATAGCACTGTAATACATTGCTTATAAATCATGCAGTTCATGGAATGTATCCCGAGAATTTGTCATCATGGCAACAAGATCCCTTTTGGACATCAAATCAACATGACGTACTGAACATAATTACGTTGCAAGATGTAAATTTATCAATTCCTCGCATGGACCGCAAAAATGTCCGGTATTTTGAGAATTTCGGTTTCACTGTAAATAAGTTTTGCCATACCAAACATCTCTGTAACAAACAGTGCATAATTTGGATTTATTTCAGAATATGAAAGAGCGTAAAGCAAAACAGAAGGTAGCTCAGCTCCCTACCAGAATTCTGAAGATAAACGAGCCCTCGTCTGAGTGTACCATTTGTTTGGAGGAGAAAAAGTTCCCGTCGGTATGTGTCATTTAATGTTTTTAGTACGTGTCATTTAATGTTATTTCAATAATTATTACTTCTACAGTAAAACCCCGATTGTTTCTAGATCGATTCCATTCCACAATACCTAGTGATTTAACATTTACAACTTGGCATTAACCTATAGAGTATAGATCTCAGTATAACCTTATTACTGACTTGTAGTAACTGCACATTCCACATCAATCAACATTTGAACATGAACTTCCAATGAACTAATAAAAGAATTGAGTTATAACTCAATAGATAAATATACATTAATATAAATAAATATAGTTATATTAGGATTACTCTGTGCAGTAAATACATGCTGCAGTTATTTTTCTTTGATAAGGATGGTTGACCGTATTATAATTAATGATTGGCCGTGTTTGAATATTTTATACCAAACTCTTAAGACATTTTATGAGATAAATACACTCTCATATTATCGAAATACACTCTCATATTATCGAAATACACTCTCATATTATCGAAATACACTCTCACTGCCGTTTTAAAATTGTTAGCTCTCGTTATCGCACTGCTTATCTCTTGATAATTACACCGCTACTGCGCTGCTAGCTTGTTGTGCTGATCTTTACGATGGCAGATTTGGACTTGGAAAGTATCAATTACATGTGGAATGAGATGTTCACCTGGAGCAAAGAGACTCTGAAGAAATTTGGCAAGCCTTACGGAAAGTTAAAGGACATTGCGGACGCTAAGAACTTCAACAGACTGAATAAGCCGGAGATTGTCGATGTGTGTGGTCGATCTTTTGAGTACACGAACTATCTTATGGAGACCGTTGAAGCGTATAAGAATGTGTTGACCAGACTTCAGCGTCAGTTAATTGAGAAGCAAGAGCAGGTTATCAGTGTTCAGGCCGAGCTATCAGCTAGCTGATAGCAGCTTGCAAGACTGAGCAACTTGAAGCGATGAAGAAAACTGTTTCAAGTTCAGTTGCTGATTCAGTGAAAGCGGAGTTCCAATCTTACAGCTCAGTCGTTCAAAGTTTGCCAGCACAGTCTCCAGTAATCAGCCCGGAAGCATTGACGTCTGTAGTCAAAACTATTGTTGCAGAGGAGGACCGCAGCAGGAACCTTCTTATCTTCGGTCTGCCTGAGGAAAAAGAAGAGAAGCTCGAATCTCAAGTCAGTGAAGTTCTGGAAACTATTGGCATAAAGCCAAAAGTAGAGGCTCAGAGAATAGGAAAAAAGAAAACGGTTGACTCAACGCGACCAGTTAAAGTTATCACCTCAAACTCGCTCATCGTTAATCAGATTCTGAGGAATGCCAGGAACCTGCGGCAGAGTGAGAAGTTTAAGACAGTTTTCTTGAGCCCTGATCGGTCTGTCGAACAGAGGAAGCTCCGGAAAGATCTGGTACAGGACATGAAGAAGCGGGCACTTGCAGAACCGACCAAAAAGTTTTACATAAAGGACGGGCAAATTTATTGTGCCGATGAGAGCAACGGTTGACAACTTTTTTTGAGTCTGTGTTTCGTGTGCTGTTTTGATATGTTTTGGACCATGTTTGTGAGGGACATATTGGTAGCTGTAGTTATTTTCTATACAAGACTGAATAGTCTTCAGGCTTTAGCTGAGCTTTAATTTTCGACGCAGATTTGTTGAGCCACTAGTCCATGATGGGGAATATAAACAATATATTTAACTCTTAATGGTCATAGCTACTTTTAATTTCATGAATCATACAGATTTTAAAGTACGCTGGTACAATTTTTATCTTATTAAATTGCTGTTCAATATCTATTTTAGTAAACATTAACTGGGGTAGTAAAACCCAGTTCCCAATCAGAATATTAGCTAGGCCCAGGCCATATCACTGACCTTTAATTTTATGTCCTGTATCTGACTGAAAAGCCGCACAATGTTTTGAGTATACGAGGTTTGTGATGTTATTTGGGTTTATTGGGGTCTATAGATCAAAAAAAATTTGGGTAGACAAAAAGTTATGTGTCCACCAGGTCTGTGGCCACGCCCTTTTATATGATCGTGGGAAAATCTTACCTTTTCCTAATATAAATTCATATTTGCTCAATCAAAGCAAGTAGGGTATCAAAACTAATGTCCTTTGACCCAAGAAATCGATTGGTGACATCTATTTGACTTTCAGACCACTCCCAGATAAGATAACCACGCCCATAAATTACAATTGAGCGTAAAAATTTCCAAAAATGTAAGCAATTTTTTTGGGCAAGTTGGGTGTTGAGACCTATGTTTTTTGACCCAAGAAATCGATTGGTGACATCTATTCGACATTCAGACCACTCCCAGATAAGATAACCACGCCCATATTTACAATCGAGCGCCAAGAATTCCCAAATACTCATATTATGGATCTGAAGACATTCCCACTTCCGGCCCGGGGTTTGAGACTTGGAATAGCTCAAGTGACCCATCAGAAACAAATATGGCCTGGGTAGAAATTGTTACTATGGTGCAGTTTTGCGCAATTGACCACGCCCTTTTTTTGGCACTTTTGCGACTTTAAAATCAAAATAACTCCGCTTCTAATTGGAATTTAAAGCTCAACTTGGCTTTGAAGTTGTTCAGAATCATCACATTTAGGGGGGTAGAGCATATTTCTAAAGTCACTAGACATCAGGTTGTTGAGTTATGTGACCACACCCTTTTTTCTCTCGAGAGTCATAATTTGCACACTTAATACGAGATATCTCGGCTTCTGATTGAGCTAGGTGCTTATCCGGGGCATTAACTTGTTCAAAATCATCAGTTTAAGTAGGGTAGAGCATAATTTCAAAGTCCTCAAAGATCAGGTTGTTGAGTTTTTTGGCCAAAACCTATTTTTAAGCTCTTGCGAGTAGCAATTGCAGCGCTTAAAATTAAAATTACTCAGCTTCTGATTGAAGTTAGGAGCTAAACTCGGGCAGCAAAATGGTCAGAATTATGATATGGAGTGGGGTAGAACGTGGTTTCAAAGTCCTCAGACATCAGGTTGTTGAGGTATTAGGCCACACCCTATTCTTACGATATCGCGAGTAGCAATTGACACACTTAATACAAAATATATCGGCTTCTGATTGGAGTAAAGAGCTAAAATCGGGCAGCAAAATGGTCAGAATTATCATATTAAGTGGGGTTAAGCATAATTTAAAAGTCCTCAAACATCAGGTTGCTGAGGTTTTTGGCCAAAACCTATTTTAACGCTCTCGCCAGTAGCAATTATAGCACTTAAAATCAATATAACTCGGTTTCTGATCGGAGTTCGAAGCCAAGTGTCGACCGAGTCTTCGGCCTCGGCCTCGGTTTTACCGAGGAATAGCGATTTTTCCTCGGCCTCGGTCAGGCCTTGTTCGAAGCTGAATTTGGCCATTAACATGCTTATTATGTTCAGAACTATCACATTGAGAAGTGATCTCAAAGTCCTCTGGTATCAGGTTTATGAGTTAATAGACCATAACCTTTACGCGACCAAGACAAAGCTACTTGTCTATGTAGGGCCTGTCGTGATATCATGGATCGCTTAGGTTCCACCAGGATCTGGTAGTCCTCATAATTCTGCGGCCTCTATGTTTCGTCATCTCGCACAACTCTTTAAGAATCTTGTGGATTTGGCATGTGAAAATTTGCAGCCTTCCAGACATTGATATCACGACAGGCCCTATTGTCTATGTTACTGAAGGTAGTTGGGACAACCGACAAACTCTAAAGATGAACTGCGAACCTTGATGCGGGACAGGGATATATGGAGGGGGTTATCTGGCGTAGATCGGACTTAGTTCTGACATAGTAGTAGTAGTATTAGTAGTTTACGCATCTGTGATAACAGCATTTCATAATGAAATACTAAGATATCTCCGCTTCTGGTTGGAGTTGAGTGTTAATCTTGGACATTAAAATGATCAAAGCTTCGCATTGAATAGAGTACACAGACATCAGGTAGAACCATGATCTAGCCTCTACTCCCCTTACTGCTATAATTCTAAATATCTTCATGCCCAGGCTAAGCACCGAACTCCAATCAGAAGCCGAGATACCTTTTAATGAGTTTTGTAATTGTTGCAAGTAAGTGCTTAGAAATATGGTGTGGCCTAACAACTTAACAACCTGATGACTGAGGACTTTGAAACCTAACTTAATGTGATAATTCTGACCATTTTACTGCCCGAGTTTAGCTCCTAACTCCAATCAGAGGCTGAGTAATTTTAATTTTAAGCACTGCAATTGCTACTTGCAAGAGCGTAAAAATAGGTTTTGGCCAAAAACCTCAGCAACCTGATGTTTGAGGACTTTTAAATTATGCTTAACCCCACTTAATATGATAATTCTGACCATTTTGCTGCCCGAGTTTAGCTCTTTACTCCAATCAGAAGCCGATATATTTTGTATTAAGTGTGTCAATTGCTACTCGCGATATCGTAAGAATAGGGTGTGGCCTAATACCTCAACAACCTGATGTCTGAGGACTTTGAAACCACGTTCTACCCCACTCCATATCATAATTCTGACCATTTTGCTGCCCGAGTTTAGCTCCTAACTTCAATCAGAAGCTGAGTAATTTTAATTTTAAGCGCTGCAATTGCTACTCGCAAGAGCGTAAAAATAGGTTTTGGCCAAAAAACTCAACAACCTGATCTTTGAGGACTTTGAAATTATGCTCTACCCTACTTAAACTGATGATTTTGAACAAGTTAATGCCCCGGATAAGCACCTAGCTCAATCAGAAGCCGAGATATCTGGTATTTAGTGTGCAAATTATGACTCTCGAGAGAAAAAAAGGGTGTGGTCATATAACTCAACAACCTGATGTCTAGTGACTTTAGAAATATGCTCTACCCCCCTAAATGTGATGATTCTGAACAACTTTAAAGCCAAGTTGAGCTTTAAATTCCAATTAGAAGCGGAGTTATTTTGATTTTAAAGTCGCAAAAGTGCCAAAAAAAGGGCGTGGTCAATTGCGCAAAACTGCACCATAGTAACAATTTCTACCCAGGCCATATTTGTTTCTGATGGGTCACTTGAGCTATTCCAAGTCTCAAACCCCGGGCCGGAAGTTATATAGACGGGAATGTCTTCAGATCCATATGAGTATTTGGGAATTCTTGGCGCTCGATTGTAAATATGGGCGTGGTTATCTTATCTGGGAGTGGTCTGAAAGTCAAATAGATGTCACCAATCGATTTCTTGGGTCAAAAAACATAGGTCTCAACACCCAACTTGCCCAAAAAATTGCTTACATTTTTGGAAATTTTTACGCTCAATTGTAAATATGGGCGTGGTTATCTTATCTGGGAGTGGTCTGAAAGTCAAATAGATGTCACCAATCGATTTCTTGGGTCAAAAAACATTAGTTTTGATACCATACTTGCTTTGATTGAGCAAATATGAATTTATACTAGGAAAAGGTAAGATTTTCCCACGATCATATAAAAGGGCGTGGCCACAGACCTGGTGGACACATAACTTTTTGTCTACCCAAATTTTTTTTGATCTATAGACCCCAATAAACCCAAATAACATCACAAACCTCGTATACTCAAAACATTGTGCGGCTTTTCAGTCAGATACTTGATAATATATCATTCTGAATTACGCAAATAATGTTGCGTGTGAGTAGTGAATTCTGGGCTGAGAAATATCCCGAGAAACATTACACAGATAGAAAAGGCGATATATGAAACTTGTAATCGCTTCCTACACTGTACAGTGTACAATCTTTCCTAGAAATATTTGAATTGATTCAGGTAATACAATAATCATACCTATAAAACTATGTGGCCCCCTCGTACTGAAGTATCTCCTTAACTTACTGTAACATTTTGATGATGTCTCCAGACTATCACCTGATGTAGGCAGTAAAGGACCGATCAGCCGATAACTCTAAAATCTGAAATGAAACTTAGAATTATAATCGAAAGGGAAAGCTTGTGGATATAAATTTTTATCCGTCTCCTTTGGGGTTGTTTCCTCCGCCCTATATGGTGTTTTCAGTACAACAATTAAAACAAGGATTTGAAGTACTTTGCCAACAGGATTTGGGCTGGCTGGTCTAATACAAATTGTTAAAATTTTGATGCTATTAAAATAAGTTCAACTTTCCACATTTTGGCTTGCCCGATTCATTATCAGATCAGCACGAAAATTGTATTGTCAATACATGAAACATTAACGTGCAGCACGTACAGCAAACAGTGTGTGTTCATGTTAATTAACACTGTTATTGTGTAACTCAATATTCTCATTTGTGACGAGCTGTGTACCTGTGTAACGGAGCTGTATAGTTGGAGTTGTGCCAAGTTATACTCCTCCTCCTCACATTTCAATATAACTCATTTCACGCAAAACATAATGTAGTGTCAAACCCTGTAGTGTGCACACTGTTATATATAACATATATATATATATGTTAGACCATAATATATTACATTATCTCATACCGTGTAGTGTCGATACTGGGTGTGTGATTTGAAAGGATCTCTTTTCCTCAGACTTTTCCTCAGACCCTACCTCATCTTCCATGCCGTACCAACCTGCAACAAACGTGATAATAGTCCAATGAGATGGTAAGGTCACGTCATCTGAGTGTTGATTTGGTGTTCTTTGCACGAGCACTGTACAGAGCTGTACAGTTGGAGAGATTCAAGTGAGAGGAGTCTGTCGACGTCATACGGTGCACTGCACGTGACACTGCAATCACGTGACACTGCAGTCACGTGACACTAAGCTGCAGAGCTGCAGTCTCACTTTAGTGTGAGTGTAAACTATTAGCCGGGTTTTATAATAAGAAGTCGCACTTTGCTGGTCTCATTTATTGGCGCCCTCAGTCACACCCTCCACAACAATTATTTCATCTCAACTTCATACCTAGTCACACCCTCCTCAGTACTTGTTCCACATTTACTTCACTCTCTGTAGCAAATGTTCCTCCTTATCTTTGCCCTCACCCTGAGGTGCTTATCTATCGGATGAAGAATTTCGATGGGGCCGGAATCATATCCACTATCCAGAACAAAGGTTCCAGAATGAAGGTTCCAGAATGAAGGTTCCAGAATAAAGGTTCCAGTTGATTACTGTTCAATGTTCATTGTTTCAACTTTACTTCGCTCGACTTGTGCTGCTAATCTACGGGAATCAGGATTTCACTCAAACCACCGCCTAAACTAATGTTTCAATCGGGCCGGATTTAGGAGCCAAACTGAAATTTCAATTAGGACGGAATAATATCCATATAATTTAGATGACGTATTTTATGCGAAGTACGTGCTAAGATGATGTAACTGTGATGTTAATCGTTCTAATAAAGTTGACGGCTTTTCACTCAACCTACCTTTGAACTGTCTGCAGTCTGGTCCTCGTTTTCCTGCATTCTTTCCACGTGAGGTTTTAGTGCGAGACTCGTTGAAATGGAACGATAAGTTCGGCGTGCAATCGGGCTATTAAATTGTTTCACATCGTGACTCGTGTATCATGTTCTACTTACATTCTCTCTCAAGTCTGCCGACCCGGATGAATAGAAATTGTGAATCATTCATTTTAATGTCACTAATTCCCGGGGCAGGGCCGAGTTGGAACTACATGTTGTGATTACGTCATGGATAAGTTACGTGACTCATTACAATGCCCAGCCGCTGCACCGTAAAACTAAAGATTTCACGTGTCTAGAAATGTGTCTGATGATGAGTTTATAATGCACTCCCATTCGACAAAGAGATCTCTCAAAGGGTGCATCTGAGCCGTTCCGTGCAAAAGTATTTAATTAATATTGGTGGTCTATTTTAAAGTGATGGTCTACATATAACGTACAGTGATGGCATATATATTTAAAAGTAATGGTAATGTTTCACGCGGAGTAGTGTATGACGTTGTGTTGGACATCAGTGCTTAGTACATAATGGGGCATTAAGTTATGGAAGTTGGATGTAAACGCTAAGTTATTAGTCGTGAACTAATGGAAGTTGGATGTCACTGACGATTTGGTGCCTTGATTTAACCGTACTTTTTACTGTGATCTTTTAGTGCCACTGATATTGGGTGTCGCCAATATGAGTGTCACTGATATTGGGTGTCACCAATATGAGTGTTACACCAAAACTAAGGAAATGTAACATACACTACTCTGGCTTCGTGGCGCGAAGGTTCCCTTTTGTTGCCGCATTGTCACTAGTGACATACCTACAGCCCGGATGAAATACCTATTAAATCACTCTCAGAGATAATATTAAATATCACCGTCCCCTGCTGATTAGAGAAATATTTCGTGGATGTTCATTTAATTTTCACGCTCTGGCGTCACCATTGTTAACATGGTGAAATATCAATCTCATTTTTGTTGCTTACTAATGGGTAAAAGCCTGAGATATTAAATGAAATGTTGGTTAAGTGAGACAAAGTCAGGACATTGTGTTGGTAGTGGTCCCACTAGAAGAAATAAAAGCAATCACACTAAATTAGGACAAACTTTTAATCATTTATTACATATTAATGTAGCTCCGACATTTTCACAATAACGTGTTCAAGGAGGAGCTTCACACTCCACCCGATCCTAACTACGCCGACATTCTATTTTTAGAACTTCAATAGTAGTGACCCAACAGTACAGTAGTTAAGTTTTAACTAACTGTTAGTAAAATCTACAACTGCAACATACTATAACTTATTATATGGTCAGTTAGTTTACTGCGACACCACAGTGTCACCCTGTCAGAAGTTCTAATATACTATTCACTGAAGCACCCTGTCAGAAGTACTCATGTATAATACCGAAATATGTGTTTAAAAAGGCACAACATGTCCCGAGTTAAGTAGGGTGCAACACTTAACTGAATTATAACCTTCATAACGACAATTGATTATCGTACACCCCCTTACACAATTCAACTTTAAAAGGTTCGTGACAATTATTATAGTGTAGGGTATTTTATTATTAGGAATTTAGGAACCAACATGACATAACAACAATTTTAACAATTTTTTGTGACAATGATACCTGGCACCTGCTATTTATAAGTAGGTAGATGACAAGTGAGAGTGAAGTGACACTGTACTGTTAACAAAGTGAAAGTGAAATATAACGTTACCATTGTTTAAGAAAGTGAAAGTGAAATATAACATTAACATTGTTTAAGAAAGTGAAAGTGAATTATAACACCAACATTGTTTCAGAAAGTTAAAGTGTTGCAATGTGGTCACGAGTACCATGACCCCTGTATAACACCTTGGCTTGTATCTCACGGTACATGTCCCCTCTGCAAATATAACGTCCTCGACGGTAAGCAATCTTTATCATCCACAGTACCTACTATAATATAATAAAATATATTATAATACTCAATATACATAACCTTATATAATTATATAATATATATACTCAGTGATCTCAATTATACCTTTGTAAGAGTATTTGAGTTTTCTTTGATCCTAAAAGTTATACTTTACTAAGAGTAGTTATGGGCTATATCCCAATATCCCGTGATGCTCGAGATCACTTAACTCACCTTCTAGTCAGAATCATAGTGCAACTTTCCAGATGTAACTTTTAAGAAAGTGATCGACATAATTAAAAAATCTTCGGTACTGGAAGCATCGATTTATCCAGAATATATCATACACGCAAATTATAAGTGGGTATTGCAATTTCTTAGATTCAATACCTTACGACATACCTTACAATTTACTTAATGCATACCTTACATACCTTACGAGACATATTTATGTTCGACATAATTTCGGTGACCTAAATGATTTGGGAACGAAAATATGGGAATTTTTACCGAAAACCGCCACATTTCGTACCCCAAATTAAATCGAATGGTATTTTATTTGGGGATTTTTTCATCTCCTTATTTAAAAAAAATGAAACCCAATATTTGAGAAAATTAAATACAAAAATCTTCTCTGATCAGCATCTCGTAAACAATTTCTCTGGAGCCTTTGAAAGTTAGCCTCAACTTAACTTATAATACTCCAGAGGGTATAGGAGACCGACAGTGTTTGTTATCTTCCACTAATCCCGATATGTCACCGCTGTGGCCAATAAAGGAGTGACAGAGCTTGCTTATTTTTAATGGAACGTGTCCTAAATCATTTTAAAATCATTTCATGATCGAATTCTAGTGTTCATTAATTGTTTGATGAATCATATTTATAACTACTATATTGATAAGTTGATAGTAAATCGATAAATTCATAATTTTAAAAAATACGTGAAAAATAATTTGGGGAAAATAATGACGGTGATCTCAATTTTGGTAGTCCGAAAATATGGTGTTTTTTTCCCGAAAAACCACCGAATTTCGCAGAATTTAAATATGTCTCGTAAAGTAGTCAGGATGGAGAGTACAGACTACTGTGCACATGCTGATGACATATCTATTTTTAGCACTTAGCTGATTTTCTGAAAATAAATGTAAGAATTGCAGCTAATTCCACGTTTTTCTCAATTATGGGATATCTGATACACTATATTTTATAGTTGTTCTTTTGAGGGCAAAATAAACACGGACATAATGCCAAAGAAATAGGTTACAATGTCAGATTAAAATCCGAATAGTCTACATTAACGAGTTCATTCAAGTGCATGAACATCAAACAAATCCTTTAAATAACGAGAGCTATTGTTCATCAATGTGACAATAATAAGAAGGGGTATTTTGGAGGTTTCTGTAAAATATTATGTGCAATACACCCACGTTCTTTGTGAATGTTCTTGAATAATTTACTGAATTTAAAACATCAAGCTTATAGTCTCTTTTTTTATCCGATTTCTGTGAACCAAAGAACTTTTTGTATTATTAGGTATTCAAATTTCAATGATAAGCTGGTAACAAAGTCACTGTGTGCATTGCCGATAACAATTTTTCGTGGTACTTAAGGCGACAAATATTTTGAAATTATCGAATTCCGGTATAAACTCAAAGAATGTCGGCAGCTTTCACCAAAACAATCTTACCTGGTGAGACTCGCCACAGCGTTCAAATGTCGGCATCTGACCAAAGACTCATGAAATCACGCTGATGACTTGTTTAAAACCAAGAAATTAAAACAGGCTTCCAGTTCTAAGGATGTTGTTGTGTAGAGTACAACATTGATGAACAGTATTCCCTGCTGTACAGTATATAAGTTACTGAATATCATAGCTTTTCTAAGGAAACAATCGATTAAAATGAGACAGCAGTGTAATCGATTACACGGCGAGTATAATGGCTAATAAACAATTTTATTATGTTTGTTTGATCTTTATCATTCCGTTTGGCCAGCTCTTATCGTTACTGAAGCAAACTTTACCTATCAACTTTGTGGAAAAGATATAGTTGATAATTATCTCCGGGAATTATATCCCCGAAAAGTCGTGAACACTGGTAACTGATAATTTCCTGCAAGGGTTGTCAAAGTATTATCAGGACATACTGCGAGTCACCTCAGACTGGCTGGCGGGAAATTTCAAAACAAATAACAGTTGCGCACTATATAATATATATTACACATTAATGACACACAATGACTTGAACACTAGTTGTCACTGATGAGTGATGATATCATGGTTTTGTATCATGATTAAAACATTTGTCTGACTCAACCGGTCGTTTCAATTTGTATTACACACTATATACAGAAACCGAACAAAATTATAATAAATAAAACCATGGCTAAGTTTCGTGCACCGCAATCGCTCCGCCAAGGCGTCGGGAATTATCACGGGTAGCATTCAACAGTCAACAGCCAAGGTATTCTTTTATTATAGCTCCTTTAGAGCCACCGTTCAGTTGCAGGAATTTTATGCAAATTAGATATTTCGCAACTATTGACAGTTGCAACATCTCATAATTTGCATACAGAAATCAAGAAACTGTGCAGCAATTTGTGGTCACTTATTACCAACTATGCGGTTATAATGCGGCCAATTTTCAATAATGATGTGTGTGGGTGAATGTTTTCCAGGAGGTTTATTACAATACAATTATTACACATAGCATTGATATTAATTCACCGGGAGAAAACAAAAGACCTATTATATGTTACACAATCTTAATCGTCACAAGAAGTATTCAATCGCCAAGCATCATTGAGAAGGGTCCGTCTACTGCGAAGCACCGTTCCTTACACTCAGTACTTCATACTGACACGAGTCCACTTTAATACAAGTTATTTTATCCGTCTTAACTTGAGTTGACAAAGCTAATTTATTATTATGTCTGTATTATTGATTGTTCGACTTTTTATTTTTAGTTTTGCCAACTTTGATACTCAACTGACAGTTTCCACATAATACCGCCACATTATTTAACGAAAAATAACACCAGATCGTAGAGGCGAAGCAGAGGAATGTCAACGAGGAATGTCAGTAGATCCAGAGATGGGTATAATGAACCCAGGTGCTATTAGTAACGCCTCCTCAGACGACTCGATCCTATCTATTGGGTGAGCATGTTTCTACTTTCTCATTGTGTATACATTATGATATATACTGTTCACTTCTCCAGCTGCTCATGCTAATTGCTGTAACATAGGTTACACTGATGTAACCTATTGTTCAGTAGAATTGAAGTGTTCAAAAAGTTTTGTGTGTTTTCTATGACATACTGGATATCATCACGTATATAACTTGTAAAAGTTCAAGTCTGAACTTTAGTCTGGTCTGAGAGAATGGCTCATGAGAGATTACAGTACACATTGGAATTTTGCCAGTAAATTTCTGCTTGCACGATATAAGGTATAATATATCTTCTGGTCTTTGCTGTGGATGTGTAACAGCACTGCAATATATTGGATTATTATATATATAAAGATATAAGCACAGACTAGCTGTACCTTTTACTGTCATGCCACTGTCAGACATAGGCATTAGAGGTGTAGTCTGAAGTATTTGCTATCCCAGCGTGAAGTATTGTTTATTAAACACTGTGCAACTGTGTGGTTGAGATAAGCCGTTATACCGTGCTAAAGCTGAAAAACAGATGCCCTGTTTACAACTGATCTGCATTCTGCTGTATTAAAATTTAACTATCTGTACAGGTGATTGTAAGAACCCCCATTAGTTGTTCAGTCATTAGTCAAGGTGCTACTCCTACACGGTTTCGTATACTGCTATAATATTATAGAAGTATATAGTGTAGCAGGAAGGTTCGAACTGCACTCAATGTAAGAATTGAAAATGGACCAGTAAAGCACTAAAGTGATGTAAATGACCTGAGAAGCTTCAGCAGCTTCTTTATTGATTTGATATATTGGCCGTTGTTACTGTTTTATGGTAACTGACCATGTATGGTATTATTACTTGATGATACGGTGCCGTAGTGGCAGGGCTTTGTTCGTATTATGGTTCTACTTTTCTCATAAAAAGGGTGGAGCACGTAGCACGGTGTTTCATCACACTGAACCTTTTGTTACTCTAGATATATCATCTTGTAGGTGTTTCATCACACTGAACCTTTTGTTACTCTAGATATATCATCTTGTAGGTGTTTCATCACACTGAACCTTTCGTTACTCTAGATATATCATCTTGTAGGTGTTTCATCACACTGAACCTTTCGTTACTCTAGATATATCATCTTGTAGGTGTTTCATCACACTGAACCTTTTGTTACTCTAGATATATCATCTTGTAGGTGTTTCATCACACTGAACCTTTCGTTACTCTAGATATATCATCTTGTAGGTGTTTCATCACACTGAACCTTTTGTTACTCTAGATATATCATCTTGTAGGTGTTTCATCACACTGAACCTTTCGTTACTCTAGATATATCATCTTGTAGGTGTTTCATCACACTGAACCTTTTGTTACTCTAGATATATCATCTTGTAGGTGTTTCATCACACTGAACCTTTCGTTACTCTAGATATATCATCTTGTAGGTGTTTCATCACACTGAACCTTTTGTTACTCTAGATATATCATCTTGTAGGTGTTTCATCACACTGAACCTTTCGTTACTCTAGATATATCATCTTGTAGGTGTTTCATCACACTGAACCTTTTGTTACTCTAGATATATCATCTTGTAGGTGTTTCATCACACTGAACCTTTCGTTACTCTAGATATATCATCTTGTAGGTGTTTCATCACACTGAACCTTTCGTTACTCTAGATATATCATCTTGTAGGTGTTTCATCACACTGAACCTTTTGTTACTCTAGATATATCATCTTGTAGGTGTTTCATCACACTGAACCTTTCGTTACTCTAGATATATCATCTTGTAGGTGTTTCATCACACTGAACCTTTTGTTACTCTAGATATATCATCTTGTAGGTGTTTCATCACACTGAACCTTTTGTTACTCTAGATATATCATCTTGTAGGTGTTTCATCACACTGAACCTTTCGTTACTCTAGATATATCATCTTGGTTCAGCCCGATCAGATAACTATGATATTTTGTAATAAAGCGTAATCTCATCTTCCCACGACGTAGTTAAGATCTTGACAGGATAGATTTGATAACTTGTCCTACCGCCTGAGAACTTGTATCTCCCTGACGTTTCTACTAATTTGAGTTGAAATTGTCACTATATGAACTGGAACAGCCACTCAACCGGATAGTCGTATATAATGGTCTGGTAGGTATGGGAAGTATTGATTTCTCCTACAGGTTGGAAGCTACTTTTAATCAAAGGTATATTTCAGGTTGGGAGGGACACAGACTCCAGGAACTGTCAACCAAACAGCAGGTGCGTGACGGTGCCATTATTTATAAATCTACCTTATTTAGACATGTACTCTTGTTCCGTTTTGCAATATCCTAAGTAGGCATGCAAAAATAAAATCACATGTGAAATTATATAAATATAATATATACTATACGTGTATCCGTGGAGATTGGAATCGCGTGCAAGTACTTAAGGTGTCGCATTTTATGTGATTCAAAACGGACTGCCGACTTTTAAAGTTATTTACTATCGTTAAACACGAGCATTTCCCTTTTAAGGGTTGACAGGTTAATTAGTATCAATATAATTTGCGGGAAAATGTCGATCAAATGACGTCATCAAGATTCATTAAGATTAAAGAAAAACATTTCCTTTATAACACAGAATGTTGTTTATAACAGTGTAATCATGGGTGTAAAAGCAGTGTGGAAAGTTATTAAATAAGGGGCACTATATCAGGAGCCATGTATATTGTCAGTTTGACCTGGCCCTGACTTGCCTTTATATTCTCTAGTCGGTACCACTTTGTTGTAATACGTGACAGCTGCTTGCCCATTAAATTTGCCGATGCTGTAAGCTGATTGGATAATCACTGTCACGTGGCAAAACAAAGTTTACCGCCTCCGAGAAATGACAGCCAACTTCAACTACTAACAACACTGAGTTGTAGTTGCTCGCTTTTGCTGCAGACTAAAGTGACTCCAGCAAACTCTGTCACGCTTGCGAAAGTGTCTACCAAGTCTATGGCAGGGTTTACTAGCCGTGTACTATTGACTGCCACTAACTGAACGTTTTAGGTTGTCTGTCACGGACTATTCTGAGATTTAGACCCTCAAATAGACCCACCTTTAGCAGATATCCCCAGTCTACCACTTGTAGAATTAAATTCAGACTTTTTTAATTTTGAGATCAGGGTTAAAGTTAGTAGTAGTGAAGTAGTAGTACAGAGTTTGTGGCAGACTTAGAAGACTCTCAAAGTACCTCCAAATTGTCGCTCTAAAGTGCCTAACACTAATTTTAACCATTAAGGCTATCCCTATCCCGGTTCCCAACACTTACCCTATACCAAACCTTTATTCCGCTCCATACCCGATAGACACTTTATTTGACAAACAGTGGCTGTGGCCGCCTGGTAGTGTCTGTGGTAGATGTAATAGACTTGGCAGACAGTGAGACAGTAGTATGCTGTTTGTTTACTATTTAAGTATATAGTATCTACACATTATATAGATCTACATTTATTATTTGTTGGCCAGTGAGTATATTATATTATGAAGGTTAGTCTTATAGTTATGTACTGAATACTTGAAATTTGTCTCTAAGACGTGTACGTAAATTGGGTTGGGCTATTCATCAATGACGAATGAACTCTGATGATATCATATCATGGCTAAAACGGAACTCTAAAGTCAAAGCTTCCTATCCTATAGCTAGTTTTCGCCTAAATTGCCTTGGTAGCACACAATTTTCAAGCGCACATTTTGCGCGTATCCTGAGCTGCGCTGCATGTGCGCGCGCATTATAACTCTACTATTCCTGGTCTAGGTTATGCTTCACAACAAATTTCTGTGTTCTATAAATAAACTAGAATTGAAAACGACTAGTGCAAGTGATGTCCTTTGCCTCAGTTAGAATAGTCTATGGCATCGTTGAAATTCCCCATGAAGAAACCAGAGACCCATGATATCGTTTTCCAGCACCTAAAATATTAATTGTATTTTGTTACCAAGACGACTCCTCACACTTGTACGCTATTACTCCGTGCTGAGAACAAAAGGCTCTGACGACACAACACACGATAATATAATGGACCTATGTTTAAAGGCGTGATGTAAGTTATCTACTTACTTTGGTGATACTACATACAGTGTTACGGGAATTTGGTGCTACTAAGTGCTAGCTTACCACATGATGAATGTGGACATCACTTGTTAAACGTGATATATCATGTGTCAGCAGTGTTCTGTAGGCAGTAGGCTGTATTGTAGAACTAATATTGGCTAATCAGTCATAGTTACAATAGGATACTATATTAGAGCGGATTGTAGATAGTACACAGTTGTTTAGATAGACATGTGGCATTGTGACGTCATCATCATATAGGTCGGCAAATAAATATCTTTTAACAAACAGGAATTGTTATTAACTAACAGTCTACATACAAAATTTCAGTCTATCCTAGCTAAATTAATTCGATTAATTAATGTATCGTTAAGACAATTAGAAAAACCGCCCTTAATAACATTGCAAATTGCGGCGTATTTGGCACATGTTGCGGGCATAGTTTTCCTTCAACTAAGTTTTCTTGGAAATACATTTTTTACAAAATCAAACCTGGAGTTTTCCGGCTTTTAATGCCAATGAATAATCGAACGGGCATTTCAGCATAACCTCCGGTCATGTTATCTCCCGTTATTGAATTATTCACTTACAGAAATACAGAGGTTAATGAATCCTATCGATGAACCGGATAAGCATGCAATGGGAAAGTTTAATTAAGGAACCGCTGCGACGTCCTAATTTTTAATTTTAGAAATATCTCCTCCATAATCGATTAATGGTACCTGATTTTGCTTCTGTTATATGTGTTAATAGCGTGGTCTTTAGAATCTTCTCGAATTAAGTTAGGAACTTGTTATCTTAGTCCATGACCATTAGCCATGGGCTTTCTTTAATCATTACACACTACACAGCCGTGTTGTCATTTTGTTCCCCATCTATTATCAGTAAATTTGATAAGGTGTAGACTTAATAACAAGTGTTTTTACCGATCATCCTCACTATTAACACTATATGCTACATTTGATGCGAATGGAACTGTAACTATAGAGTCTAGACCACAACCTTGTGCATGATGGAACACTCTAGATTAAAAATACCGATTCATATAATACTAACATGACATCTTCATATAGCTTAGTGATGGAGCTAGCTACAAACCACCACGTTTACTTTCCCAGACCGCTCTCTCGTCACCAGTTAAAAGTAACCCAGAAATCTCACTTTAACCGGCGCAGGGCATCTGCAGATCTTGAAGAACGAGCTGGTATAGTTTGGGATAAAAGAGTTAAAGAAAACCCTCATCTGTTCAATGGGACGAAGTTTCGTTTTGCCGGACTATCAGTGACGTCAGGTGAGGTAGTGACACGTAAGGATCGTAAAGTAAACTTTGTACTTCCAGATCGCACGTCAGGATGTGATGTCGAACTGAAGACCGGTTTCAGCAACTACAAAGATTACACCTCCACCAACATGAGCGCTCTGGCCGAGGAGTTTAAAAAGCACGGCATGGACAAGTACAGTGATCCCCAAGCTTGTATGGCGGACATCATCGGTCACAGCGCACTGCTCATCACTTCCGACAACTTTGTTGTCATCCAGCTCAGATCTCAGACAGTGGGCGAGGGTGCAGGTATGTGGCACTTCCCTGGGGGGCACCCCGAACCGGAGGAGTTGGGAATATCTTGCAGTGAAGACATGGCTGAAACGGAGCCCGGCAAGATCGTCGACGAGATTTATGATAGTCTGTTGAGAGAGATGAAGGAAGAACTGAACCTATCTGAGGAGGACTTGAGTGACCCAATGTTGGTGGCGGTCGGTAAAGACAAGGAATCATACTACAAACCTGAGTTCAACTTCATGCTACATTCACGTCTGACTGCACAGCAGGTTTCAGAAAAATATTTTGCAGAGGATTTCTCGGATTGGGAATCAGATGACATTGGATTTTTGGATGTCAGGCAGCTTGATCTGACCGATAAACAGTGTGTCAATTTGTTCAAGTTTAAAAGTGATGAACCTGAGGTTGTTACCGTGAATGTTGAACAAATTGCTAACAGCTCACTTCAATTCTTGGAAAACTTGCATACTGCTATTAGTTATAATCCAAAACTTTTCAGTGTCTAGACCAATTTTATCATGAAACCATATTATTTATAACTATTACTCATAGACTTATCTGATATGAGAGATTAGCCAGAAATTTACAGTTTATGCCACATAGTTTTATATTTAGTCTTAGAAATTGTTTTGTGATGGAATCACGAAAAAAGTCACGTTTGTTAGAGCCATGAAATAACAACAAATAGGTATTTTATTGTCGGCATATTGAGAAAATGTATACCTTTTCGCGTTGAGTTGACAATTTTCACCGGCGTGTACATCTCGCTAGGCAATATATATAAATATGCAGTATGCACCCCAACTTTAAAACTTCAACAGCCATTTGATGACCGAAGTATGGATTTTTCGTCAATTTGTGAAGACTTTGAAGAATCATGTTCGGCCTGAACTGAACACTGCGAATTTTTGCGCTTCTAATTTCAGAATTTATCGGTTATATTCGATCATTTCTCTGCAGCACCTTCGGTTCCCAGATTAAGTTTCGTGTATGTGTTGAACATTGGCTTAAGTTATTAGTGTGCGTATTAAGACATTATGTTAAGACACATAATTTATATTTTAGCCGAGATTATCACGATGATCTGAACGATTTACTTCTTTAATTTGTATTACATAAGTTACACGGTTTAAACTGCCATTTTTTTGTTTAATGGTTGTCATCGCGACCTGAATTGATTTAGCAGAAATGTTCTTCACGTAATTTTTATCTGACTAGGATTTTAACTATATAAAAATGTAATGTACCTCTTCTGTTATTTTTCTTATTTAACCTATTTATTTCTATACGTCTGTGTTTAATTAATCTTAAATCAGTGCTGACCGGTAAACGAACTTTGCGTCACGCAACAATTAGGAGCGGTCTAGCTATAATTAACGGTGTTAATAGCTCGATTACTCTATAAAGTATAAATAGTTTATGTAACAAAAATGGAGTGTAGTCCGTTAATAATAGATGTAAATGGAAGATCATGTATTGTTTTGGAAATTCATAAGTTGAAGAAATGACAACTGGTATCTTGATTTCCTACTATTCGTATCCAGATCTATTTCTATTTGTCTCAAAGTCTATTCCATTTTAGTCTTGACACATTTCATAGTCTACTGTTAATAATCTCTCCTACGTCTGATTTCTGGCAGCTGATAAAGTTACATCTGCCGTAGCAGTAAGTTTAAATAACCTGAAGTATTATTATTCCTCATCTTAAAGTAACTTATGTATTTAAATGAGAGTTTCAGCAACTGTTAAATCTGGATCAGAACCAACCATTAAAACGCATTGAACTATGGCATCTAGAATATTCTCGACCACTTCTAGTAAAATCACACAGTGACTTAAGATGTAAGTTACTTCACCGTTTTTAGTCATGAACGTTCTGACGTGACACTGAATATGTGACATACGTTGACTCTCATGATAAGCGATCCCATAAAAATTCCAACCGTTAATGTTCATTTTTAAGATCCCACCTTGCCTCTCTCTTGTTCACGAATAGACATTCGAATGTACTGTTATGCAAGCTGGAACATCTCCGGATGCCAACCTAAGTACATTGTTGCATGCAATTAGTAATTTAATTTTCCAGGACGAACTTTGAGCACACTATTGATATAATATATACATCGTGTTGTTTGTTTTAACTCCAGCACCCGAGCCGAGGAAGTATGTAATTGCTCTTTGTAAAATGTACAATTATCCTCGTATTTCGTCTTAGCTGTGGCCCAAAAAACATCCACTCGTTCGTCACTATTTACCACACACGCAACCAAGGTAAATGATATTTTGCCATCTTTTAAAGTTGCCTGCATCTGGACAATGACATATTGCTTCTTTTAAATTTATCAGAATTTTTACAATAAAATACATAACAGTAAAATCCCGATTTACCGCAAACCCCAATTCAACCCCAAATTGTAATGTAAATCTGAACAATCGAAACCCTGATTTACCGCGGATTTTTCTTTTCCCCAAACTCCGCCGTATATCGGGTTGTTAGTTTTACTGTACTGCATTTTAAAAAGTTATCAGGATTTGAATGTACAGGTCGTTTTTCCTAACAATAGCAACAATTACGCAAATTGGTCTCTAGTTACCGTCTGTAAAGAAAATGCAAGTGCTAATGGCCAACTAATGTCGCAGATTTGGTTTATTTTCCGTTCTCGTCGTTTAATTTCCGCCTAAGTAGTGTTCTTTAGCGATATTTCTCGGAATGGTCTCGTCGGATTACCAATCTTCTAGTGCTTAGGTCGGCTTAGAACGGAGTGAATGTAATTGTGAAATGATCAGATTACGGAATTCTTGATATCACTATTTGTAGTTAGGTTAAACTATGTTTACATTTTTGTGTGATCGTCTCCCTTTTATTGACTTGTATCCTCTTTGCTCGTGATGAGTGACCGTTCCTTGTTTCAGATGAAGAGCCGAGTGCTGTGGCCGCCGGTGCGGAGCAGCGAAATCAGAGTAGCGCTTAGTGCTAGCTACTGCAGGCAGGTGGTGAGTAGCCACTACGAGACACTCATAGAGACCGCCTGGAAGGAGCAAGCGGAGGGGAGACTGTACTGTTCTCCCCTGTTCCGACTCCACGCCACCTCCCTACCAGGGGCTTGTTCACAATTCGAGTGTAGGGCGGGACTTACCTGCATGTGTGATGATGACAGTGTGTTGGTGGAGGACTTTAAAGAGATCGAACTGAGGGTGGGACTTACTAATACCCGGGAGAGCTCAATTACACGGCACTTATCTGCCGTGTCAAGTGACTTGGCGTACATTGGGTACGAACTGCACAAGAAACCGCAAATGTTTTTAGCAGACAGTATAGATATGCATGCTATATTTGTCACTAAGGACGCTCTTACACCCTTGGTGAAATCCCTGTCATCGGCTACTAACGGTGCTGTTGTTGAAAACGTTAGTCTGGATAGGACCAAGAGTAACGGGAGTCTGAGCAGTAAATCGGGGAGTGTGAGCAGCAAGACCTCACTCCGTGCCCCGACTATCATCCCTAAGTGGAGCCTGCCAACAGGACAGCCTGAACCTACTACCTGCAGTATCTTCTCTTACAAGGACCTTGTAACGAGGAATGTGAAGGAAGTACACAAGGAGATGGTTGAGAGCATGTTCAGGTTCCTTCGTGAGATGTTGGGGCTTAAAACTCCCTCCTCCGAACCCACCGCTCTCCTTGCCATACACTACGACAAGAAACACAACAACAAACCCGAGCTCGTATTCCTCCTCAAGTCAGGCCTGACCTCTATCGAGCTGGCGGACATTTTCAAAAAAAGTAAAGCCAAAAACTCGTACGAGCTTGCCTTCATCCAAAATGCAGATCTCAAGATTCCCTTCAACGAAAACGAACAGCTGCCGTTATGCCAGGTGGTGGAGAGAAAAGTGACCCGAAACTTTGTTGAGACTCAGTCTGTTGGCGAAACCACTAAAAATGTCATAAAATTGATTCAAAAATTCGATGGCATAGATTTCGCCAGTTTCAAGTTTTAATTCTTCCTTTTAGTTTTAAACAACTTTTTACTCCTCGCCTGAGATGATTCACATTTTTTTGTAAATAATTTTAGGAATGATGATCCTTATTTTTAGCTATGCTGTATAACTTATATTGTTATGCTACTGATTAATTTGGATAGGCTCAATGTATTCGTACCATGCAATTTAATACTGCATCCCGGCCCCTTCCTATCAGTTAATGTAAATATCTGTTTGTCGTAGAATGTGCAAAAAAGACTAATAAAGTTATGTTTACATTTTTTTCGGGGAAATGATAGATTGCATTGTGTACTATTAACTACATGAATGAACCTCAACCGAAAAACATCCGTGTTCATTTTGGTAGAGAATTGCTATTCTCCCAGATTTAAAAAAAACTTAAATATTAATTTTTCCATAAAATTTCTAAATATGTAAGCTTTCTTGTCTCTTAATCTTAGTTGTAAATTGAAAATTATTTTGGTGTCGCTGGTTCACTGGATTGTTGAAAAGTATGCAAGCATTAATTCCAAACGCTGAAAAGTAACGGTACGTGTTAGCAATTTACACTGAATACAAAATGTTGTCGTTAGCACTTTTCTACAATACTAAACGCTGTTAGAATTTTATTTTTTGCTACACAAAATCCAATGTTATAATTCGATGAAAACCCAGTCTAATTTGGTAAAAGAATGCCGTAAAATGTTTTGTCAACTCTGGGATATTTTTACAACTGACCCATAATAGCAGAGGGTCAGGTATTTAAAAATAACATTGGATTTACACCGACCCTTGTAACCGGTGATTGTTCCACTGAATGGACCCCAAGGAATATATTACGTGAGTTTTGATGTTACAATAAATTATAATATGCTGCTAGTTTTACATAGCATGAGATCAATTGATTGTGAGTTTGTTCTTTTGGTAAATGGTTGATAATTAATTGAATAATTCTGTGCATCAATCATCTTTTATACTTGACTATCATTTCTTAAATACAAATTGGGACAAGACAAATTGACATATGGTAAATCACCTTAATAACACCAGAATGTGTGTGTGTGTGTGTCTGTCTGTCTGTCTGTCTGTCTGTCTGTCCGTGTGTAATTTCCGGTCGGTTATACAAAAAAAACGGTAAGAGTTACGGGACTGATTTTTTCGGTATAGTGTCGACAAAACTCTGATGAAGCCCATAGGAAATTTTTTTTTAAATCGGCCGATGGTAAGTGGTTTAATTGATGGTTTTGTACCACAAATGTTACATAAAATTGCGTGAGCAGAACGGCAAGAGTTACGGGGCTTGCTCTCTCTCTCTCATTACTGTGTAATATAGACAGTTTTTGGGTTTTTCCAAATAGTTTCTGATTATTCTGATTTGCGACAAATGATATTGCACTGTTAGGATAAACGACGTTTCAAAGTAACAACTTCTTATTCATGCTGACAAAATTGGTAAATATGTGAGAAAACTGTCTCATAAAATTTATTAATCAAAAATGGCTAAACGACAACAAATTGTTCAAATACTCGACTAAAATTAGAATCAAAATCTATATATATACAACACTACTCGATCTGCTATTCAATAAACTTAAAACATCCACTAAACAGCAAGTACGTGATTGTGATCGTGTGATGGAATGACATGTACAGTGATAACAGATGATTTAAGATGTAAGTGATAACAGATGATAAGGTAAAAGATACAATACATGTGAGATGGTGTATACACAATGTGAGTGAAAATATAGTGAGTGGTTACTGATTGTGAGCGAGATGTGAAAAAACATTAAAACTTACTACTGCTAGAAAACTTAAACTGTATGCAATAAAAAGGGAATGAAACTAAAATATCTAAAATTCTTCAGTACTAGCTATGATAAAACGTTTAATAGTATCCAGTTCTTCTCTCTTGTTAATTGTAGGGTTCAGATTAATAATAAACATCGCTTCAAAAATCTTTCTTCTGACAGTATTGGGTTCAATTCTTAAAATATCTACTTCTAAACTGGGATTTAACCCCTCATGACAGCTCGAATAATGTATGGCAAAAGCTTGACTAACATTAGAAGGGGTAGCAGGGTAGGTAGCGTAACGTAAGTGTTCTCCTACACGAGCATGTACTTTCCTACTGGTTTCTCCAACGTACAGCTGGTCACATAATTTACACTTAATCTTATATACAACATTCTTCACTTCACAATCTTTATTACAAACTATCAAAGGACAAATTTTACATGAATTAATACTGCACACACGTTTATCATACGGTCTGTTACTACATAAAATATTTCTCAATTTCGAAGTAGGTTTAAAGTTTACTTTAATAGGTAAATTGTTCTGCTTTACATAATTTCTAATCTTATTGCTAGTACTGTCCGAAATAAAATCTAAATTAAGAACTGTCCTGGAATCATCCTCAACACTCTGACGCCTGTTAGAATTACTACTGTTACAATAACGTCTTGGGTTCTGGTAACCGTTTTTCTGTAATAGATCATCAAGGAGTCTGAGAGAGTGCTCCTTTTCCGCTGGACCAGATGAGATACGGCAAGCCTCGCTATATAGGTTCTTCACTGTATTAATCTTAACAGACTCAGGATGGCAAGAGTTGTTGTGCAGGGTAATATCCTTTTGTTGCGGCTTGCGGTACAATCTGCTGGTTAATTTACCGTTTGGCTCGATCCGGACCTCAGTGTTCAGGAAGGGGATAAAATCGTCCTGTTGTTCTGGAAAGTCGACCTCCCACTTCAACTTTTTGTCCGGATCTTGGTCTGCAATCTGTTGAACCAGAGCAAGGGCTTCTTCTTTCGTCTCTGCAGTACTGGCAGCATCATCTATGTAGCGTTTGTAGAAGTTCGATAAGTATACCGATAGGTAGTGTCGATCGGTGTAGATAGAGTTCTTCTCGAACTTGTACACTCTAATGATGGCACAGAAGGGCCCTGGCCTCAAACCCATGAACAGACCATCCTGCTGTAGCCAGAGAGTCCTGTTATACACAAAGAAAGAGTTGGTAAGGATGTGTAGTAGGATCTCATGAATGTCTGTCAGGCTGAGTCCCATCAGGTCCAAACTGTCTCGGTGCTCTGTAGCTAGCTCAATGACATCGTCTATACAGCCCTGTACGTTTATGTTAGTGTATGAAGCTGAAATATCCGCGGCAAAGAACTTTCTCCTGGCAAGCTGTTCCTGAGAGATCTGGCGGAGCATCTCTATGTGCTGGATTAAATTACTCAGGTGACTAGGCACCTCATTAAGGAGAGGTTTAAGAATGGTCGTCACTAGCCAACTGAGTCTCTCTGTAGGTGAGTCCACGCAGCTGATGTAATATGTTATAGCTGCATTTAAGTAGCGTCATAATTGGATTAGCCCGGAAGATCCGCTGTAATGTTATACCTTAAGCTTATTAGGGGAGGGGGGACTGTTAGTGTTTGGGGTCTGTTTGGACTGCAGAGAGAGAGAGAGAGAGAGAGAGAGAGAGAGAGAGTTCATACGACAATGTTATGCGTGTTTTCAAATATAATATGCGGGTGTGGTGCGGAGTTAACAAGGGTTAATTTCTATAACGATTTAAATAAAAATAGAAAGCGGTTCAAGACGGTAGTGATAAGGTGTAATACTCGGTGTTCAGACTAATAATGACTTAATTATCCACAAGAAATAACTGATTATGAGATTATTGTTTAAGAAACTATTGGGTCACCTAATGCGGGTTTTGACTCAGCGGGTAATTACTCCTACCCTTTTTAACTGCGGCAGTGAAATCCCGGCCGTAGGCCGGGTTACACTAGTATTGAATAATTCCAAAACGTGAGCCATGATGATCTTCTTCTTCCAACAGTAATTAGATCATTAGATAATTACACACTGAGTTTACGGAATGTAGGTTATGACCTTCCAACCCAATAAGTTAGATCTACACACCCCTAACCTAATCTGTTTGTGTAGTAGGGACCACTGTTAGACTTCTGATCTGTTAATGTACGTGTTTTATACCACCAACCTTCTAATTAAATGTGTTGAGAGCTCTTCCGCAACATGGATGTGGCAAGACAAATAATAATATTATCTCTGGTAATCGATTTAGGAGTAAGTGTTAGTCTTGGTTATTCAATGATAAACGCCATTGTTTGTTGGTTTGACTCATATTTCATCTGCTGTTTCTTGTCTACCTGTCTGTGTGTATATAATCTTCTTCCTGATTTTGTACTGTGTTCTTAGGATTCAAGGGCACAACCTTAATGTTCATCATCCTCATCAAAGTAAAATAAGATCATTTTTAACGAAGTTTAAGATTGTAGCGCATTTGTTTATTCTTGCAGATTTGTTATAATTTAACAGACTCATGACGTATTTGAAATGTAAATTAATTTTGTGAAACTTTATCTCCCTCACTCTAATTCACAAAATATTGAGTTTAAGTAGACAATTGTGGTTGTGGTCTAAAGTTGAATTGCAAGGTGAACGTACTAGAAGTGGTGTACGTACTAGTAATATACTAGCGCTGTACTTTTATTGTTTATTCCTCTAAGTTAACTGCAGCCATTTGCACATAACGGCTGACGACGATGACCACATGTTACTAGAAAATTACTGAAAAGTGAAACATGAGCTACCTAATTAGTTGCGACTCAAGAACCTCACTTCACAGTTACGTGTATACACAAACCTTCCGTCTTCAAATTGGTTTATGCGTGTGTCACAAGTTATAAGCTGTCATTCCAGTAAGAAAATCTGGAAATATAAATACAGCATTCCAGAAAAGCAGAAACTGGAGCTGATTTAAAATTTACGGATAGCCGGTAGGTATGAATTCCCAAATAAATTTAGATTTAAAGGTAAGATTAGTAAGGAACGAAGTTCAGAACTGCATAAAAACTTGAGCTGGCAGTGGAAACATGGAATTTTATATTCTAATTAAACAAGGAACTGAAATTTAACAGGCCTCTCATATCTGCTACTGTCCTGTTCGAATGTCCGGTAAAATCTACTAAATAATACACGGTAGTTGAATATCTTATTTTATGGTTATTGGAAGTTGTTGGTTGTTTGATGTTGTAGCTGTGTTATGTGTTGTGTATCGCCTGTAAACTATACAGTGTGACGTAGGTATTGTACAACTACAAGTTGGTGCAGATCGTGCACAGTGTTCAGTGTGATACACGAGTTAACGGTAATAACTGTAATGTCCTTACTTATTACCTCTTATTACTTCTGTCTACAATGTAGTAGTTGGTGGTTCTGTTTTCGGTCAACATACCTATTTGAACTGTGAGACTGAATGAAATTTGAGCCACATCTCCCATTCTTTCAATGAGTGTGTACTGTAGTTTAGCTGTGTGGACGTTACTTCATGCCTTATACAAAGCTTGTCATTGTTAAAGACACAGCAATTGTCTGTCACTATGATGTTATACTTTGGAAGTGTTGTGATTAGTGATAATCGTCTAAACTTACGCTCCAAACTGTTTCTAATATGGTACAGACCGAAGAAGTCTAGACCATGACTTTGTGAAATAATAGCGCAATGAAGGATGGTCAACATATAACGTCAGTATCTCACAGTGGAGGAAAGGGTTTTGAAACATGTTACTTTCAAGCGAAACGCACTTTTATTTTTAAACTATCTGACGGAAGGGTGAGGTGGGTTAATAGTGCTGACGTTATTTGTTCCTATATTAGTTAATAGTGCTGACGTTATTTGTGATCTACTAGTTTCTTAACACACAGCTCTTTGTCCGCATTAGGACCTGTAAATTATACACAAGTTATAGAGCAGTATTCAGTAAACATAAACCAGAATAACAAGTCTGCAGAGTAGGGTCCGCTATAGAATGTCTTGTGAAGCACTGTTCGACCACAGTCTACTGGATCACCTGGACTGGTCCAAGCACAGAGCTCACTACAGAGATGACATCTCCCCTTCTAACTTACCTCCTGGTTACAAGGTCAGTTCACTTTTTAGCAAACTAGTTTTACTTTTAAAGCCCATAGGTTTTAAAAATCATAAGAGCTTTTCCTTTTATGGGTCTGCACGTTGAAAACATCACGTGGTTTGCTCTCATTGTAGCCATACTTTTAAGAATTCAAATGTGATTTCCCAAACAGGGTAGTATATTTAAGACTATCTTGTGACACTACCGTTTCGTCACACTCCACCTCACCCAGATGAGACCGTTACAGAGTGATGATTTTAACCGTGGTTACTGTGACCTCCTCTCTCATCTTACTAAAGTTGGTGACGTCACTCCAGAACTCTACCTTCAGCAGTTCAATCAGGTATTTCAGCAGTTACATCTTATTATCTCAGTTTTTTACCAATCACTTTTTTTAAGCCTCTCTGCGCAAGGAAATAAATCTTAAGTGTCATGGACTTGTCGTCTGGCAAAAGTTTAAGTTTAACTTGAAATTTAAGACCAGAACATGTCTGGCGAAAGTTAAAGTTCAACTTGAAATTTAGGACCATAAAATTTATAATAAAAAAGCCCTAATCTGCAGATGAAAGAAAGCAAACTACACTACATAGTGGTAATCCACGACCAGGAGAGTGACAAGGTGGTGGGATCAGCTACATTGGTGGTGGAGCACAAGTTTATACACACAGCAGCTAACAGGGGTCGTATTGAGGATGTTATTGTGCACCCTGATCATCAGGTTGGTGGAGATTCTTTATTTGTATATCAGAATTATTAAAGGACCAGTTAACTGAAAAAAAAGTTATCCTCATATTTTGACAGATTGTGACAAATAGCAAACTAAGCAACGAGTCGAAATTCCTAAATCTCTAACTGCTCTCTAACGCGTGTAATTAGCGTTTGTATTATTTTGGCGATGACGTCATAAAGTCCCTTGCGCGCACTGAGTAGCTCGTGAGACTGTATTTTACAGGTAGAAAATTGACATAATACAATGTTTCTCCCCCAAATAACTCGAAAAGTAAGTATTTTAGGGTACATGTTGCTTCATAAGTTGTATATAAACATGGCCATTCTGCACAATTTGCACTCATTCAAAAATCTGTAGGGCCTTCATAGCCCAATTTACGAGATGCCCATATTTTAGCATGATTTCTGGAACCGAAAATCAGTTTTTCGCCAATAACTGAAAAAGTAAGCACTTTAAGGCATATGTTTGTTCGTAAGTCATATATTAATATGCTAATTGCGGTTCTTTTGCACCCTGTCTAAAGACTCTATCACGATCCTATCAAAAATGGGCTCAGCACCACGCCCAAAATGGTTTTTGGCAAATTTCTCGAAAAGTAAGGATTTTAGGCCATGTGTTGCTCAGTAACTCCTATATAAACATGCATATGCCGCTTGGTTTAAGCCTATTTAGAAGTCTCTACGACCTTCAGAAGCAAGGGGTCGGTTACGTTGTTGGGTCAATATGGGCGTGGCCCTCCTGGGTTTTCTCCACGATCAAAAAATGTCTCCAAACGAAAATCGTTTATTCATACCTTCAGGAAGGTCTGTGCAAAGTTTCGTGAGTATTTGAACATTTGCAGGTTCATTTCCATAAATGTTCATAAATGACTGGACTACACAACTTTAGAGTTAACTTTAGAGAAACTCTTAAGTCATTTATCTCAAATTAAGCTGTTAGTGTCCATGATCAACCTGTGGCGACAATGTTTAACGTGAAATGTAAAAATCAGGAGTAATATAAAAAGTGTATTTTTAGATTAAAGTGCTAGCTCATAGTTTTAGAATTGTATAGATTAACGTTGGTCGTTTAGCCATCTAACAATCGATCGTGCCGTAATATATGGCCAGAGAATAATAGGGTCTTGGAAATTCTATAGTTGTTCAGTGGGTCGATTGACTGAACACGTTTGCACTTGGTATTTAAACTTACCAGTAGTTTATTTATGTTATGTACCGATGATAATGCAATTAGGATAACAACTAGGTAAGCCGTAAGTCTAATTCAAAACACACCGCACACCGTACACACCAATCAGTATTACTATTTGGTAGACCGGGTATTTTGGCGGGAATTCTGTTCCCACGGCACTGTTCTGATAGAAGCTACTTCTACTAATAATCCCAGAGGAACGGCCGTAAAGTAGCCAGACTTCTTGTCTCCTGTACTGGCTGACACATGTGGATTAAAGTTAGAAATTCCGCTATGATATAAATATAATTGCTCTCGGAATTGAACAAACTCCTACTTATCTAGATCCTTTCTAAACTCGTTAGAGTTTCATGGACTGGGGAAAAATAATCGGTACAGTCTCCCTGCTTGTGTAATTAAGCAATGAAAACAATCCAAAATTATCACATTATATGACATAAGTTGTAATAGCAGAAACTTTCTAAACGTACATTCACCCGCCACTGTTCAAGAAATTATGTCACTGTTTAAAATCATGACGTGAGCACTGTACATACAATCAGCTATTCCTTTAGTTAGGATGATAGCCAAAACTATAAGGATTTTGGAGAACTAGGGTAATAGTCATAATTCTAAAATTTGAGTGAGTTACACGTGTTTTATTGACGATGATAAACATTTGCTATGTATTACGCTATGCAAGCGCGCACTGAGGGACTTTATGACGTCACGACGCCACAGCTTATTATTGCAATAACACGCGTTACACGTACGCTAGAGAATTGGTTCTTTCGGCGATACGATTCTTTACCAGTTTGTCACAGCTGATTTAAATCTTAGCCAAATTGGAGACTACAAATTTTTCAGTTAACTGGTCCTTTAAGTTATGTAGATGTTTACTCTAAAGTAATTGTAGTTATTAAATATCTTCAGTTTTGTCTGATCGGTTGTTTTGATCTGGGCTTACATTGCGTTTATTTCTAGTCTCCTTAGAAAATGATTGTAATTTGGAAAATTCATACTCCTTTCCAAACATAACGCTTAGATAGAATTCTTCATAGGTTTTCCTGCAAATATATTGTTCAACCGAAAAGATGGTCGATTTGATTCTTCAATTTCAGGGCAGACAGTTCGGAAAAGTTTTACTTGATCTTCTAATCTTGTTGGCAGAATCAACCAACTGTTACAAGCTAAGTCTGGACTGTAACGAAAAGGCTAGACCATTTTATGAGAAACTAAATTTAGAAAATGTCGAAGACCATAGATTTATGTGCATTAAGTTTTTTGATTAGTTTTAACCAACACGATTGAGTACATTTTTATTAGGGTATATAATTATTATTAGTTCAAGGGGGCTATATTTATGAGTCGCATTTGAACTTGATTTCTCTTGGAGAATTTCTCTTTAGACTCTTAACTTGCGAACAAATTGAAGCAGCAAACTTTAGGCTAGAAACTTTATTGAATTGAAATAATCATTCCACGTAACAACGTCTTCTTCAGTTCTGTAATAAAATTGTTAAACATAATAATTATTATTTTGATGAAATTAATGGGGTAAAGATTGATTGGGGCGAACATACTGATTACTGATACAATTACATGCTGCCTTAAATTATTTTGACAATTGTTTATTCGCTTTTTGATTTTGAATTTATGTAACAGCGCATGAATGATGAATATTTGTCTCTATAAGCAGACATTTAACACAACGGTAAATGCTTTAAAACAGTTTATTTATTATGTTTGTAAATTTATTAGTTCAAAGTGATATAGTCGTTGTAAATATTTGGTTTTACAATTTCAATTCCAAAAACATTAATCCGTTGTGTTCATTTCAAAGCTAATCTTAATCTGAACTATCTAACAGTAACATTTGCTGTGCTTTATTCCATATTCTATATTCTATGTAACAGTAACACCAAGTTTACTTATCAAATTCTTAAACTACAAATTTAACTTTGTCTATTACAGAATTGATTGTATTTTCCCAATCCAATATCCATATCATTATCTCTTTTATTGCTTACGTGCCCTAGTGCGTAGACACATAACTATAAGATTAACATTGTCATACGTTGTATGACCCGCCGCGCACGAGTGCGCGGCTCCCCCTGTATCGTAGAAACTCTATATAATAGTGAAGCGACAGTCATGGGGGTCACCACGTGATACAAGATTGACACACGTTGTAATTGTAAAGCATATATAGTGTAGCAACTATAAGAGTACGACAGTACGTACGTCAAGGTACAGTTGTCAATTACTTAGTTTGCTATAGTCTATTAGTATTATAAATTGCTTGATTCTCTCAAGGATATTATGCAAGTAAAGCTTTGACATACGTTGCGTCGTTGTGCGTTGCATGCCACTTTTCGCGCGCCGCCGATGTTTGTGATACGCAACATGTATCAAATGACTGTAAAGCTCAAAGCTTGATTCGCGATGTCAATTGCGATGTCAATGTCATTATTTGATGAGCGGCCCAGTTGCCATTAAATTTAATTGACGATGTCAATTCATGGCAGCTCGGCGCGGCACAGTAGCGCATGTCGCCGATCTAGCCGATCTCGCTGTGAGAAGCCTCATTGAGTGCGCGGCGCGGCACAGTAACGCATCGCGCTAAAACCATTAAATGTAATGCATCGCGCTACAAGCTCAAAGCTATAAGTTTGAAAAAAAAGAGCGCCGCGCATGCTCTCCTTTACCTGGGGACAAATTGGCTTCTTGACTGCTTTTGGCGAAAGGAAGAGTTGGTGATTGCTTCCATATCGCAAAAATTTGCAAAATGAAACAGATGTTTTTTAAACGAATCAATTAAACGTAAGTCATAGAGCTACAGTATCAGTAATTGTATAAGAGTATAAAAGTTAAAAATAACAAAAATAAAAGAAATTCAAATTTAATACGTAACTTTGAACTTGAAGCGATTGTTTTAAACGGTTTCAAATTGTTGATCTATGATTGGTACCTCTCTATTTATTACTAATAAATTCATGACTGTATAGGTAAAAACATGTTTGAATGACCGTGTAATCAAATGTTTGAAAAATAAACGATTAATAAATTCTAAACTTTTATGGAATGACTATGGCGAACCATCTGCATCAACGAAATTTTAAAGAAAATGCACAGACGATTGACCCAACCATTTAGATTACTATCACAAAACATTGCAAGGATTACGTTTAATAGAAAAGAGATCAGCGAACGTTGCATAATCATTCATTCAAAATGTTCGAGAAGATAGAAAAACTTAAATTATTTAATTTACTGAAAATCATTTAGCGGCTTTACTAAGATATTGAAAAATGTAGGATGTTAACAATATCTGCTTATAAAAATATGTTTAAATCTTAATACTTTAGTAAAAGATTAACGCTTTTAAAGTAGATAAGGTCATATTACTTTTATGAAAGTTTCTCAAAATATAGTGAATATTTCAGGTTTAACCAGTTTTTTTTTCAATGTCATTGCATTAAATTTAATCAAAATCACAAAACAATCTACGGAACAGTCCGTGAAACCTTTGTTCAAATAAATTGATTCAGTCTAAATCTCATGAACGTCAAATAGCACCAAAGCAAACAAATTCGCAATATCAACCATATCGAAATACATCACATAATGTCACAAATCTATCTACAGTGTAATCCCTGCACATTCCACAAATGTTCCAACTCTACTTCATGGTCATGGCGTTCTGGACGTATCCCACCAGGGACTTAGTGGCCCGAGCTATGTCCTTGGCCAGGTTCACGTGACTGTCGATGAAGATCTTCCTGTCTCCGTTGCAGCCGGCTAGAGAGAGTTGGGACAGTTCTGTAGCACTTCTCTTCAGCAGCTCCAGACTCAGCTTTATCGTCTGCCATTGGGGGTTCTGGATGGGGTGAAATAACGTTAATTGTAAGGTTGACATCATATTAGTTATTATAGTGGTGAGTAGGACGAAACTAAGTGTAAACTTAGCTTCCGACTTAATAAGCACAGGTCACTCTCAAATCCTAAAGATAAGCAGTGGCCTTCGGCACTTGAAACCTCTTCAAACCCCCCCTGATTTATTTATTATTGATATTGTTTGATTGTGCCTTAAAAATAAATATTTGTTTTATTAATAACTCCCATAACTTTGATCCAAACAGATACATGGTTTCTAATGTTCGGTCATAATGTAAAAGTTAAACCTCAGGAAAGACGGAAGCGACGCCCTGGCTAGCGGCCAAGATGCGCTGGTAGACCTCCGGGAGCTGGTGGAGGTTGTCGTTCCGTATGGCGTCTCGGAGGAGTGTCACAGCAGATGTGATGTGTTGTGTCTTCTCACTGACCGTATCCATGTGAGGGAGGGTCTGGTGGCGTGGTTGTGGAGGTGCCTGGGAGAGGTCACGTGAGGCACCAGTCAACACGTGGAGATCACGTGAGTTACGGCGACTCACCACAAAGATTAGAGGGATGATGTAATGCAGCCTAATACAGGACTGAGGGCATGCTCCTACTTAACGCTCAATTTAAACTTTAGCATTCATAATTAGGGTCGTTGGCAGAAAACCAAATTTGGAGTTTAAGAACGATCAGCGACGTGATGATTTTGTTTTCTTGCTCAATCACGTTAAAAAGTCAAATTAAAATGAATTTCCCACCTTCTTCGGATCTTCCCTAGAAATGTTGGAGTAGTCGTTGGTATAAGAAGGTCTGTTGTTGGTGGTGTTTGTTCGGGGTGGAATACTGCTCCGCATTGGTGGAGGTGGGTGAGTTGGAACAGTGTCGTTAAAACTGCTTACACTCCCGCCCTGACGATTTCAGAATAGTTAGTCTTTCAAAATATACTGTATCATCACATCAGTTTACAAGACAAGCTGGACTTGCAGTCATGTCAAATCAGACATTATGATCAAACATTTTACATTTCATTTTCATATAATATTAAAATATACAATATATATGTATGTAAAAAATAATACCAGAAAATATATCCACACAAGCTTTTGGAATGTTTGTTTACTTCTAGGACAAACTCTTACCGATGAGTGAGGCAGATCGTAGTCATAAGCGCCCTTATTCTGAGATAGCACAGTCTGCAGTCTGGACATGAGCTCGCGGTTCTGGTTCTCCAGGAAACTGTTCCTCTGTTCCAGATTGTTTATGCGGAGTTGCAGCTGATTGTTCTGGTCTTTCATATGTGTTATCACACGCTGAAAAAGAAACACTGGATTTAGAAATCTAATAAACCCTAATATAAGTTTTAAAACCCAGAAAATATTCCTTGAATGATTAAAGAATCAAAAAGAATCAAAAAGAATCGACAATAACTAATATAACCATCACAGATGTAATGTCAATACCTGTTGTGAATCAACTTTAGCAAGCATCATGGTCTTGTTATCAATGTACTCATCTCGTTCTGGCACCTGATCGTATACTGGGGAGGAGTGTCCCTCCGCCTCCTCCGTGTCCTGAAGGAGACCCTCATCGTAAACAGGTTCATTGTCACTATACTCGCTGGGAACCTCACAGTAAGACGGCTCGTCGTCATCTGAAGCAGTGGAGGGAGTTAGGATTTGAGAAACAACTTGCAGTATTACAGGAGTTGATTATTGGACAACATTCGGGACAGTAAAGAGTGGTTATTGGGAAACAGTCAGAACTGTAAGGAGCGGGTATTGGGAAACATTCGGGACTGTAAGAAGCGGTTATTTTGAAACAGTTGGGACTGTAAGGACTAAGGAGCGGTTATTAGAAATAGTCAGGTCTGTAAAGTGCGATCTTTGGTAATGAAAAGTCAGGAATAAACAATGGGTTATCATCTTCAATCTCGATAACGCTCCACTTTTGACAAAATCGCTTAAGTTTTTGTTCGACGTGTTCCAATTCTAGTGTGTAGATAAACTTAGAAGAAACTGTAAGCAGTCTGATTTGAGGTATGTTGCAGATGTGAATTCTCAACTAAGTAACGGTACCCTGGCATAAACACAACAACAAAAAAGCTGAACAACCTATCGATTCTAAATATGCCGGATTTATTGGGATCTCCGAGTAATCACTGTCGATCTCCACGTCCTCGTTCAAAAAGTCTATTGCTATTGGGATCTCAGAGTAATCACTGTCGATCTCCACGTCCTCGTTCAATAAGTATATTGCTATTGGGATCTCAGAGTAATCACTGTCGATCATCAACCCCTCATCATCCAAGGAGTCTTTACGGCGCTTGGTGCAGCCACATAGAAATGAAACCATACACGATGTACACAGAACAAAACTTGGAAAAGGAGGGTTTAAGATTACAATACACAAAATGACACTGAGCCGCTCAGCTGTTATCTTATCTCTCTTTACCAGTGTTGTAGTGTTCTACTCAAAGTTCAGATTAATGCAGGTACCAGGAGTTGACGGAAGCTAATGGTGCACAGTAGATATGATGTCACGTTTGTGGTATCATGACAAATTGTACTCATTCTAAGTCGTACCTCCCAAAATACCTTGTCAAGATTTTAAAAGTCTCACTTACATGAGCCATAGCTGACATTGGTTGCTGGTCGGGATATCTGCTCTCTTCTCTTCCCTTCCTCAAGAATGTGAGCGATGAGTATGGCGAAATCTTTGGCGCTCAGTGTTCCCAACTTTTGCCTACCCTGTAAAAACAGTTCTGTGTAAAGTAAGATCACAAGATATAACGAAAATGTCTCCTGTAAAGTCCTCCTCTTCAGAATCCATTTTAAGAAATTTAAGGTTTAAATTTAAATGTAGGAGAGGAGAGCGTATGTACCTGATTTCTAAGAGAGCTGAAGGTGGGATTTGTTGGGAGAAAGCGAACATCCAATCCATTGTTATTCTTGCCTGCTTTCCAAACTGAACATAATTTGTGAGTCATTTGAAATCTGAAGAATTAAATGACGCGATTAAATAAAGTCATGGGCCCTGAGTGAATTACCTACAGCAAACGGATCTTTAATGGGTTATAAGATATTATAGTGTGATTTAAAGCACTGTGATTGCTCACCTTGTTCAACTTCACGCCTATCTACTTCATCAAAAATATCAGCCGCGAGTTCTTCGAACGCCTGGTTATCCAACTGAAAATGGGCACTTTGTGTAAAAATTGCAGAATGCAAGTGGCCTCTGGTTTTAAACTATTGGCCAAACGAGCGCTGTTAAAAGTTAGGAGACACTTGACAGGGTGTCAGTGTGACTTGAAAGTTTCAACATCTTGGCTGCAGGAAAAATGCCATCTACCAATATCTCTTGTCATAAGCTGGTAAGCAGGGATCACAAATATAATTAATAAAAAGATTTCGTTCACTAAATCATGCACAATCAGAGAGAAAATATTGCTCTGTGGTCTATTATCCTAAAATTAGATTCGCTTACCATCTTTAGCTTGTTCTGAGCTTCAATCACCGTTGGACCCCTGAAAAAAACTGAAGTTTATTACTGCAAGCTACTTGTTATAGATTAAAATTTAATCATCAACCAAGTTTGTGTTTTAATGATTTTTTGGCAAAGGAAAATAGTGTGGTAAATAATGGTTTTGGATCTATTGCATATGAACCCAGGGTTGGATCGAAAAAATTTGACGTTGATATGAGCTGAGCTGATCCATAGTCAAAATTAAATGCAGTAAATTTATAAATTGTTATTTAATTATAATATTAAATAAATATTTATTCATTATTTTAAAGACGCGCAAATTGTCACTGGTTAGTCATTTGCCTTTTACTACTATTTTGTTTTGGCGCGTTCCAAATACTCCTCATTATTTTGCCACATAATTTGGTCTTGTGAGTTGTGGCTACTTCTTAACTTCTCGATTGGCTCAATTGGTTCAATATCGATTCAAAACACGAGGAATTGTCTCTTCGAATAAGGATGTTTTGCCTAAATTTGCAGATAATCGAGAGGTAAAGCTGTTGTATTCCGATTCCTTCGATCTGAGAGCCAAACACAATAGAGAAATAAAATTGAAATAAAATTACATATGCAAAAACTTCTTTAGTAGTGCAATGGACACTGACAAAATATAAGATTTTTTAAATCTCAACACTTATTTTACTTCGGACATTCCAACAGCCACATTGTTATACAAGTGTAACCAGCCAATTACAGGAAGTCGAAGGATTCAATTATACATTAGGCAAGTGACGGTTAAGGTAGTGTGTACCCTACTTTCTTCGCCTGAGACTTTGCTGCAATGGGCAGCTCCTCATTTAACCCTCACACCCGATTTATCGAGCATTCGGCTGAGTGGACCGGGGGGCTGCATAAACCACTCAGGATCCTTAGCTGAGCGTCGACGACGCTCACCTTACGGCTTGTGACAAAGTCGGGAATCGAATCTGGTACCTCGAGAAAAAGCCTCGAGATAAGCATTTAAGATTTTATTGATTCGAGTGATTTTAATCGCAAATCTGGCAGTTTTGACCATTTTGGCGGAAATGACACATTAATTTCACGAAACTTGTAAGTCAGTTGCTTTATCTACCAAAAATCAAGAAACGTTTTGGAAAAACAGTTATAGCATCATCTTGATACATTTTGAATTCATATCCCTACATCTCTATTATAATTCAGAGAATTGTATTTGTATGTACGACCGCCCACGTGCAAATCAGACGAGAAATAGGAAGTTGCGTAGTAACCATAGTAACGAGGATTGTTACACGCACGTGCACGTGCAATGATTGTTTTAACGTCATTTTAATCGGTTTTGTTGATATTACGCTGTGTTTAGTACGAGCAACATTTTATTTGGCTGTATCTTCGGTGGGGATGAATACTTTTTGACACGATTAAAACTGACTTCCAAACAATACTATTAGGTTCCTCCCTGTGACCACGGGGTTTCTAGTGTATTATAAAGTTATAAGTTTTCACTATCACTATGTTCGTAGAAATATTTCCTTTAACCTCATTATATCAGGTTGTGACCACCATCGTTGTTTCACTTGATGGTGTCGGGGTGAAAATCACGATATACAGCCGCACACTCGTATGTGCCTACAACGTGAGGCGATACCCTGAACCCTCATGAGCTTTTCTCCATATTGTGTTCGTATTATACAACATTTCTAAATTATTCCTACACATTTGTAAATAATTAGAATTGTGTAACTTAAATTATTTCAGAATTACAACTATTGTGTACTCAATAAAGTAATCATCACTTTTGTATCCTTGTATCCTTGTATTATCCTTGTATTATAAATCAAGAGGCTTGCATATAATGAACACATTGACACGGGTGCAGAGTTGAGTCTGTACGGAACCTAGCAGTTTCAGATCCTTGTTTAACTTGCCGTACAACAAGGTCATCCACTACTTTAGCCCGGCGAGGCACATAACTCCCTCTACAACTCCATGACAAATGTTTCATATATACTAGCCGAGTTCACAAGAATATATCCTTGTGTTTGAGAAGAGCTCGTTAGAACTGCTTCCTTTCCCTTCAGTATATTAATTATCCTTGTATTATCCTTGTATTATCCTTGTATTATCCTTGTATTATCCTAGTCTTACTTATAATTCAGAGAATTCCCTTTGTATGTACGACCTTTGTATGTACGACCTTTGTAATTTGTATGTACGACCGCCCACGTGCAAATTAGACGAGAAATAGGAAGTTGCGTAGTAACCATGGTAACGAGGGTTTTTACACGCACGTGCACGTGTAATGATTGTTTTAACGTCATTTAGCGGGAATCGGAGAACAAGGTCTGGTGATGTAATCACGTGACCTTAGACCCAACCAATTGGGTTCTGGTCTGGTCAGCCCCCTGTCTCCCGATCTTGAGGTGACGTACGACACCTCGTTGACCCAATCAATGTCTGGAAGGCTGCAAATTTTCACATGCCAAATTCACAAGATTCTTAAAGCTTTAAAGAGTTGTGCGAGATGACGATACATAGAGGCCGCAGAATTATGAGGACTACCAGATCCTGGTGGAACCTAAGCGATCCATGATATCACGACAGGCCCTACAACTTTTACCAAAATTTTTGTTTCTTAAATATCTTTAGTTGTGGACATCGTAGAATAAGTAGATTCGACAATTGTCACGTCAGATGATCAGTTAAATTAGACAATTTGCTAATTAGTTAATACTAAAAATGTTGTTCTGTCTTTTTATCTTGTTTATCCTTTGTCTTTATTGGTTCAACAACGACAAGCATGAACACTTTATTCTTCATTGCTCATTTATTGACAAATTTATCTGCAGTATTTCCGTCTGGTCAAGAATGTCTTCTTCGCAGAACGCGTGGACAAAAAGTGACTACATCCTATTAGCTTTGGATGTCTGATGAACTTCGGGGATGGAATAGAAATAAATCTACCTGGAGTAATCACACAAAGAGTGTCCTGTGAAATGAGTGTAGTCTCTGTTCAAGAGAGTATTTTGGGGAGTGTTTTCTACATGACCCTATCCTTCTCTATCATCATAGCTGGTCCCCTTGCAGTTCGGTTTGGAAGAAGAGAGGTTTGTCTCTTCTCCCTGTACACCAACGCTTTAGTAAGCATACTCTGTGCCATAGTTGCCAACTTCTACACCCTGCTCCTCTCTCGAGCCCTGATCGGGTTTACCGTTGGTTTTAACCTGGTTATTCACTGTGTTCTGATCAGTGAACAAGTTTCCTGCAAGGCAGTGCTCAACAAGATTTGGCTGATGATGAGCATCGTGTACTCGTTGGGAGGTGTCTGGGTGAGTGTGCTAGGATACCTGACCCTGGATAAGGTAGGATGGAGAGTCTTCGTTGTCCTGACATCCCTGCCCGTCTCCATACCTCCTATCATCATCCTGCACTTTTATATATCTCCGGAGCAAGAAGAGAGTAACGAAGATGAGGTTGATGCAGAATCTGATGTCCTCTCTATTTCTGAAGTTATTACTCGCACCTGTAAAGCAGCTATATTTATAGCAACGGGATTTTTTGAGAGCTGGTCGACAATCCTTATTTTGCCAGCCCTAATTAAGATGCTGAACATGAAGCAAGGATCCGCGGAGGACTGCGAACATATCACTCAGGGCTTGGAGTTTCTCCTGTTGGCTTTAGTGGCATTTGCAGAGGTGGGTGGCAGGATTAGCTTTTATTTTCTCTACCGCAAGATTAGGTTTAGAATTATGTTTGTTCTTCTGGCGATGCTGATTTCAGGAAGTTACACAGCAATGTTGGTGACACAATATCTTCCTGTGGTGGTGCTGGCTAACTTTCTGGTTAAATGGGGGGTCGGAATGGTGATGATGCAGTTTACTTTCTTCAACTACCACGCCGACTATTACGGCACCAAGTGGCTTGCAGTCTGCTCTAGTTATATATAATGCATAACATAATGTAATCGAGAAATGGGCGTTTCTTAATTACGTATTTCTATAAATAAAGTTACGTTACTATTGCGTTTCATTTGTCCATTTCTAAGGTTGTTATATTTTAGGGCTCAGTAATAGCTCTGTGACATAAGGGCTTAATTATAATCACTTATAAGGCTACCATTGACGTAAAATTATGTAATAGAGTCCACTTTGAAAATACGACCAATACGCCCTTTCTTCCTTTGAAAAAGGACCGATAGACTGCACAATTAATTGCGCAGTTAAGTTAGTCAGTACATTTAACTACACCGCGTTGAGCATTATTACCGCATTGCTGCTCTAATTCTGGAACTTTTAAAATAAGTCGACAATTAGTCAATTTAGCCGCAAACAGGAAAATTAATCAAGACTGTTTATTCTAGATTAATCTTTAATTTAAAGTAATGTTAAAGCTTGTTTCAGTGTGAAACCTCCCTTAAAAGTGGTGACAACAAAAGACTTGCAAACACTCGAATTTAAAAGTGTGCAACTGAAACTTACCGCCTCTCAATCTCCGGTATGATGATGTGTTGTCCGTTTATGTGATCTGGGGGGGGGACATTAACTGGTGATAGATGGGCAAATACTTTAAGGTTTCACCCAGAATGTTAATTATCAATTTGAACGATCTGATGTGTACCAGTAAGATAGCTTCTCATGTTTCTTGCACACGATTTGCATTACTTTTTAAAATTCAGAACATCCCATATATAGAGACATTTTAAACAAATGAAGGGAACGAAATATCAAATTGTTTGGTATAACGTAGGTTAAGGTATTTACAATTTACATTTTACACTACCACACTGCACATACCTGGTTGTTTGCTGTTGATAAAGAATATGAGTCTGTCAGTCAGTTCGTATTGCAGCGACAAAATTCTGTTGGCCGTCTGATAGAACCCGCATTTCCTGGTGAATTTTGGTAAAAATGCTACATGTAACCTTTACAGTAAGGCACTCGAGTGAGATCGCGGAATTGCAAATATGTGTAGCGTACGTGATGAGTGATAAATTGTTGGTGGTATAGCCGTTCTGGTGAATATGTATTTCTATTAATCTACATGTATTTCAGTTAAAATGTGCTATGCATTTAAACTCAGCCAATGACAGCTACATATTTCACGTTAGTACATCATATTGTACTAAAGTCAATGACATGTCTAATTTTATAAATTTACAACACTATTATGTGCAAATGTTAGTACAACATACATAATTCAAAATAATGCAGTTTATTATATTCCCAGCTGGCCATCCATCAGAAGACAGAAAACTATTCCGCTCCATTTGTAACTATTCCTAATTACAAGCAATTATCTCGTAATTACAGGCAATTATTTCTTATAATGTATCCAAACTGAGGCCCATCAACACAGGGTGGAAGGTGTAGAAAACTATTCCTGACTTCCTGGTTTGACAGCGTGTTAAGGACGTCAATGTGATGCAGAGTGTTTGTGGGAGTGTTTGTGAGTGTTTGCACTTCAACAGGTAGAAAACGGAAATTTGTACAACGCAAGCCACTGGGCGATATTCACATGACGTGTTTAACATTGCAATTGCCAGTCAGAACTGCAATTTAAAATTCTACTGATCGTATTGATTTTGGGGAAAACAAGTTCGGCGATAATTTGAGACGTTATGAAGCATAGATTGAGTATAGCGGCGTATTCCTCGCTTCATTATAAACTTATATCCACGAAGTAAGGGTTAAAATACGTCATAGTTACACTGAAATGTTTTTTGTTACAGTGAGCTATGAGGTGTTACAGTGAGGTATGAGCGTTACAATGAGGTATGTGGTGTTACAGTGAGGTATGTGACGTTACAGTGAGATATGTGGCGTTACAGTGAGGTATGTGGCGTTACAGTGAGGTATATTACCTGGCTACATCGTAAGGAGTGTGGTTGTCCTTGTTTATACGGTTAGGATTAGCACCGTATATTGAGAGTAACTCATACTGTAGCAACTGGTCGTGAGCTGAAAATAATGTGCTAATAAAATAACATATCACACTGAAATTGTCGAATGTGTTGTTTGAGCAGTTGTTGTATGCAAATGGTCTGCAGCTCAAACAAATCTAAGAGTACTTTAGAAACTGATAATTACTCTACTATTACTCTAGTTTCAGAGAGGGTAATTATAGATAATGACCTGAGGCCTGATGAAGGGGAGTGTTCTGGTCCCCATTACTGCAGTTCACGTCAGCTCCCATCACCAAAAGTCTGAGGGTCGTTTCTGCTGAACTCTGGGTCACTGACAACAGCAGTTGCTGAAAAATATCATCTCTTTGAAACTGTATTTGAGTGTAATGAATTTTATACATCATAAGACATATTTTCAAATATTGGCGATATTCCAGTCATAAATGATAGTTGCTTGACACACCTATAGCTCTAGCTCACGACAAATATATACTTAGAGTCTGTCACAATGTACACTGTTAAACATGAGCATATATAATTGTTAAAATTACATTATTCAGAGAGTCCACATTAACTTCGTCCATCTTTTGACAAAAGCGCCCGTCTTTGTACTTTGCCAATATGAAGCTCTCTTTTGTCGGCCTGGTCAGAGGGGATTAATAACATACACATTGTATAATACATGCTATCTGGTATTAAAACACTGAGCTAACAATAACATACACATTGTATAAAACATGCTATCTGGTATTAAAACACTGAGCTTACAATAACATACACATTGTATAGTACATGCTATCTGGTATTAAAACACTGAGCTTACAATAACATACACATTGTATAGTACATGCTATCTGGTATTAAAACACTGAGCTAACAATAACATACACATTGTATAATACATGCTATCTGGTATTAAAACACTGAGCTAACAATAACATACACATTGTATAATACATGCTATCTGGTATTAAAACACTGTCAAGCTAACAATAACATACACATTGTATAATACATGCTATCTGGTATTAAAACACTGAGCTAACAATAGCTTACAATAGCCCAATGTTGAGACGAATCTTAGAGTTTTATTTAAGAATATTGATCCTACCGGTAACGTATATCATCAAGCAAACAAGAATGCAAACCTCAGTTTATCAGACGGGCTTGGTTTAGGTGGATAAGAAGAGCTCTTGGAGCTGGAGTTGTACAGCTCATGTTCCCAAATGTTATTTGCTCCATTCTGCACCAAGTTGTGCAGCATCTGAAATACGGTGAATTTAACTGACCCACTATCCAAAATCAAGCAATTTCTCCGAATCTCAGTGGTTAGTACAGCATACAAAATAAGTCGGTTGAGCACAAAGTGAACTTCTATGAAAAGTTTGAGATCTGTCCCATAGACTTTAATCATATCTAACAAGTGGTGTAGTGTTGTATATAACTGTACCACCTTGTACGAGTACAGTGAGGAGAGGTGAAGTAAAGACCTCATATTCATATTTTAGTGATACCTGGAGACGCGGAGGGGCCCAGTTTCCGTGCTGTAGAGAAGCAATCTCTGAGATGTGACGACCCAGAGTCCTGTGTATCTGACAACAATCTCCACATAACAACACACCCCTGTTTACACTTGCCCAGGTCGGATCTGGCAAGGTGAAGATAATGTCGATGACATAGTTGGATATTAAAGTGAATAATTGTATCTCATCAAAAAATGTAAACTTGATGTTTTGTTTGTAAAACTATTGATTTACTAATGATATCTCATGCCATCTTCAATTTCTAAATGGCTATAAATACCTCATCATCTACCTTCACAATTTTATAATATTGATTGTACCCCAAAGATGAATTAATATTTACCTGGAGCATTGCAGTCAGAACATTTCACATGTTTAAATGCAGTAGCAACATAGGTTTGTTGCTTGAATGGCATAGCACCAAACCATAAATACCTAACCTAAGATGAAAATAAATTTGAAATACAAATATTCATGATTTCTATGAATTCCTTGCCATTGATAATAAAACTATGATTAATGTTTATCCTAATCATGTTGGAAATCGGGTTTTAGTTCCCTGATTTATGATTATTCAAAATTTAATTACATACATACAGAATGATTGAATAAAGCTCAATTAAATTGATCCATCCCCGTAGAGCACACCTGTTCAAGTTCTAAAAAACTTTATTTAGATTCATTCTTCAAAAGCACAAAATTAGAAAATTTAAAAAAGAGTTATAAAAATTTAAAACACATAAATGAAATTTTTTAAATCTATGGATATCATGATTCATTTCTCACAGATCAATAGGCGTTATTATCAAAGCATAATTTCAATTTAAGGGAGGGGCAGCAAACAAATTAGTGGTGGTGGCACACAGGTATCTTTCGCCACTGACCAGCTCCTCAGCATCACAACATGTGTGTGGATCATGCCCCCTTGATAGCCTACACATCTGCTTCTGTCGAAATACAACATGCCATATGGAACTAAAGAAGGAGCCAGGTTGAAAGGCGAATGAGATTGGCTGACTCATCAGGGAAAATGCATTGCACAAGCCCAATGACCATGTGCAGAGAGAGTATCATCATACTGTTAAAACTTATCTGAGAAAATGTCAAAATGTATATTATATACAATAAATTAAATCAAGTGATGCAATTGGCAGAGCACAATCCTAAATCATGAGCAATAAATATCATTAATCCCTCGTAGCTCTTCTCCTCAGGTTGAGGGAGACATTGGATATAGGGAGGTCCATGCCTTCTTTGCCTTCCCACTTACACCTCTAACTGCTACTAGCACACTCCTCATTATATCCATGCTCAGGCGCAGTAACGAAGCTGACCCTGCTGTGCGGGGGGTGCAATCTTAGACGGGGGGGGGGGGGGGGGGGGGGGGGGGGCGGGGGGGCAAAATCGTAGTTTGAATATGAACAATATTGAAAAACTTAACTGAGGTACTAGCAAAACTGCGCGTTTTGCTCTAGAAAAACACTTTTTTAGAGATTTTACCGGCATATCCTCTAAAATCACCTAATTTGTTCAAGTTAAGGGAGGGGTGCCGGCGGGGCCGGGGGGCGCCAACAGGCAACGTTACGCCACTGCTCAGGCGTGTCCTGATGTTACACATCACCTGGCTGTAGCCTTCTTGGTCTTGATGGCTATCAACACAGCAAGTATCCTTATGAAACGCTTGGCCTCAGGTGCCATTCCTCCTGTAGTGGTAAATACAAGTGGGACGAATGACCCTTTCTCCAATTGTAGCACTCGGTTCATGCACTGGTTCTTTTTCTCATTCTCATGCAGAGAGCTGTGGCATGGTCTTTCCTTAATATGTAGGCGATTTGGGATTGAAAATTCGCACGTCAAAGAAAGTTCTCTCAAATGTGCTCCACACCCTTCTTGCAGATATATCGAGCCTGGCCTTATCAGCATTGCTGCCCTTTTGTTGGAAGTTGGCTGATTCTATAGGTGTTAACAGGGGCTCAATCCTCACATCCTTGGTCACCAGCCTAAGGTATTCAGCAACAAACAAACCGAGTCTCTTACAGTTGATGATATGGCTGTGATCGTTCTTGGCTCCATAATCACAAAATCTTGGGGTGTTAGGGATGTCCCAACCATACCGCGGAGATGAACAGCATCTCGAAAGTCTTGCTTGCTGTAAGGATTAACAATACTGAGCCCCTAAATCTTACAGGTAGCACAAACATTCTCATGAGCAGGTCGGCCACGTTCCTACCAATGATTACCGGAATGAACTTTTCTCTTAAACGCTTCTCCAATGGGATGAAGAGGTCTTAAGTGTCTTGGATGGTACGCATCACAAAGGTCCACCAATGACCAATGACAGAGGGCTTTGATATACCCTGATAGGGCTGCCTGAGGCTCATCATACTATTATGCTGGACTGGACACCAAATGCAATGTGGATTGTAGTTTTGAGCAGCCAAACCATAATTTACCCCCAGTATGAGGTTTGTGAGGGTGGATATGAAATGACCATCCAATAAAAAGTCCTCAAGTTTGGTGCTACGCGATCCATATTTATGATCTCATCGACGATGATGTGGCGACTTGTATCACGTCGTGACCCCCACGGTCGTTACCCCTGTAGAGTTTCTACGATACAGGGCGAGCCGCGCACTCGTGCGACAGGCAGTGTAAATATTTATTCGACCTTTAAACGTGTGATATAGATACTCGTAAATTGTAGCGCGATACGTTACTGTGCCGCGCCGCGCACTCAATGAGGCTTCTGATCACAGCGACATTGGCTAGATCGGCGAAATGCGCTACTGTGCCGCCATGAATTGACATCGTCAATTAACTTAATTGACGATGTCAATTCATGGCAGCTCGGCGCGGCACAGTAGCGCATATCGCTTCAATCAATTAACTCGTAAAATATTTGTAGCGCGATGCGTTACTGGGCCGCGCATTCAATAATGCTTCTCCTTAGATCTAACCGGCGAGATGAGCTACTGGGCCTCGCCGAGCTGCGAAGAATTGACATCGTCGATTAAGTAAAATATTTGTTCCAAATATTAGACCGTCGACGAGTCCAGCTCGTGGCGTGTCTTGCTAGATTATAAACTTACAATACCGACCTGAAGCCGAAATAAGACGTCGTGTTCTACATTCTATGTTTTAGTCAATTCGATTTCAATTCGATCGATCGATATTATATCATATCATGCGCGCAATTAAAATAACGCAACGAACGTACGTGCGCTGAAATTGACTTTTCATAGCTTCATACGCAGTAAACTAGCAATAGCAACTCATTCCCGCTCCTGATATTGGCGGATGAGGGATGTCTTTGCCATGTGGGATATTGACTGTTAATTTTGAAAAAATTAGATATTTTGGACAGCAAAAGCATTATTTGATCGAGTGCATGTTAAAAATATAATTTAAAAAGTACAATAAGTTACCCTAAAAAAGATTAAAGGAAATATATTAAAAAGCTTTTCCCATCAGAGTACGTCCATTTCAACGCTCAACAAATTGTTAGATTTCTGAACTTTTCCGAGAGTTAATATGACATCCAAGAAATACTGATTGCTATCACACAGTGAACTCAAAGTTCTAGTTTGAGCAGTAAGAGCTGATATGATTCCGTTCAGAGTGGACATTATCTGAGATGAACTTTTCTTTAGTGCCAGACCGTGGGTTGTTAAAATGCTGCTGATCCACAAGAGGTAAAAGTTGAGATGTCTAGACGTACTCAACTGAAATGGATGTCTTCAAGGTGGGGTATTATCATGCTTCACTTAACTTAAAAATGGATAACAGCCGCGAAAATTGTTATACATTTACATATATGAGATATATCCTACATTCAACTAACCTGATCAACAAGGAATTTGAGCAGTGAAGTGACGTGATGTAACGGCAATGCACCAACCACATAATGGATCTGATCTTGGGGAACTTGCTCCAGCACTTCTACTACCAGTTCAGCTGTATTAAGTCTCAAACTTATAACCAGCCCTCGCAGGTACGATTCTGAAGGAATTATCGTTTTAGATTGTTGAATTTTACAGCTGAAATTAGATAATTTGATAAAATGGGGAATCTTGAGCTAAAACAGGAAGTGACAGGTATGTTTACAGATGTTAAGCAGAGCAAAGCAGACTGCTGCAGCCAGCACTACAATATCTTCTACCCCATATAAGGAATAATCGGATATAACAGCACAATATGATGCAAGTATTCTGTTGCATATTGCCGGGCTCAGTGGCGCGAGTCTATAATCCAGCTACTTGGAGGCGCTAAGGCTTGAATGTCTTGAGGTAGGGAGTTCTGGGCTGCGCTGTGCTATGTTGAACTGGTGTCCACACTAAGATCGGTGCCAATATGGGCTCCTCTCGGTAACTTGAGGGGTCCAGGTTGATAATTAGAAGCGTACCGGCCCAGGGACGAAAGTCAGCAGGCAAAAGCTTCAGTACTGATCAGTAGTGGGATAGCATCGGTGAATAGGCACGTAGTTCAGCTCTACCAAAACAGGCAAACTTGTCCTTTTGTACGTACACCACATAAATGTTTTTGTGATAAATTAACAATTTAATAATACCTGAGACGAGTGCAGCTCTCATTGTTTGAGGTGTGATGTCCGTGTCCAGATCAACAGGATCAAATGTCAGGGTATTGTCCAGGGAGTATATCAACAGCCCCTCTGTCGTGGCAGCACACCAGCTTTGACCTGTAAGATTGCGACACTGTACACACACGGCTGGTAATTACTTAAACTCGTAATCACGAAATCGGCAAATTTACCGCAGTGATTTCCAGTAAATTGACGAAAATGTGTACGAAATTATCTGCCGTCTTTTGTTTAAGGAGGATTATTGGACACATTTACAGCGAAATGGTACAAATTCACAATCATTAGGTACAATTTTGTAATATCAATCTTCGGAGTCTTATCTCTAATTTTACGCACTATTTGATAGCATAGCTGTGAGCTCTAGTTTGGAAATTGAATATGTTTGAATCAAGTACAGCTATTAAAAAACATAGAAAATATTTTGGTTACGAAGCCACACTATTATCGTGATTATAAAGTTTGTTATACGTGTAGCGAATAGTGACAAAGTGAGACAACGATCCTAGCATACTATAAGTTTAATGGCAGATAACAATCGTACTATAGTGTTCCATGTTTAAAACTTATGCATCATATTCCGTAGCAGATAATATTATCCTTTAACAGCACACCCAAAAACCATAGAAATAAGTTGTGAGTCTGTAAAGGATTGCCACAGCAACGCCCCACGCCAGTATTGAGCTTACCATATTTCTGTCGATTACTAATCCTCATTAATTTCCGTACAGCAATAATGATCACCTTCATTGTGACACTTTCCCTGGTTTGTGTTTCAGCCTCTAGTAATGACAGACTGAAGGTCCGAGCTCTGTCATTTGGTCGAACAAATGCAGATTATGTAGAATTCCAACCTAGTGATATGTCTCCGTTCTCTACTTCCTTTACCATATGCTCATGGATGAAGAGACTTCATGATGCGAGTTCACCGATAGTGTTGCGCTACTATCCAGGACATGTCATCGTCGGAGACGAAGGAAATTGGAATTACGTCAATGGCTTGAACCTAGGTCTAAAAGGAAGGTTCCCAGAAGCTAAACTGTGGTTCCATCACTGTTTATCGTGGGTGACTGGAGGTACACAGAGAGTGTACGTGAACGGTGTACAATTAGGCAGCACATCCGCTTCAGCTGACAACCTTCAAATGGGAGGGACCATCGCTTTAGGGAACTCTAATTCTAAAACTACGAATTACGTATTCGGTGGACAGTTACTCAAGCTGAACTGGTATTCTGAAGAACTTACCTCATCCCAGATAAGAAAGATGTTTGAAGCTGGTATGTGTTCTACTGTTATAGAGGAGGAGTATAGCAGCAGGGAGATAAAGTGGGAGCTGATTCTGACGAAACAGAGAAACGGCAATGTTACAGAGTTTCTCCCAACAGAATGTGCCACGTATGAGGTAGAGACCAAGCTGGAGGAAACTGAGGTTAAACTTGCCACCATTGAGCAGAAACTACAGGAAGTGACTGCAACTCTAAACGACACTCTATCCGAACTACAGGAAAGGACTACAACTCTAAACGACACTGTATCCGAACTAACAGAAACTAAAACAGAACTGATTGAGACCAAGGCAGAGTGTAGGGAATCAAAGATTGTGCTCCAGGAAAAAGAAACCAAGCTTAACAGAACCGAACAGAAACTACAGAAGGTGACTGAAACTCTTAACGAAACTTTAACAGAACTGAATGGGACCAAAGCAGAGTGTAGGGAATCAAAGATTGTGCTCCAGGAAAAAGAAACCAAGCTTAATAGAACCGAACAGAAACTACAGGAAGTGACTGAAACTCTTAACGACACTTTAACAGAACTGAATGGGACAAAAGCAGAGTGTAGGGAATCAAAGATTGTGCTCCAGGAAAAAGAAACCAAGCTTAACAGAACCGAACAGAAACTACAGGAAGTGACTGAAACTCTTAACGACACTCTCTTGGAGGAGGCTAGAAGTCTTGAAACTGTTAGTAGATGGGACGTTCTGTTCACTCCCCCTTACCTGAATAAGCTCTTTACACGGCAGCTCTACAATCAACTGACCAACTGGGTTATGATGGGTAAATCTTTCTTACTTTTTTAAATTTCCCAGGAAATGTATAATTGTTTGTATAATTGTATAATTGTTTCATATTATCATTATTTAACAACGTGACCAGATAAAGCTCATACCACTGTTGACCTGACAAACTTATAACATTTCAGAGGATTTCATTGGGGTGAACGTTACAGTGGGACTGGTGAAGCATTTCAAACAACACCACGAGGAACAAGAGGACCACGAAACTTGCGAGGAGGACTGAACAACAACTACTGTTATCTACTATTGAAGTTTTAATTAAGTGCATGGTACACTGTAACCTTTGTCATTTGGCCCTGTAATCGTCTGTAATCATCTGTAATTGTCTGTAATCGTCTGTAATCAACATTTTAGCTGTAATATTAACATTACTAATATACTGTTATCAGCTATTAACTATTAACTATCAACTAATATTATTCTATGTGACTGTATTAAACTGTACTGACTTAATATGACGTAAACATTTATTATGATAATAACGATTTACATATGACTAAAATCTTTGATTTTAAGCTGTGTTCAACTGTTAACACTAACATTTGACGAAATCAACACTTATTATAAAAACTCCAACTAATCATCTGGCAGCTGTTCTTATGAGGTCTTTAAACCTACCAACATTAGGCGTGCCCATCCAGAAAGGGTCCTAAATTAACAGATTGGTCAACAAACACGTTTTGAGTCTTTAGTTTGGTGAAATACAAAAACATTGCACATGAAATTATGAAACGACTTGAAAGTTGGCGAATTTTACATAATATTCTAGATGGTTCAGCAAATTAGTATTTTTGATTTCTGGAACCATTCGTCGAATGGCTCATTTTAAGGTTATCCATGCTCTTACCTGATCACGTGATTACTATTAGATGACCCGTTAAATTGTGAAGGCAGCCCAGTTATAAATTTTGTTAACGAGATACACAAAATGCTTTATAACTTCGTCATTTCATATCCTTTTTGCCTCAAACTTGCTGAATCTCAGATCAGACTCAGCAATTAATTATCTACAGTAATCTGGGAAAATTAGGCGTCTAGAATTTTCGGGAAGAACAATATAGGTGATTTAATATTATATGGGTGTGGTCTGAAAAAAATTTTCGAATTTTGGCGATGGGATCCTCGGAGTAGTTACAACATGCCATCTGCAAAATTACATGTCCCAAACATGAAATACGGCGGCCGCCGCGGTACTATAAGACCCAGCGTATGTAACGTTGCTTTTAGCCCCCCTGTATGTTTAAAATTTGATTTTTTTAATATCAAATGACTAATTTTTGACACACGCTTTTGCGTCCCATTTTTATTGATATTTCGACAGATTTGTGCAAAAATAATCATCGGTTCAAAAATAATTGGTTCACTCCGGTAGGTATGTCTGGCTAGCTTTATTCTGAAGTTAAACCATTTTGAGCAGAAGTTTTTATGGCCTCTTAATTAACTACTTCTTTTTGTTTTTAATGTAAAGATTTCATGAAGAGCTTTTATTTGATGCCCCTATATTTTCATCAAAAATTAGAACTTTCCAGAACAAAACCAATGTTATTTCTGCAAAATTTAGGTGCGCAATAACGAAATAAGGTAATTTAGCCAAAAGATATCGGTAACTGGTAGTTTATTGAAACTGGTGTTTCATGAGAAATAGCCTTGTTAGCACTTGTTATCAGCCAAAGAACATAAATCTAAATTTCTTCAAACAGTTGAAAACCATTATTTACTCGATTTCAAGTTTAAAAGTGACAGATTGTGGATGCGCGAAATCTTAGCTAATAGCTTACCTAATACCTATCTTATAACCTTGTGAGTATCAAGATACTGTCTACATGGTAGGTTAGGAGGTGTAAAGATGGTACGTATAGAAAATGTCTTCCTTCTAAAATATCACCAATCGCTACACCTACGCTATGCATTTTTCTAGGCAAGGGTCGACCGAGGGCAGGATTTGCGACCGAGGCCGAGGAAATTTTGCTTTGATAAAACCGAGACCGAGGCAAACCGAGGAATTGTCCTCCTGACCGAGGCCGAGGAAAAATCGCTATTTCTCGGTAAAACCTTCAAAATTTCGCCGAGGCCGAGGAATAGCATCTTAATTTTTAACCGAGGCCGAGGCGAACCGGTCGACCCTTGTTATCGTGAAGCTCAGCACGTCAGCAAGCCAGTTGGTTGATCTATTTTGAAAAATAGTTTAGTAATATACAGCTCTATGTTTAGTATATACAGCTCTATGCAGATGATTCTCAACTGTACATCTCATTTAAACCAAACCGTGTGGTACAGTTCATTGATGTCCAAGACAGAACAAACAAATGTCTTGCAGAGATAAAAGCATGGATGGTGAACAACTACATGAAACTGAACGAAACAAAGACAGAACTACTGGTGTTAGGAAAGAGCCATGTTCTAAAAAAGTGTGAACTCAGTGTCAGACTGCAATTTGGAAGCACTGAAATTCTGCCTACGGAGTGTAAAGGAGACAGCTGGAAGAGTCTGGGTGTCAAATTTGATGAAACTCTAAATATGGAAAGACAGATCAATAATGTCAAAAGGAAATGAAGCTGGACAATGATGAATCTAAGAACCATTGGTCGTTACCTTGATGAAGGCATTAAATTGATGCTGGTGAAACAACTGGTCATATCTAAATTAGACTACTGTAATTCTCTTTACATGAATCTACCCAAGACCAGATTGAACAAACTTAGATCAACCCTTAATGGGGCAGTTCGTTTCATCTATAACATAGAAGAGAGGACCACGGACTTGGTTCCCTTCTATAAGAAGGCCCACATACTCCCTATAGACCAACGAATCTTCTTTAAAGTTTGTCTTTTAACCCACAAATCAGTTCACGGTACCGTACCTGATTACCTCAAAGCACTGCTGGATGTGGATGTAGTGGATAAAGAACTCTCAAACACCATGACCATGACCAGGTCGAAGAGACCTGATGACCATCTCATGCTCAAGGTACCAAAGAATAAAAGATCCAAAGTTGATGACAGACGTTTCTCAAGCCATGCACCGATTGCATGGAACTCTCTTCCCCTGATGTTGAGATGTATCACTGATAAATAAATAAATAAAATAAATAAATAAAGTCAATTTTTACAGCACAGCAATATATATCTAAATATCAGATCCTCTGTAATCATAATGTATAAAAAAAGGAGCTTTTCTCTGTGCTGAAGGATGAATCAAGGCAGATCATGGTTCTGTTAGCAGGCCACCCTAGTTATGGACAATACATATATATAAAATAATTAAATTATAATTTTAAAATTGTGTCAAGATTGAACTAAAACATAACTCAGGGTAAAATAGACGTATTCCCTTCGTCAAATTAACTATTTACAATACTAAACTTAAACGAACTCCGGGTAAAATAAACGTAATCCCTTTGTCAAACTTGCTATTTACAATAAGTTAATAAATTAATACGGTTGAAAATTATTTCATATTCAATAACAATGTAGCATCAATATAATTGATACAAATGAGGAGCATACAGTGAGAATTGCACATAACAGGAGGACTGTAGGTATGGAGCAATAATGATTGACAGTGCACCTTTCCACTGATGTTCCTAATTTCCTGTAATAGCTTAATAGGCATGGAAATACTTTGATTGCAGGGGATAGATTGGATTCACTTATGTACTGAGATAACTTAACCGAAATAACATAACTGCCTAGATACATTGGCTAGTGTTGGGTGGGATCATGAATTTATCGTAAGAGTTATCCCCTTGGTAATTCTCATCAGTTAGCAACATATTCATAAGAGTTTCTTTGTATAACTTAGAAAATTTCTTAACGTCGTCACACTCTCTAAGGGACTTTGGTAATATGTTCCAGGCCTTAGTTCCTAGATAGTTAAACTCCTTGTGAGATCTTGATTTAGGAGTATAAAGATTGCAGTTTTCTGCCTCACGTGATCCACCAGAAATATACGAGAATTTCCCGATAAAATGCTTTGGACATGTTTCATTGATTATACGGTACATATATGAGCTAAGATGAACCTGTCGTCTCAAATGGAGAGGAAGCCATCCCATATTTTTGTATACATTAACCGACCTCTCTCTGATGTTTACATCTAGGGCTATTTTAGCAACCTTTTTGTACATGATATCTAACTCTCCTAGTCGTTTTTTATATGTTCTTGACCAGATGGTGTCTAAGTAGTCAAAATGTGGCAACATAAGTGCATTAGCAAACATCTTCCTGAACTTAAGAGGGAGAAGTTTTTTTGATCTATACATAGCACCAATTCTTTTGGATATCTTTTTCTTAATGTTATCAATATGTTCATTAAATGTCAATCTGCTGTCAACTATAAGTCCAAGGTACTTATGGGATTTAGTTTCACAGATTACCAAAGTAAGGTCATCACAAATTTCAACAAGGATGGCATCAAGGTTAGGCTTAGAGTCAAGGATCATTAGTTTTGTTTTTTCATTATTCAGGGATAGTTTATTAGCCTGAAGCCATCTGATAACTAATTTCAACTCTTGTTTGATGTTACCATAGTTTCCTCTAGATATATTGTCAAAATATAATGCACCGTCATCAGCAAATAGATAAGGTTTAGAAAATAGGCATGCATTAGGCAGGTCATTGATAAAAATGCTGAATAGAATTGGTCCTAATATACTTCCTTGAGGCACTCCAGAGTTCAATGAATGTAAACTGCTTATCCTACTCCCAACTCTAGTTTGCTGTAATCTATCTGTGAGGAAGCTCCTAAACCAGCTCAATGCAGTATCTTTTATTCCATAATGCTTCAGCTTTTGAATGAGAATATCATGGTTAACAGTATCAAATGCCTTTCTGATGTCCAGGAAGATAATTGCAGGATGCTTGGCACTGTTCTTAGCAGTAAATATACGATCAAACAGATCTAACATGAGATAAGTTGTAGAGTGATCTTTACGGAAACCATATTGATGCTCTGAAAGTATTCCCTTTTCATCAAGATATTGAGTCAGTTGGGAGTTCACACAAAATTCGATGCACTTTCCAAGAATCGGTAAAATTGAGATTGGTCGATAATTACTAGGATTCTCAGTATCACCATCCTTATGGATTGGGGTGACTTTTGCAACCTTGCAGCTGTTTGGCATGATGCCACTGGATAAACTCAAATTTACAAGATGTGTTAATGGAGCAATAAATGCAGGTAAAATTTGTCTAAACACTCTCAATGGTATATGATCATTAGTGGATTTGCTACAAGGGATACTTGCCACATAGTCTAAGATATTGGACTCAGTTATTTCAGTAAAGCTATTCAAGCTGGTCTCGTTGTCAATCTGCTCATTTTGTAGATAAGATAGAAATTCATTTTCATTTTCCAGCTGCACTTCTGCTTGGATCTTTGGACCTATTTCAGCAAAATATTTATTGGTGGTTTCAGCATCAAGATTGTTATTGATATTGTTAGCTTTAACAGGCAGATTTGATGCTGTCTTTATCGTTTTCCATACACCCTTTAGATCATTCATGGCACACTTGGCTTTCAGTTCTGTTGCTAAGTTAGTCTTCCTATTAATTCTAGACAAATAGGTTGAATAGTTTCTCTGCCGTTTATATGCCATCCATAATGAGTCACATTTATTACAGTGTATAAGACCATTTGGATGTATACGTCTGTTCTTGTTGTGTGTTAAAAATTTACGGTAAAGTTTCCCTTTCAATTTCTTACTTTCTAAAAATTCTGGAGATGGCTTATGGATGTAATCACTATGGCACTTAATTTGTTTAATTGGACAGAAGTGATCATAGTAGTGATCAATATGTTCGTTTAAACCATCAACTGCATCATTCAGACTAGTTGAATCTATTATTGGTCTATAATCACAGGTTTCCAAAAATTCTTTAAGAGCAGTAACATTCATTTTGCTGTGATCTCTTATTAGTAACTTCTTGAATTTTGAGGCCTTATGCACATTGAAATCGACAATGAACTTTACGACCTGATGATCTCCTATACAATCATCAAGGACTTTGCAGTCAAGAAACTTGGAGTAAGTGTTTGTTATGACAACATCGATTGTGGTCTTTGTGATTCTGTTTCCTAGTTTAGCAATGCGGGTAATATCCTGAACTACCTGTACCATTCCAAACATTTTCATTGTAATGTCTAATTTCTTATAGTTCATACTGCTGATGTTGTTTTGGTCTACATTTACATCACCCAGCCAAATAACATTCTTACTTCCTATACTCATCATGCAGTCTGTCATATAATCTAAAAATTTGTCAAGAGGACTAAACAACTCAGATCTGTAGAAACAGCAGATGAAAATATTGCAATCTGTAAGATGGATCCAAATAGCCTCGATTTGGTCATATTGCAAAACTAAGTTTAGTTGAATCATTTTAAACTTTATGTGCTCACTGATGAGAATGCCACATCCCCCATGACCATTGTCGTTAGGACGGTCTTTGCGGATAAAAGTAAAATTCTTGGGTAGGTTTAGACTGGCTGAGTCAATATCCGACTTAAGATTTGTTTCATTCAGGCATAAAACATCTAATTTCTCTTTCCAGATTAGATCTTGGATTTCAAGACATTTTGGCATACCTGTTAGTCCTCCCTGCATGTTGCAATGTCCCACTGCAAGCTTTTTGGCATGGTATGAAACTGTGATTTTACTAATGCACGGGTTAATGCAAGAACTGCTGTGAGAGCATGAAAATTTTTCCAATTTATGCTGCTATAAACTTGTCAGAATAAGATAAATTGCAGAACTGGCAAATTTGTATGAGATAATAACAAAGCTTTCTAAAACTTCAATAAACATGAGGAACAATGTGTAATTATCCCTTATCTAGAATCTAGATGAAATAAATGTTAACAATCTTTCTGAAAATTCAAACTTGCTTATGGGCCCAATACTTCAGAAATTTAGCAAGTCGAATAACACCGCTTGTATTGAGGTGACAGTTATCAGATATTTTTGCAGATGGTCTGGCAAAATAAAATTCTTTCCTGAATCCACTTCTATTATAGTTAAATAAATTATGGGTGCTAATGTAATTAAAACAAGAATCTTTGCTACACATATCCTTAATAACCTTATTCAGCTCTGCCACAACATCATTGCGGCCTTTTGTACTCCTGGGAAGAATATTGAGAACATTAATTGTTGCATTCGGATACACTGACTTGAGATAATTTAAGAGATTACTAATGTCACCCGCTGCATCCTTCAGTGACTTTGAGCCAAAATAGACTGTGTTCACATTATTAGTTCCTGTCATAATATAAATAATAGATGGGGATGGAACGGAGTGTAGGTCAGTTTTTAGTTTATTTAACATTACTTTGGCATCAGCCCCAGGATAAAACAGTTTACTAGCACTAACAGTGGACGATGATAACTTGTCCGCATCAAGAAACCTGAACATAGAGCTGCTTATGAATAGGACAGACTTTTGTGAAGCTTTGGCTGGCTGTTTGCAAACTGAGAGTGCAGGTGAAGAAGAGTCTGTCAGTTTGTGTCCTGAATGAGGGATGGGTGGGGGCGGTGAACGCAGACCAAACTCAGTTGACTGAGTGATCCTAGGGGGCTTCATCAGTCTTAGGGTGATGCTGATCCGGGGTTCATCACACATTTCGTCTGGCAGTATCTCATGTTGAAAGTCAGCCTGAGACAATTTGGACATAATGAAGACATCTCCATGCTGAAGCTGCACAGAGCCCACAACTTCATTGCTGCCGTTTGATCTAATTTGCAGTGTTCTCGTCGCACCAAGTGAAATGGTTACAATATCAGAGTGTTCTACAATACATGATTCAGAATCGCTATGAGCTGGCATGAACTCTGCTCCAGTTTCATATAGATTGACGAGAATACTATTGTGTCTGAAATTGGGTAATATCACATTAATGTAGGAGCTGAGTTTAGCAAGGTAGGAATCATTGTGTACACTTTTTGGGTCATGTGTTGCACCTGAATACTCATAGGGAAAGTCACCAAAATAAACCGATTTCCTGTTTTTAAAACCGTGACTGAACTCAAGTTCTTCCATTAATAGATCAAGTGAAAATTTAGAGAATGGACCATCATCTAGTAGGGTAACTGGTTTCACTGGTGATGGGGAACAAGTTACAGATATATTCATTGGCCCCGGTGTTATAGGATCGTAGACAGGGGCAGGGACCAAGTTTGGATATTTGTCTCTGGGCTTAGGGGTGTTGATCCGTGATTCACCAGTAGCAGTAGATACAGGGAGATCAGACACATCATCCTCGTCTGCCATAACCTCGTTAACAACAATCTCACTGATAACAATCTCGTTTCCAACAACCTCCTGTGGAACAACCTTGTCCACGACATCGTTGTCAACAAACAAACTGTCCGATACAACATCTTCCACAACAATGTCATCTACATCAAACGCTTCTACTTGATTGATAACAACGTGTGACTGAGGGGTAATGGTTATGATCTCACATTCAATCTCCTCTGATAAGTTCGGCAGCAAATTTTCACACTTAAAACTCTGTTCTTGTATTTGAGTTTGATCTGATATGAGACTATCATTGTACTGAGCAATGAGATCACTAGTTCTGATAATTTCATTCAATAAAGACAACTTTTTTTCTAAAAAGTCAATCTTGATGTCTTTTGACAGACAATTGTTACAGTTCTCTGATTTTTCAGACTGGAATGAAAAGTTCAAATGTTCTAAAGGGCGCTCACAAAAGTGGAGACTAATGTCTGAGCTCTGATTATTTGACATAGTTATATTATCAAGAGTTCAATGTTCAGAAGCACAATAAACACTGTAAACGCAATACCTTCAGTCCAGATAGTAGTTTTGATGAGAATAGTTTTGATGAGAAGGAGGAGGATGAGTAATCTTCAAGTACACTCACAGCAGTCCTTTGCACGTCAACACTTACGCTCGTCTATCATATCTCATACCTCAATAAATGTAATAGATTTGTAGTGTTGTAATTAGTTTAAAACCAACTGTTTCAAGCGAATGTTAAAGAATCATTTATATAATCAGTTCTGATGTTTTTCTTTCCATTGTCTTCACTTTTCAAGACACATTGGCTTTTTTTTTAATTTTTTTAACCGCACTCCATTTTATGCCTTGATCTCTTACTTACTTGGATCTGATTCTTTCTTGATTGATTATGTCACTGTACTAACCTTTATTATACCTACATGTACTGTATGGTTTCTGCTTCTATTTAGTTTAGTGTGGTTTACAATAAAAGATGTTTTAATTTTGTCTTTGCCTTATGTAGAGTTATACTTTAGTTCACTTTTTACACTTTTGCTCACATCACTCACAGTCAGCCGCTCTGACATGGTTAACCACCTTCCTTGTGTTGTTGGTTAATCATATGAGCGGGATATAAATACCTCATTTCATTTCATTTCAATATTGACATGTGTATGACGTAATTGTGTGATAGTAGTGATAGTAACAAACGTTTAAACAATTCTCTCAATTATTGCAACATATCCTTGTTAGTATTCTCACTGAGCTGCGAGGGCCACATCGCTGCAGTGTTTCTATTTCTATTATGGATTGTATTTGTATTTATATTCATTTATTTATTTATTAAGATGACTAACCATCTATCTCCATAGGAGTGGTGGGGCTGTTTTTACACTACAATTACTGCCTATCATTGCACCGTCTAACCAATAAAACATGGTAAACAGTGAAGATGAAAAAGAAAGTAATCCACCACCTGATACAGCAACATCATCAAATGTTCAAGGAGCAGTACTGCAACCAGAGCCAATACAAGTGCAGTACCAACAGCCAGCAGCCCGCCTTACAGCCCCACCGCAATGGAAAGCATCTATGAGTTATGAGGAATGGAGACTACAAGTTGAGATGTGGGACAAATTATGTGCAGTCAGAAAAGTAGACCCCGCAGAGCAAGGGTATGCCTTGTTCAACCTAGTATCTCAACACACTGATCATAATATCGTATCAAAGCTCAACTCAGCAGTAAAAAACAAAGACATCGATGTTCTTGACGGGGAAGGAGTACAAAACATCATGAAGCTATTAGATAGAACATACAGGAAAGATGATACCAGTAAGATGATGAAATCCTGGTCGGATTTTATCAATCTTAGGAGAAAGGACAGTCAAGATATGTCAAGCTTTCTCAATAACTTTGATCAAGCCAACACCAACTTGAAAATTAGCAAGATATCTCTTCCTGGAACTGTGTTAGCATTACACATGCTAGAAAGATCCGGTTTATCAGCAAATGACAAAAAGCTGGTAATGACTGGAGTTGAGTTAGTTAAAACAGAGTCTGTTGTTGAAGATATGATGAATTCAATCAAGAAATACTTTGGTGAAGGAATCCGTGAGGTTGAAAAGAGACCACAATGTGATACGCCCATCAAAGAAGAGCCAGTATTCAATGGTGAGAGACTTTTTTCTGAATCGTCAGAATCTACACGTTCATCATCAGATCCTGATAACATGTCTGAAGAAGAGGAAGCCTACTACACCAATTGGAGAAATAGAGGAAAGGCTTGGAGAAGAACAGATAATAACAGATCATACAACAATCACATCTCAAGATTTAATCGTGACAAAAGGGATAATGACAAAGGAGAATACAAGCCAAAGAGATATTCAGATAATGATCGAAGAAGAGATAACTCTAGAAGTTTCAAAAAAGAGTACTCTAAGACATATAAGACAGCTGATGACTCTAGGGCAACTCAGAAGTTTAACCCCCGGTTGAGATGTAATAGATGTGAATCAGTAATGCATTTGATTAAAGATTGTCCTCATTCAGATAGATCAGAAAATGTTAATGAATGTAGAGAGATTTCAGAGATGGAGACAGCAGAATGCCATCAGGTAGCACTTTTAGACTCTGCTTGCTCGAAGAATGTAGTTGGCGAAGAATGGATTCGTGAGTACATAGATAACCTGACAGAAGAGGACAAAGCACTCCTGAAAGTGTCAGACGCCCGTTCAAAATACAGTTTTGGAGGTAGTGACCCTATTGCTGCCGCAGATGCGGTGAGAGTACCTTGTATAATTGCCGGAAAGAAGACATTCCTTTGGGCTGATATAGTGCAAAGGAATATTCCATTTCTGATCTCCAAAGAAGAGATGGCAAAGCGAGGGTTTAAATTAGACCTTGGTACAAGTACGATTGAAGTAGATGGAGAGATGATCCCTGTTATAACAACCGAGTCAGGTCTGATTGGCATATCTCTATGGGATTATAATGAAGTTGCTATAGAAGAGCAATGTAATCTAGTCAATCTAGATGACACAGTCAGCAGTATTACCAAACTTCATAAGCAGCTGGGTCATTGTTCAGCAGAGAATCTGAAAAAGATTACCAAAAATGCAAACGTACAAGGTGAAAATGTGAACAAGGTGATTGATCAAGTGCTAAAAGAATGTGATGCCTGTGCGAGATATAAAAGAACACCCTCCACACCAGTCGTTGGATTACCTATGGCAACGAAGTTCAATGAGGTAGTAGCTCTTGATTTGAAACAATTTACTGGAATCAATGGTTATGTGATTTACATTGTTGATATGTTCTCAAGATTCTGCAAAGCTAGGGTGATTTCCAACAAAAAGCCAGAGACAGTAATAAAAGCCTTTACTATGGAATGGATTGCAGCAGGTATGGGACCTCCAGGAAAAATATTAGTGGACAATGGAGGAGAATTCGCAAACAATGAACTTAATGATCTCAGTGAACAACTCAACTTTGAAATTTGTGTTACCAGTGCCTACTCACCTTGGTCAAATGGCTTATGTGAAAGAAACCATGCTGTGGTTGACAAATCAGTGCTTAAAATGATGTATGACGGGTTTCCATTGAAGATAGCACTTGCATGGTCAATCAATGCCAAGAACACACTGTACAATGTCAGTGGATTTTCTCCAGTGCAGATAGTGACAGGTCAGAATCCAAACTTTCCTGGGGTATCTTACAACTTGCTACCTGCTAATGAAGGAGCAGATGAATCATTATCAAGCGACATTCAAAGGAATCTTAATGCAATGTATCTAAGCAGAAAAGCATATCTAGAGGCAGAGAATTCAGAAAGAGTTAAAAGAGCTTTGAAAAGACCCTTACGAGATATCAACCAAGACTTTATGATTGGTGATGTTGTATTCTACAAAAGACCTAATATTGAACGCTGGAAAGGACCTGCCAAGATAGTCGGCAAGGAAGGAAAGACTCTTATACTGAGGCATGGAGGACTGCTTATCAAAGCAGCAAGCTGTAGAATTGTGAAACGAGAATATATAGTGAGTGACGAGCACAACCAAAACAATGATGATATCTTGGAAACAGAGAATAGCATACATGATGAAGCAGTCAATCTTAACGATGATCAGTTTGATGAAGCTGCTGAAAACATAGAAGAAATGCCTATTCAATTTCAAGTGCCAGTGGAAACAGAGGAAATACCAACAGGACAAGAAATTATGAGCTCCTCTCCAATACTTGAAATAGACTCTAAGGTAATTTCCAATGAACAAAAACAACAACTCAAGATTAAGTATTTGGAAACTAGACTTCAGAAAAACGATGTTTCGGTCGGAGATACGGTGAAACTTGTTAAAGAAGGAAAAGAAAATGAATGGGAGACATGTACCGTGACTCAAAAAGGAAAACGGCTTGGCAGAAAAGATCACTGGGTGAAACTTATGACAACCCAAGGTGAAGAAAAGCTGATAGATTGTACAAAGACGGCTATGTACAAAGCTGATGCTGCTATTGATGCAGAACCTGGAGACGATCACGAAGAATGTAATGTTGTGACAATTCCCACTTCCAGACACAATGAAGATGTGGTTATTAAGGCTAAAGTTATTGAATTGACTAACTGGAAGCAGAGAGAAGTATATGATGAAGTCAAGGATTGTGATCAGAATGTCATTACAACAACTTGGGTAATAACAGAAAAACCCAGCACTGAACTTGGAGTTAAAGCCCGGTTAGTAGTCCGTGGATTTCAAGAGCAAAATCAGTCGATTGAAGTGGAGTCACCTACAGTATTCAAAAACACTCTCAAGGTTGTACTTGCTATAGCTGCAAACCAGCAGTGGCAACTAACAACGATTGATATCAAAGCTGCCTTTCTGCAAGGAAATAAAATTGAAAGAAATGTTTATGTCATACCACCCAAGGAAGCTCATGTAGAAAAAGGTTATTTGTGGAGATTGAGAAAGACAGTGTATGGTTTAAATGATGCGGCAAGAGCTTGGTTTATCAGTGTGAAGGGACTTCTTATCAACCTTGGTTGTACTCAATCAGTGTTAGATCCTGCTTTGTTCATATGGAGAACTAGTACTGGATTCGAAGGAACACTTGTGCTTCACGTTGATGATTTCTTAGTAGCTGGTACAAAGTCATTCTTTGATAGAGTTGTAAAAGAACTGACATCAAACTTTGAAGCTGGTAAAATCTGCAAATCAAAGTTCAATTACATTGGTCTATCAGTTGAGCAGACAGAAGACGGTATCCTAGTGAACCAACATGAATATATCCGAGATCTAGCAGATGTCATCAATGATAAAGAACATGAGATATATCATCTGTCGACTGACAGGAAGCTTAGAACAATATGTGGTCAGTTGAACTGGGTAGCTGCTCAATCACGCCCAGATTTGTCATTCATGACGTATGATTTAAATGTAACAAAGAGTGTAGATCCAGTAGAAGCTGTTAAGAAGGCCAATAAAGCATTCAGACGGATGAAAGAGCTCAACGGTTGTTACAACACAAAGTTCTCAAAGTTAGGAGACATTTCTACACTAAAGATTGTGATCTACTCTGATGCATCATCTATGAACCTCGGTGACAAGGTGTCCACAGGAAAAGGTCATCTAATAGTCCTAATGAATGAGGAAGGAAAGATATCACCGTTATCATGGGGAAGTCATAAATGTAAACGAGTTGTAAGCAGCACTTTGAGCGCAGAGACTTTGGCATTCAAAGATACATTAGATCATGGAGTGTATGTCTCTCATCTGATAAGTGAGATCTACTTCGATCAATTTGATAAGTCAATGGTTCCAGTAATAGGCTTTACAGACAATCAATCATTAGATAAAGCTTTGCGATCAAGTAAACATGTTGAAGAAAAGAGGTTGAACGTTGATCTGGCTACCATTAGACAAATGCAGCAGAAAGATGAGATTGAAGTAAAATGGGAAGAGGGAGCTAAACAGCTTGCGGATCCCTTTACTAAAATAACCAGTAACAGTGATAAACTTTTAGTGATGCTAAATAAAGGAGAAATTGTTTCAATTTAATTGGTATTTAATGGTTTTTTAATTAGTGGTAGGTTTTGACGCCAATGAAACAGTGTGCATTTGTTTTTTTTAATTGTTTATAATTTGTTTATAATTACGAGTGACGATGACTTTAATGTATAATTAACCTTTAACAAAAAAAAAAAAAAAAAAAAAAAAAAAAAAAAAAAAAAAAAAAAAAAAAAAAAAAAACAACAACAACAACAACAACAATCCGAAGTCCCGGTGACACTTTGTCAAGAACAGCTTATTAAAAGAAAAAGACAATCCGAAGTCCCGGTGACACTTTGTCAAGAATCAGCCCATCAAAAAAAAAAAAAAAAAAAAAAAAAAAAAAAAAAAAAAAAAAAAACTAACAATATTTACAGGGTTTCACAAGGAATTGGTACCTGTGCATCTCTGTTTTGGTTTTGGATCTTGTGATCTCCTGTGGTAGTGTGGCTCTCCTCTTGGCTAGTACCTACTCTCACCTTGCTCTCAACGTGACAGACTACTTACTTTCTCCTGCTATCTATGGCCGTTGTGAGAACGGGATACAGACTATGAATAGTACAGTGTAAGAAATTGAAAGGACGGAAAGAATTGAAATGAACAGTATTATTATGATTTTTGAAAAAGGAAGGAAGAAAGAATTGAGAATGTGATGATAGTTTTTGGAAAAGTGATGATGATTGTTTTTTTGGAAAAGTTTTAATCTGTTTTAGAAATTGGGGTAAGATGTTAGTATTCTCACTGAGCTGCGAGGGCCACATCGCTGCAGTGTTTCTATTTCTATTATGGATTGTATTTGTATTTATATTCATTTATTTATTTATTAAGATGACTAACCATCTATCTCCATAGGAGTGGTGGGGCTGTTTTTACACTACAATTACTGCCTATCATTGCACCGTCTAACCAATAAAACAATCCTCAATTTAATTCTTACAGTTATTCAGGTTCATGCCGGTTCATGAGGTTTGAATTGAGCCCTTTATTAACTATCACAATAATTAACCAGTTTGATGTAAATTTGAGTCATAATGAACTAAACGTTTCTGAGTAACTTTTTACCTTTCATTGCACAAAGGAACTCCCCAGTATACTAACAATTTGTATCATCTATTTGATGTGGAATAGGTTACATGTTGCTCTCTATAATGAAAGTGAAACTATCTATTTCAGTTTCTTTTTAGTTTCTGGATAAATCACGCCCGTGTTAAAACAGAGAACACATCAATTTTAGTCGATCAAACTTAGTTCGCACTGCTCTCATTCATTTCGCAACTTTATCCTTTCGAACTTGGTGACGTTTATAGTCTTTATACTTTCCTGCTTAGATGAGCATGAACTATTAGTACTATACCCACTACCTAATAGTTAACCTAATCTGAAGTCTTTATGTATCCTTCAAACAAGTCCCCTGTTATCTTCTTAATTATATATCTACAGTACTTTAAACTATTATTCCGTTCTGTGAACGATCCCAAGGCATCTTATCCTCAATTTTCATTCAATAGCAACAATTTCTAAAATTTAGTCGGCAAAAAAATAGCAGGCAAATGGAGTCGACTTTTAGCAAGGTTGTAGAAAAATGATATGCTGCTATAAATGTAATTTTAGGATTTGATAATGGCCTTACTTGGTTATAAGCTCATGAGGGTACTTTCCAACTCTTCGTCAGGGATTGTTCGCATATTATTACGCTACGAGGTGACAAAGTCACTACTCCCTCAGTCAAGTGACTATTATAATGTAAAGAGGCTTTTAAGTTTTAAATCGTATTTTAACAAGATATTATACACAAAACGAAATAATTACGTAAAGGCTGTAATTTTACTTTTATATGGAATATTAATGGATTTTTTTTATCTAGACACTTATTTTACTTCGGTGTATTCCAACAGCCACAATGTTACACAAGTGCAACCAGCCAATTACAGGAAGCCGAAGGATCTTTTTGGCCAGTGACGGTTAAGGTAGTGTGTACCATACTTTCTTCGTCCGAGACTTTGCTGCAATGTGCAGCTCCTCATTTAACCCTCACACCCGATTTCTCGAGTATTCGGCTGAGTAGACCGGGGGGCTGCATAGACCACTCATGATCCTTAGCTGAACGTCGACGACGCTCACCCCACGACCAGGCAGTCAGTGGGTTTCGAACTCGCAACCTAACGATTGTAAGACAGGCGTTCTAACCAACTGCGCTACCTGGCCGTTAAAAAAAAGTAAATGGATAAAATTTTTACTATACACATCTAGAACGGTTCCTAAATTAACAGATCGGTCAATTATAAACACGACATAGTGTTCCTTGTTTTGAGTCTTTAGTTTTGGGAAATACAAAAAGTTTCACCAAAAACGACTTGAAAGTTGGCGAATTTAACATATTAATGGTTCAGCAAATTATTATGTCTGATTTCTGGAACCGTTTGTTAAATGGCTCCATTTGAAGGTTATGGCCACAATTTTGTCAAAAATACAGGGTGGGGGGCCAAAGTAACGTTGCATACATTGGCCTTTATGGCTCAGTCACTGATCGTCCGATTGAGGTAATTCTTTTTGGTATGACTTACTTTCACCACTCATTCGAGGAATATGTTAAATCAAAGAATATTCATGTTAATTTTTTTCGAATGAAGGTTCATTATCGCATTTATTTGATAGTTCTGATAATCGGATCGAGCCAAATTTTATTGAATTGTGTTCGGCCATTCGAATCACGTTTGTCCTGAACAGATGAGAGTTGTAGCTTCTCAGATAACTGAGATAGAAGCATAACGAGTTTATTCATTATGTGTGATCAGGCTTACCTGATTGTGAAGGCAGCCCAGTTAAGGTGTCGTGTCACATAATCAACCAATCAATTTTGTTAAAGAGATACAAAAAATCAAAAATTCTTGATAACATCGTCATTTCATATCTATCTATTATATGGGCGCGGTCTGAAATACTCGAATTTTCGAATTTTGTTAACTAGTAAGGTTTTTTTCAAACCTTACCAGTTACCACTTACCATGGCCAAAGATCACGAATAAATCTTAATGTTTTCAAACAGTTCAAACCCCATTCAAATTTACTCGATTTCAGGTTTAAAAAGTGGCAGATTTTACACTTGGAGGAAGCTTAGCTTGGACAAAATTTAAAACCAGCAAAACTATGGTGCAATATAAATTGGGACAATCTAATATAGCCTATAAAAGTACTAAGTACTATTAGTTTCATGTTAGATAACAATCGTATAGTTTCTTTGCGTGTACCACTTTTATTTGTGAACATTCTTAAATACTGTGTCCAACTAGTATTCCGAATTTAAATGTTATTAACATTATACGATATATCCTGTAGTTCATTTTATCAGCACACCTAAAAGAGCTCACTTGCGTATTGAGCCTAATGTTTGTTTAATTTTTCTGTCGATATTACTAATCCTCGTTAATTTCTGTATAGCAATGATGATCACCTTCATTGTGACACTTTCCCTGGTTTGTGCTCTAGCCTCTAGTAATGACGGACTGAAGGTCCGAGCTCTGTCATTTGGTCGAACAAATGCAGACTATGTACAATTCAAACCCAGTGGTGATATGTCTCCGTTCTCTACTTCCTTTACCATATGCTCATGGATGAAGAGACTTCATGATGCGAGTCACCCAATAGTGTTGCACTACTGGCCATGGGAATTGGTCATCGGAGACAACGGATATTGGAATTACGCTAACGGGTACCTAGATCTAAGCGGAAGGTTCCCAGAAGCTAAACAGTGGTTCCATCACTGTTTATCGTGGGTGGTTGGAGGTACACAGAGAGTGTACGTGAACGGTGTACAATTAGGCAGCACATCCGCTTCAGCCTTCAGCTAAGAGGCTTACAATGGGAGGGACCATCGCTTTAGGGAACCAGGTACAGAGTGGTAAGGATACAAATTACATATTCGGTGGACAGTTATTCAAGCTGAACTGGTATTCTGAAGAACTGACCTCATCCCAGATAAGAGAGATGTTTGAAGCTGGCATGTGTTCTACTGTAGAGGAGGAGTATAGCAGCAGGGAAATAAAATGGGAGCTGATTCTGACGAAACAGAGATACGGCAATGTTACAGAGTTTCTCCCAACAGAATGTGGAGTAGACTGCAAGACCAAGCTGGAGGAAACACAGACGAAGCTAAATTAATCAGAAACCAAGCTACAGAAAACACAGACAGCGCTAGAGGAATCAGAGACCAAGCACCAAGGGACCAAAAGTGTGCTAACAGAATCAGAGACCCAGCACCAAGGAACCAAGACTGAGCTAAGTGAATTAGAATCTGAGCTACAGGAAGCATGGACAGCGCTAGAGGAATCAGAGACCAAGCACCAAGAGACCAAAAGTGTGCTAACAGAATCAGAGACCCAGCACCAAGGAACCAAGACTGAGCTAAGTGAATCAGAGACCGAACTACAGCAAAAAGAAAACAAACTAATCAAAACCGAACAGGAACTACAAGAAATAACTAAAACTCTAAACGACACTCTATCGGAACTAACAGAGATGAAAGAGAACAAGGCTGATTGTAGGGAATTAAAGATGAAGCTCCAGGAAACTGATGCCAAACTTAACAGCACCCAACAGGAACTACAAGAAAACACGAAAACTCAGAACGGAAACCTTTTGGAGGAGGCTAGAAGTCTTGAAACTGTCAGTAGATGGGACGTTTTGTTCACTCCCCCTTACCTGAATAAGCTCTTTACACGGCAGCTCTACAATCAACTGACCAACTGCAGTTGGGATATGATGGGTAATTCTTAACTCTTTTCTTCTTGTCGGTTTTGTATCTTTCAGAGAATATTAGTTATACAGAATACTATATTTAAATAACAATGAATCAGATAAAGAATACCACTGATCTAACCAAACTTATAACATTTCAGAAGAGTTCATTGGGGTGAACGTTACAGTGGGACTGGTGGAGCATTTCAGACAAAACCACGCGGAACACGAAACTTGCGACGAGGAATGAACTGAACATCAGCTACTGTAGTCAACTACTTGTTATTGGGTCCTGTTATCATTTATAATCATCTGTAATCGTCTGCAATCATCTGTAAATCATCTGTAAATCATCTGTAATCATCTGTAATCATCTGCAATCATCTGCAAATCATCTGCAAATCATCTTTAATCATATGCAATCAACTGCTTTAGAGCTCGGCTAATAGCCGGCTAGTGACCGCTTAGTAGCCGGTTAGTAGCCACTTTGTGGTCACTAGCCGGCTAGTAGCCGGTTAGTAGCCGGCTAGTGACCACTTTTCAAGTGCCGGTTAGTAGCCGGTTGGTAATGTGAAGTTGAGGAGCTGTTATTACAAAAGTGGCTACTAGCCGGCTTGTAGCCGGCTAGTAGCCGGTGTTCATATGGTACTGTGCAGGGACGTTGCATAGACGTTGCATAGACGTTGCATAGACGTTGCATAGACTGACCGTGCAGGGAGTGTGCATAGAGTGTTCATTGTGCAGGGACGTTGCATAGACGTTGCATAGACGGTTCTTTTGTTGTTGCACGGACGTTGCATAGACGTTGCATAGACTGTCCGGAGCTAAACGACCAACTTCCCTGATTGGCAACTTAGTCGTTTAGCTCCGGACAGTCTATGCAACGTCTATGCAACGTCCATGCAACAACAAAAGAACCGTCTATGCAACGTCTCTAAAGCAGACCTATTAGTAGCCGGTTCTAAACCGGCTACTAGCCGGCACTTGAAAAGCGGTCACTCGTCGGCTACTAACCGGCTACTAACCGGCTAGTAACCGCCAAGTGGCTACTAACCGGCTACTAACCGGTCACTAGCCGGCTATTAGCCGAGCTCTAAAGCAGACCTACTAGTAGCCGGTTCCAAACCGGCTACTAGCCGGCACTTAGAAAGCGGTCACTAGCCGGCTACTAACCGGCTACTAACCGGCTAGTAACCACCAAGTGGCTACTAGTAGGTCTGCTTTAGAGCTCGGCTAATAGCCGGCTAGTGACCGCTTAGTAGCCGGTTAGTAGCCACTTTGTGGTCACTAGCCGGCTAGTAGCCGGTTAGTAGCCGGCTAGTGACCACTTTTCAAGTGCCGGTTAGTAGCCGGTTGGTAATGTGAAGTTGAGGAGCTGTTATTACAAAAGTGGCTACTAGCCGGCTAGTAGCCGGCTAGTAGCCGGTGTTCATATGGTACTGTGCAGGGACGTTGCATAGACGTTGCATAGACGTTGCATAGACGTTGCATAGACTGACCGTGCAGGGAGTGTGCATAGAGTGTTCATTGTGCAGGGACGTTGCATAGACGTTGCATAGACGGTTCTTTTGTTGTTGCATGGACGTTGCATAGACGTTGCATAGACTGTCCGGAGCTAAACGACCAAGTTGCCAATCAACTTTAAATCATCTTTAATCATATGCAATCATCTTTAAATCATCTTTAATCATCTGCGATCATATATAATCATCTATCATCATATTTTATCATCTGTATTCTGTAATCATCTGTAATCATCTGTAATCATCTGTAATCATCTGTTATCATCTTATAATCAACAATTTAAATTAGCTGTGACATTAACAGTGACAATAGTTTATAGTTTATTATATTATAATAAACTATAAACTATAAACTATAAACTATAAACTATAAACTATAAACTATAAACTATAAACAATAAACTATAAACTATAAACTATAAACTATAAACTATAAACTGCAATATCAGCTGCTGCTATCTATTCTATGTGGCTTTTTTAAATTACTAAAATGTGTCAGTTATATATTAAGCTATTTTGCTGTGGTTTAAACGTCTTATTGATAAGTTTTATTGCATGCTTAAAGTTAAAACTCGATTTTACATCCGTACGCGTAGGGTCATAAGAGTTTCAAATAAATTTAAGTTTTGAAATGATTTTTCTGGTTCCGGAGACTTTAACAAGTGATCGGAGAGGTAATAATTCACCGTACTCTGAGTAAAGTACTAAACTATTACCTGTTCACTCTTTCTAAACTCCGCGATATGGAATTTGAACTGATAACAATTATCATTTAAACTCAGTTGTGTTATGAAGAACTAATTTATCAAAATTATTGAATACGGTTTTATTATTTTTTAAGATTATAGCAAATAACTTACAGCTTACAGTAAATTGATATGTTCCAAGATGAAGTGTTCGTTATTATTCTACTGACCAGCTTCATAACTAACTATATAATTACATCAATAGTAACCTTTCATGATGTTGTTAGAAATGAACAAATTGTCAACCTCCCCTAAATTTTAAAAGATCCTAATATCAGATCATCAATCTTAACTAAATGATTCACCATCACATTCTCCTGGAACAGTAATGTCTCAAGTGGAGATAAAGTCTATAACTTAACCAAATTCAAATTATCTTCCAGATGATACGATAAAATATTCTCATATTGATAACTATCTTGTAAATATATATATAGATATGTGTGCCGAACGGAGATGCCTGGGTATGAAAGTACACATTACAATGCATATAGTTAGGCTATAACATGCGAATAAATTATACGAGAAGGTATATAATATTATGTAAGATATTATCTCGTGTAATAGTTAATCAGCTTGACAATCCTTTACAAATATCAACAGTTCACAGCTCTTGTTTTGAGTGACATGGTTCCAGTTAAATTATTAAAATACAATTTGTCGATTTTCTTAGAGATAAAAGGCTACACTTGAAGCAATTAAAATGAGAGCGCTAGATTTCTGGATGTTTGAAATTTCCCTATTTACATCTTAGTGTAAAAGTGTGTATTTAAACACCAAAACTGCATTTACAATGAGAACTTAAACAGTCAAGCTCTTGTATTACTGGAGTAGCAGGGAGGGGCTACTTATACTCCAGTATATTGTGTATCCAAATGAGCACATTTCTTACTAATATAATATCTGCCTGTCTGAGAAAAAACATGAACTCAGTAACTTCAACTCCACCCCTCGGCCTCGCACGGCGCACATGACGTATCACTGTACTGTATAAAATAGAAACCGAAAGCTGGAGAATCCCTCCAGAAAAAAAGCCAAAGGTATTGCAAAATGCTAACAATAAAAGCAGACTCACCAGTAGGACAGAACTGTACAGACTGTACATTTATCTGGGGTTCCACTCTGCGCTTGGAGAAGTCTCCCCTGGAGACACCAGGTAGGGCTATCTCTGAACCGTGCTCGTGCTCTCCTGTCTCCATGAGATCTAGTGGACCCTGGTCTGTCATGTTATCACTGCGCAGGAACTGGAGCATCGCATCGTAGGACAGGTTCCGGGACACTTCAAAGCGTTTTATCAGCACTGTTTGTTCTACGTTGTATATACAGATGTACTTTGACCTGTTGGGAATTGTGGAAATTTAGCTATGATTTTAGACAATTAAGCATCCCGTATAATTCAACACTAGATAGCCTTCAGGAGTGTGTCAGAGACTCTATCGAACGTACATCGACTTTCCCTTTAAAAACTGAAATTATCAACTCAGATCGCTATTACAGTACAATAAGAGTGGTTGCTAACCTGCCACCAGCGAGAATAACACTACCATCAGCACTGTAGCTGAGACTGGTAAAGCAGCGGTTAAGTTTCTGCGAGTCAGCTGATATGAGATCGTCCTTAGACCGTCCCGCCCACAGGTCGTTCCTACCCTCCACACTTCCTACAGTTACTCCTAACTTCAGGTTGTAGAATGTTATCTCAGAGTTCAACGTCGCTACCGCTATCTGAAGTGTCAAGTGGATCAGGGGGTTAAAGTTTTGGTAATTGGTACATTTTTGTTTTAGGTCATTTTGTCGCAATGCCTCACAAATGGGAAGGAGGGCTTCGTTATTAGCCCAAAAGCTGACGCTCATGTTATTTTTACACAATAGCCATCTTCAAAATTGTTAACGGAGGGGTAGAAGGTCTGAAAATGGCAACATATTTGCTGACGTCATTATAAGTGTTCGAAACAAGACCATCGAAGAAAAGAATTTAAAAGCTGCGGCTGGTATTGGTGAAATGGTCACTTATCTATTTGAACAATGAATAATGTAACGTGAACTGTGACGTCATGTTCACCTATTTAGCTGTTATACATGTCGATTGTCGGAGTGCCTAATGTGTCTAGTTAACCTGCTTCTCAAGATGGGCAATTTGGGGATCATTTTCGAACGATTATGACTTTTAAGGACAATTAAATCGTTGGGTAACCTGCCCGCTGTCCTTTTACCTGACTTCAAAGTTTAATAGCCGAATTCTCTTTAAATAAAGTAACCCTTCAAGTCTGCTGTTGAGTGGTTTTGACGTCTAACGTCATACGGTATTAAAAATAACTTGGACATATAATATTTGGAGTTCTGCCACCAAGATTAGAACACGTGTCATTGTGTACCTGAGTGTTGTCAGGACTAGCCACAACAGCAGTGCAGTCTGAGGAAAGTGTCAGGGTGTCGGTGGTTCCCTTCCGCTCAAACGTGTCCCAGACTCGAGCTGTTTTGTCCCAAGAGGAGGATACCAACATTCCTGGTATAGAATTTCAGATAAGACAGGTAGAATAAGAAACAGTAAACACATCAAACTAATATTTTATTGAGGCCAACAGCTAACCCATCGCGGGTATATTACTACAACGGACAACTTGGATAGGATTAATTTATCATAATTCAATTATGAACAAGCTGGGATGTATTAGTGAAATTACCTTCAGTAAATACGAGAGAGGAGATAGGACCAGCGTGTCCAGACAACAGTTCCAACAATCTTCCAGTCTGCATGTTCCACGTACATACCTGAGAAAACCATTATTAGGTTCGTTTCTCGCTAGTACCATTATATTACCCAGATAAAACTGATTCACTTTTATTCCATTTAAAATCTAAAGCTTTATAGATACCTGGAAAGTGTCCGTAGTTCCAGCAGCTACAATCTCACCACTAGCATCACATGAGACACAACTAAACTGAACCGGTGTAGGACAGGTCATCGTCCGGAAATTCCGGTACCTGGTAACGGAAATAGCGCGTGATAACTGGTGCAGTTTAGATTCACACGAGAATTACTAATAATAATATGTATGATAATTCTATGTGTATTCCTAGAACAGATGTTGTAATATTTAATAAGAATAAGAAAAATGTTTAATATGTTTCTTTAATTGCAGAGGATTATATCTTTAATCATTTTCAAGTATCACGATATTTAAGAAGATGATGCTTGATTATCTGAAAAACCTGTAAAGCTTTCCTTATTAAACCTGTAAAGATCGAAAGCTCTGACAGTCCCATCTAAACTAGCAGAGAGAGCGACATTTCCAGTCTTTCTAAAGTGCACATCAGTTACTCCAGCAGTGTGCTCGTTGAATGTGACGTAACAGAACCCTGTTTCTGTGCTCCATACCTTTACTTTACCATCGTCTCCCCCTGAGTAGGGATGAGAGATGTCAGCTTAGAGCTTGTGGTGCCCAAAACATTCTTTCAGTCTTTTAAAGGAATTAAAGGGGAATTGATCCTGGAAATCACCACCAAAACTGTGTTTAAAATATTTACAATTTATAATAGATAGAATTGTTCAAACATGAAAAATAGTTCGAAATATGAACTTAAACGAGTTACCAACCAGTAGCAATAGCAAGAGAGTCGGGACTGTAAGACACACAATTCATATTGTAACTGTGACCCTGCTGTTTAAGAACGTATGTCTCACTCTTCCACTCCCATACCAGGAGTTGACCGTGCCCCCGACACCCAAACCCTAGCAGATCTCCTGAAGATGTTTATTGTTAACTAACACTGTTACTAACTAACACTGTTACTAACTAACACTGTTACTAACTAACACTGTTACTATTTACTTACTAACACTGTTACTAACTAACACTGTTACTAACTAACACTGTTACTAACTAACACTGTTACTAACTAACACTGTTACTAACTAACACTGTTACTATTTACTTACTAACACTGTTACTAACTAACACTGTTACTAACTAACACTGTTACTAACTAACAATGTTACTAACTAACACTGTTACTAACTAACACTGTTAGTACTAACTAACAATGTTTGTACTAACTAACACTGTTAGTAGTTACTAACACTGTTACTAACTAACACTGTTACTAACTAACATTGTTAGTACTCGTGTTATTCTAGTCATTTCTTTGTTGAGAATATTGATTATTGATTGTAAGTTGTGGTGGTTGTCAAAAATTTCATGAGACGAAATGTATCGAATTCCACATGGAAAATTACCTTTTAAATTGCTTACTTTACTTAAAACTGCAGATCTTATGTAGTACAGTGACTACCATTGCAAATATGTAATAAGTGTAGTAAACGAGCAATTGGAACCAACTGTTCCACTAAGTTTAACCACAGGAATGTAATTTGATACATTATGTTCCCCTGGTGCAGTGTCAATCATTGACATTACTTATAATTTACAGAACTGTGTTTTACAATACTTATCATTACAGACCGTTATATTTATAGTAAAAACATTCGTCTGGAATCTGGATCATTGTGTCTATTATATACTTATTATATACTTAGTACATCTCACAGACTGTAGACTGTACAATGAGCTATTTGTACTAGATAAACACACACAGTCACATGGAATGTAGTATGTTGCCCGGTTAGTTGACAAAATGGACACACACGCACGCACGCACGCACGCACGCACGCACGCACGCACGCACGCACGCACACACACACACACCACCACCACACACACACACACACACACACACACACACACACACACACACACACACACACACACACACACACACACACACACACACACACACACAAATACATCATCACAGTAGTACAGAACAGATCCCTGGAGGTGATACACAGTGCTCATTACACAGAACCATGTCAATGTAATCTGGTAGCACTGCAACTAACAGCTGTATCATCCTACTCATTAGTTGATTGGGCAGCAGAGGAACGTGCTAACTGTAGCTGTCACGTGACTGACGTAACAACCATTATTACAGCGAGACTTAAGGACTGTGATATCTAGAGAGACTGACTGTAAAAGCGTAGTGTGATTAATTTTGCCCTGATTATATCGGAGGCGATCTGGGCACGATTTTCATACTACAAACTTGTCAAAGTCAATGAAACTGAAGCCACAGTGTGACAGAACATTTGGGTATTAATGTCTTTGTGTAAGGACTGAGAATAACACATGTATCTATTAGCAATACTAGCAGGAACCCGTCTACCCTAAAGTGGTGTCAAGACTCGAGAGACTAAAATAATTATTACCTAATTAATTCGCGTTTTTGACACCACTTGGGAGTCAAAATTTTGGGCACTAAAATTCTTATTCCTTGGCCAATTTTTAATTTTTTCATGCTTATTTGAAGGCCATTAAAGCATTTGACCCAGTCAAAAAAATTTCAGTTGTATATCTTTTACGGTTTTTGCGGAAAGTCGCGTTAAAGTTGATGCCGTGGTGTCAGTAAAATGGCACGGATCCATATACATATTATATATATATTTCATGGCTGGACTTCTACACAATAAAAGAAAGCGGTTGTGATTAGATCTTCGAAAGTCTTTGCATCGTTTATTTACATCAATTCTGAGAAATTATATCATTAAAGTAACTACAACAGATACGAATCATATACAATTGAGAATAAATACAAACTAAAAGCAGTGGGAAAATCTGATGAACTGAAATTTAAAAAAGAAACTGAAAGCCGTTAAAAATGTACTCTTATCTTATCTCTTATCTAAATACTGATAACTGATTCTCGGAAAATCACTTAAAATCACAACAAAAACCTGTAAAATTTATACTTAAGTAAAAAATGTAATATGCACGTCTCTGGAATAATGGTATAACTAAATAAAATCTACAAAATATACTAAAACTAAAACTAAGCTCCGGCAGATTTAAAAAGTAGATGGTTACTATCAAGGGTGTTCATACCCCCAAACCGTTCAAGGGTTTTCAATTGGGTCTGGTAGAACCCCTCTCTAGCTTCCATAGCCTTTTCTTTGTCTGCTTTACTAATATTAGGCTCAAATACTAAAGCGTCTACTATAATGACAGAAAGGTGCTTACTGAGTGAGGAATTATAGGAGGCTATGGTACTAAAATCTAAATCATGATCAATATCTAAAAAATGGTTAACTAATTTACAACTTCTTATACCTTTCTTTATGTGACTCTTATGGTTAGAGAATCTCTTAGGGAGATTTGAGGTAGTATAACCGACATACGACTGTTTACAAGTCTTACACTCCATTAAATAAATGAGGTTATAACTCTGACAAGATATATACTTAGTTATAGGGAAAACTTGTTTAGAATGGTGACTACTAAAATTGGAACAGGGGGACAGGAAATTTTGCTTACAAACATAACATTTACCACAAGCATGGCACCCTGGGTCGACAGCCCCGGGAACCGCCCTTAGACTTTCGGAGTCCGGTTCCTGGATCTGGCTTGCAGTTGTTTCTCTCTCATTATCACAGTTTAAAGTTCCACTGGCACGGTACTTATTGTGTACAAGCATGCCACCGATAGTTTGATTCTTTCGATGACTCACGAATACACTGTCCACACGTACCAGCTTCTTCAGGGCCGGTTCAAGGTTGAGAAGGTGCTTATACTTATGGATAATGCCCCCCATGTTGGGAAGTGCTGGATTTTGATCCATCACCATGGGTATTAAACAGGCAGTCGACTCATCCTTGTCTTTAAGGGTATACAAGTTTTTCCTATTAGCTATATCACTAAATTTGTTAAAGGCATCTTCTATAATACTGGAATGATAACCTCGGGCTATATATATTATATATTTTATTACTAAATATATAACTTGTCAGAGTAATAACCTTATTTATTTAATGGAGTGTAGAACTTGTAAACAGTCGTATGTAGGATATACTACTTCTAATCTCCCTAAGAGATTTTCTAATCATAAGAGCCACATTAAGAAAGGTATCAGAAGTTGTAAGTTAGTAAATCACTTTTTAGATATTGATCATGATTTAGATTTTAGTTCAATAGCCTTATATAACTCTTCACTTAGTACGCACCTTTCTGTTATTATAGTGGACGCTCTTGAATTTAAACCTGAAATAAGTCAAGCAGATAGGGAAAAGGCCATGGAAGCTAGAGAGGGGTTCTACCAGACCCAATTGAAAACCCTTGAGCGTTATGGGGGTATGAACACCCTCGATAGTAACCACATCCTTTTTAAATCCGCTGGAGCTTAATGTTTAGTTTATTTATTTTATTTGACATGATCTCAGCCTATTAACCAGTGTTTAGTTTACAATATTGCTATCAGAGACGTGTTATATTCATTACTATTTATATATTTTTACTGCTTGATTCAGAGAAATCTAGCTTTTTCCGAGAAACTAATCTTTAATAGATTAGATAAAATGTACGCAGCCATTCTTTTCGTTTGATTATTACTCAGTATATTTTAGTTTTGTACCGTTTTAAGTCACATAGTTTTGTACGTCTTCCTAAGACTTGTTTTCCTTTCCTAGTTTGTAAGTTATTTTAAAGATTTGTGAATATTCCAGTTGCTTTTAGAACAATTTTATCTCAGATAACGATGTTTAATAAAATGATGCAAAGACTTATTTCGAAGATCTAATCAACACCGACTTTTAATGTGTAGGAGTACAGCTACAAAATATATATATATATATCGTCTCGCTATATTATATAGTAAGATAAAAGGAATATAGGCTGTAGTGTATGTACAATGAAAACCTACACTAAAATTACTAACCCGAAGGACTAATGGAAACTGTAGAGATATCTTTCTGGGAGATTGAGAGGGTGTGTATCTGGTCAAATGTGGGGAGGTCATACAACGTGAACTGACCACTGAAATTATTTACATGTTATTCGTTTTCTTTATAGATATTTATTATATAACTATTCAAATCAAAAATAGAACATAGAGAACATCTTGATGACCTGATAAGTCACCAAGAGAAAAATAACACAGAATAAACTAAATCATGCTTAACTCTCTCCATGCTTTTCTATCTGTTGCAAAAAGTCTTAAATGGTATAAATCGTCTGTATTTACAAGTCTAAAGTTTCTGTCACTTAAATCGTTCAAAATAGTTTTTAACAAGTTTGACTGGTGTCGTCCGACTCTACCTCTCATCAAACTCTGACTCTCTACAGCAAAATGTAAGGCAAGCTGGGCAGGTAAGTTATTATCACTGGCCACTGCGGAGGATGTGACCGAGCATTCTCCACCGTGTACGAGCAACACGCTCACTTAGTGGAACAACTTATAGATATTTATGTTGTGCAATATGCTATAACGTTGATAGAGTTGTCAATCGGTGGTTATCATTAAATATACCTCTCGCTGCATTTTAAGGTAAGGTTTTTGTCATTTTTGCAGTAAAATCAAAAGGTATTTGAAACTTGTCGAGATATCGAAGATGGTTGAAGTGGGGAATTCAACTTGTTTATACTTACTTGGATAACCCGACGACCAGAAGAGCAGATCGCAGAGCAGCACAAGTTATGTGTATTCCTCCAGCTTGATTCACAAAGTTTTTAGACAAAACACTCCACTTACTGAAAAGATCATTTTTAAATGACAATTGGTGTTAGAAACGATTAGTTCGAAAACCTGCCTCCTAATGACTGTTATTTATCTATCTTTGCTCAGAAATAACCCACGCTAAATGAGCGAGTGGTTGGTTGGATCTATAGATTGGTACGTGTTTTAAGAAAATTGCAGATAGTGTAGAGAATAGAGATTAGAGATGTATGAGAAAAGCACACCTCAAATGTTGTAAAATAACATCTGAGAAGATTTACACCTCTCATCTCTTGTCTATTTGCAGGAACTTCTTCATGGTTATCATTATCATTAAAACATCAACCTACCCAGTAAGAGCACTGCGTTCCCACAGAAACATACCACCGTCAGCACTGACTGAGATAACCTCTTGCGCACCACCAGGTCCAAACCAGGCGCCCACCACGCTGCGCTTGTGTCCCGTCAGGGTAACGGGTACAAAGTTCTCTTCTGGTTCACGAGAGAGCACTTTAACTGTCATGTCCACACTTCCACATACTAGGTAACGGGAACACGCGCTCCAACTTATCGTAGACACCTGACAGGTAACAGGATGTTCATTGTTTATTAGCAAACAGCCAAACAAGATAATCAGAAGAGTTGTTCAATGTTCATGATATATAGATATAGGGAAGATTTGGTTCACAAATTGCACAATGAAGCTGAAATACACTGAATATCTCCCCGCACCTCATCGTATTGTCCAGGGTAAGTGCGCACTAGAGTGAAAGGAGTGAACTCTTTACTGGTGCCAGGCGCGCACCACAGCTGCACGTGCTTGCCGTGTGACACTGCAATGTGGGCTCCGTCCGGGGAATAGCTGATGGCACTGACGGGCTTTTTGAAGTTGTGGTGTGCCAGTAATACCTAGAGGGGAGTATAATTTGTTTGGAATGTTGCAACCCCCGGCAATTAAGATGTGAGATGCAGCAAATGATAAAAATAGATTTCATTATAACACTGCACGGTTGCGCAGCAAAGCAGAGTTGAGAGTATTGCAGTTGCGAGAATATTCCTTTGTGTTGAGTGGAGAGAGATGACCAAGAAAGGATTTAAGCATATAATATTCAATATTGTGAAACAACTCACCCTTTTTCTGAGGTTTATAAGGATAGCTCGGCCCTCCACATCGACACAAACCAACATGTTACCGCAGGGTGACAGGGCGAAACATTCCATGTTTTTACGTGTTTCAAATGGTAATGTCACCGTCTTGCTGAAATCAAAGAAATTTGAAAATCTTTTAATGATCTCAATAAACCAATAGATTGCGGTTTGGTTTTCCACAAAATAATATCTGATGGCTGCTAACTGTTTTAACCTATTATATAAGATACTGAACGAATATTAAGAATTTAAAGAATTTAAAAAATTTAAAGAATTTAAAGAATTTAAAGAATTTAAAGAATTTAAAGAATTTAAAGAATTTTAAGAATTTAAAGAATTAAGTCAGAGTCCAGACCTGCCCTTCATATCGAAGATAGTGATCCTACTGCCGACTGGACTGAGCAGCTTGTTACTGTCTGGACTGAAAATGAGGTTTCCTCCCTTGTACACCGTACCGCACAAGTTACTGAACTCATAGCTGAACTTCATCTGATCTCTGTTCAAATTGTGTACAGTCAAGTAATTACCAATTAGCACATAATTACCATGAGTAACACAATTACTATAATTATAAGGAACATTATTTGTACTAGTAACATTCATAATTATTGGCTACATTACATTTCATTGTAATTTGCGAGTCTGTCTATAATTGCACATTTGATAAAGTTGCAGAAGGATAGATCATTCGCCCAATAATTTAAATTTAATCTAATTTTTACGCTTTTATTTTCTAAACTGCAAATTTTATCAACCACACGACCTCATAACTTCATAATATTATAATCCCATTTTCTCATCAATCTAGAAATTATCATGAATGATCAGTACATCATCCAATTGGACTGATTACGTAAATGTATGAGTAACAGTACACAAATACAATACTGCGCCCGTTAATTACCACTGCTCTGATATTGCACCACCTTCAGAATACATTGCTCAATATACACGCTGCTTTGTGTCTTTGCGGGTGAAATGTTATGAAAGGGAGGAGATACGCGGAGCGTGACGTAATAGCACCACAAGAGATATATAATGTGGGTAATTTGCTTTACTGGCTATTTGACTGTCAAGATAAACTGGATTGTCTGGAGTGGCTCACTGTTATACTGGGAACCAGGTGGTTTAAGAAGCTCAGCTTTCCAACTTTACGCAGTGAAACTACAGGAATCTGCTTGAGTGCGAATATGGTTGGCATTGTATATTATAATTTACGAATGTATAAATTGATAAAACGTTAAAAGTAGGTTTCATATAATATATTACCCCTATATTAGCAAAATCATGTAAAAAGCATAAAACATGATACAATTTTAAAACATTAGCAGTACGAAATTGTATCCAAAACAGCAAATGTGTCCGGTTAAATAGGTCATATTCACATCTTGACCTTGATAATGTTAATGTTTAAGTGGTTTAAAATTGTATACGTGCGTCGTCAGTCGTGCATACAGCATAATCGATAACATTATTATGCTTCTCAAAATTTGGGAATCTGATGTTAGATGTTAAACGCGATTTACCATTATGTAAATCTGTCCACATTTGTATAACCATATTTCGACTGGTACTACAAAGAGAGTGGTAACCAAGTTAAAATCTGAACACCAGGGTTAATACCGACTATCTGACTGTTTAGCTACTGATTCCTGCCTCTCCACTTCACCTTCCTCAATTCTCGAGGTTACCTCCGCTGAATGGTCCTCCAATATGCTGTTTACTAACCCCCTGTGTTTCTCCATGATAGTCCGGCACCCCTCATGTACCTTACCTCCCTTAAACTTCTGTCTCCGCCTCTTGCTGTCTCTCTGTAACTTTATCAACTCCAGTTTAGATTTAGCCTGGGCTTCTTGCTTTTGTTTCAGTTTTTCTTCCGGGTCAAATTCTTGAAGATCTGATAAATTGAGCTGGTTTGGGAGGTCGCTGCTGTTTTCAACGAGGAAAGTGTAAAGTTCCAACTTTGCTGCAGGTGGGAGGAGACTGAACGCTTCAGTGAAATCACCAGAGGGAACACTGTTTTCTTCGTACAACGATAAAATTTTTGTCTCAACTTTATGATCAAGAGAGGGCGGGGGTCGCTTCTTCGATCGTTTATGAGATGGCGAGTAATTCAAAAACTTTTCTAAATCATATCCAATATCTGTGACGAATGTTTCAATTGTTCGTTGGAGTTCTTCTATTTTTTCGTAGAGTTTAACTTCATTAATACTTAGTTCACTCATGACCCTGACAAATCAAATGTGGTTAATTAATATATTATATAACTTTATTCAAATCAAAAATAGAACATAAATGAACATCTTAAAGATCTGATAAGTAGCCAGAAAAAAAGAAATACTGATACACAAGCTATATAACAACTTCTTCCATCCCGCTCTATCAGAGGCTAAAAGTCTTAAATTGTACAAATCGTCTGTATTTACAAATGGAATGTTCCTACTACCTAAATCAAATTTAATAGTCTTAAGCAAGTTCGACTGGTGTCTGCCTACTCTACCCTTTTTGGTACTCTGACTCTCTACTGCAAAGTGTAATGCAAGCTGTGCAGGTGAGTTGTTATCACTGCGAAGGACATGTCCGAGCATCCTCCATCGTGCACATGCAACACACTCACTGAGTGGAACCACTTCACATCTCTTGTAAAGGGTGTCGTTTTTGATTATATTAGGGTAAGTCATTCTGATGATTTGCCTCAGATGCTTTCTGTGGCAAATATCCAGTTTACTCAGTAGCTGCTTTGAAGCAGCCCAGCAGCTACAATTATACATTAAGACGGAGACCACCTGGGCTTCGTAGATCTTAAGTCTGGTCTTAAGAGGTATGCGTTTACCTTGTTCCCAAACTTTCTTGTAGGTTTGGAGGGAAGTTGGTCGTTTAGCTCCGGACAGTCTATGCAACGTCTATGCAACGTCCGTGCAACAACAAAAGAACCGTCTATGCAACGTCTATGCAACGTCCCTGCACAATGAACACTCTATGCACACTCCCTGCACGGTCAGTCTATGCAACGTCTATGCAATGTCTATGCAACGTCCCTGCACAGTACCATATGAACACCGGCTACTAGCCGGCTACTAGCCGGCTAGTAGCCACTTTTTTAATAACAGCTCCTCAACTTCACATTAACAACCGGCTACTAACCGGCACTTGAAAAGTGGTCACTAGCCGGCTACTAACCGGCTACTAGCCGGCTAGTGACCACAAAGTGGCTACTAACCGGCTACTAAGCGGTCACTAGCCGGCTATTAGCCGAGCTCTAAAGCAGACCTATTAGTAGCCGGTTCTAAACCGGCTACTAGCCGGCACTTGAAAAGCGGTCACTAGCCGGCTACTAACCGGCTACTAACCGGCTAGTAACCACCAAGTGGCTACTAACCGGCTACTAACCGGTCACTAGCCGGCTCTAAAGCAGACCTATTAGTAGCCGGTTAGTAGCCACTTTGTGGTCACTAGCCGGCTAGTAGCCGGTTAGTAGCCGGCTAGTGACCACTTTTCAAGTGCCGGTTAGTAGCCGGTTGGTAATGTGAAGTTGAGGAGCTGTTATTACAAAAGTGGCTACTAGCCGGCTAGTAGCCGGCTAGTAGCCGGTGTTCATATGGTACTGTGCAGGGACGTTGCATAGACGTTGCATAGACGTTGCATAGACTGACCGTGCAGGGAGTGTGCATAGAGTGTTCATTGTGCAGGGACGTTGCATAGACGTTGCATAGACGGTTCTTTTGTTGTTGCATGGACGTTGCATAGACGTTGCATAGACTGTCCGGAGCTAAACGACCAAGTTGCCGGTTTGGAAAGCAAGATTTGCCAGAATACATCGTCTTTTTATGTCCTCGTTGCTGCACAATTTGGAACCAAGTGAGATAGATGATCTCCAGGGCTCTCTTCCTCGAAGTGGCTCTCCTTTGTCATCAACTTCGTTCTTCTCGGCCAGATAGATATGTGTGAACTCTGTTTTTGATTCGTTGACAAAAAGATTCCACTCCTCCAATATCTCCTTGCATATTGGTAACATGGACTCCAAATTCTTTTTATCCTCGTCTGTGAAGTCTGCGTCGTCTGCGTACTCCCACTCAAGAGGTAGCAGGTTTTCAGCAAACGGAGGGTTGGGTCTTAGATAAGACATAAAGGCACGAAGGTGATAAAGTGCGCCAGCCAAATACAGGGTGAAAAGGTTTCCAGACAAACTATCACCTTGGAACGCACCTATCGTGACAATGAACTCCCCTGATACGGTAGACCTCACTTTAATCTTCAGTTTGGTACATGAGAGTAGGTACCTTATCAGTCGGATGTCGTCTTCACTACAACCAGCATCAGCAAGAAGTTCTAGCAAAACTGATCTCTTAATGGTGTCGAATGCAGATGACATATCAATACCCATTTTGTGTAGAGACCAGCGTTTCTCCTTCACAACTGAAACTAGGATCCGTTGTGTCCAAACAATATTTGCACAGCTATGGCCAGGCTTGTAGGCATTTTGCCAAGGTCCTGTGTACTGAGAAACTTGTCTTTGAATGCGTCTAAGGACTATCATGGACAATATCTTCCTGGTGCCGTTTAAAAGACAAAGAGGGCGCAGACTTTTTAAAGGTCCACGTGGCTTACCAGTTTAATAACGTATTAAAAAATCGCCATATAAGACTTAAATAAATTTCAAACAGCAGGTATATTTACTTAATTCAGGCCTCTCATTTTGGTAATGTGACTTTTTCAAACTATGTAACCACACCTCACTTCGATTGGTAGATCTTAATAGCTAAGACAATAACTTTATTCAGCACTTCATTAGTTTCATATAATTCGGTTTAATTTAATCGAATTTGATTTAATCAGATATGTATGACCTTTTCCAAATTCTGTTAGTACTTCCCATTCGTTGACTTGCGCATATTTCAGCCAATAAAAAGCTTAAAGCTTTAAAGAGTGAAGAAATGACCGCATATTATACGTCGCGTATAATACATATTGACCCACTTACTGAGAACCTATAAGCGGAGTACAGACTACAGAAGTGTTGAACAGGAAATTGCGATGTACGGGAACAATGAGATTCACATGAACTTTACAATTGTCATGGTGGCTGATCCATTCTTTACACCCTTACCTACATCATCTTACATCTATCTATACTTAACAATCCTCTCAACACTCAACTACAATTATAAGCTTTGTGTGCTTTAAGAATGTCACGTGATTCCATATGAAGAGCAGGTATGTGATGAGGTTTCCATCGAGGGAAGTGAGCCTCATGAACAGGGGTTGATGAGTGGTCTGGAGCGGAATACTGTGATATCTAATGATTATTTGCATATTTTGTAAATAGTAACAATGCAATGTTGAGAGAAGATGTAAGAAGAATGTTGTTTGTTTGTTACGAGCAATGTGAATAAGAAGAGTGGCGGCCGTGTGTCTATATTTCATGATTATGATGATTGATGAGGTAGAAAATAGTCGTTTGAAAAAAGACTTTAAAAATATATGAAAGAGACATGTTTTATCCGTACAGATTTTACGTACGCTACTTAAATGTTCATTTGTATAAATATCTGATAATTTACAGTCATAAATAAACTGAACTTGCGAGCCATTATCCACATTTACTATGGTTATGTTTTGAGCGGAGTTTAAATCATATCCTCACTTTGCAAATGCAATATAAGATGGTAGTTACCGGAACATAAATGTGGAGATCATTTAAACTGTTGACAAATGAACAGCATATTATAAAATATACATAATATCGAGATAGTTAGTACATCATGTTAACAGTGATTTTGATCCCAACTGTTTCTAGTTCACTCCTAGAATTTATAATTATAAGATTGCTTATTTCTTCTAAGCAGAACACACCAAGTTTTCAGCAGCTATCGCCTCATTACAAGGAGTTCTTATGACTTTATGATAACAAAAGTTCACAACAAAATGTCGATCACAGTGTCTTTGACTTGTCTGTGGTTGGATCTATCTTAAAACTACCCTTAGTTGATTCCTTCTTTTTGTTGTTTCGGCTGCCAAATCGTGCTCTATTGATAAGAGACTTAGTCTTGTCGATGAATGAGAATTGTTTTGGCGGATTTGAACCGTTTGAAGAGCCACCATGTGGTGAGATCAGGACTCGACGTGTTCTTATACTTCCTGAATTACCAGCACTAGAACCCTGCTGTAATTGTAAAGCCTTCACAGAATCCATTGTAGTGCAGGACCGTCGGGAGGATTTGGTTGAGAACTGACGAGCTGGTTTGCGAGGTGGGAGCGGATTTTTGGGAATCGAAGAAGGGGTAGGAAGTTTTGGTGGTGGCACTTGAACGATCGGGCTTGCATGTGATACAGGTCGAGATCGGCTCACCTTGTATGTCATGTACAAGGGGTCTCCGTTCAGGGAATGACTTCTTAAAACGCCCGGTATCACGGTACGTTTGGGGTGTCTGAAAGAACTGGACCCTCCTAGAGGACGAACATTTGGGAAACTTTTCTTAGCTGCTGACTCTGGAGTAACAGTCAGATCAGTCAAGGCTTGCAAAGCAAGAGCTTTACAAAGGGCAGTGTTTTGATCGTGACTCTCTGATGGGTCTCCAACTTCACAGTTATGATCAATGGGACACGTCTTATTCACAACAGTCGGGGGTTGATCTTGCTTAATTGTGATCACAGTAGAGGGGCTCAGTGTTGCCATCTCAGACATGGGTTCGTAATAAGTGTGTGAAGTTTGGAGAATCTGGGATTCCGTGTCGTAAGTTACAGGTGTGTTTAATGTGGAACTGTCAGGTAAATTCACCTGGTGTCCAAAATGTCTGCTTGACATAGACGCTCTCGAAATTGACAACCTCTCAGAATTTACTGAAGGAGTGTTGTGAGGAGTCTGAGAGAGTGACCTCATGAGAGAGTCAGAAAAGGGCGTTGAGGGGAATGAGGTGTAAGCAGCCATTGTGATCCTGCTGTCAGTATATTCAGACAAACTCTGAAGAAGGTTAACCTTGCTCTCGTCTGCTAAAATGGACGAGACGCCCAGTTCAGGAATTACTGTAGATGGTGTATCTGGATAGATTCTACCAGACTGGCCCCCTAAATTCTCCAGCAGTTGTAAAGAAGCCAGAGCATACTGGGCCATAGCAGCTTGAAACTCATTCTCCGGCTCTATGCTGTCCAGTGTCTGAAAAGCTAGTCTGAGATCACCTCTGTTCTGTGTCATCTGAGCCAGGGAAGCAGATGCTATGTTGTCCATTGTACTCATGACGTCACTCAAGCTCAAATGCTGAGACTCCCACTCCGGAGATCCTGGGCTTCCTCCACTTGAGATGATTTGCTGTAGCGCATCTCGCAGATTCAATTTCATGTCATTCCGACAACATCAAATCAAGGTTAAACGTACGATATGAAAATTAGGGAGACGGGAGGAAAAGCCAAAAATATGTTGTGGCGTCAGAGTGAAAGGTGTAATGCATGAGTACATGGCCTGGGGCAGGTTATGTGGCGTAAAGTTGAGAAGTCATAGCCTACTCTAATTGGACGAAACTAATTGAAAAATTACCAACTTAATTTCTACATGCACATACCTGCTGAAATTAATTAACAAATTCCAACTTCTTTTGAAGTTTGATTTGTAAAATTGGCCGATAGCGGATTACGTGTTCATATTAAAATTTGCCAAAAAGATATTAGGACAGATCTATGGATTCAATAAATAGAGGGACAATTATCATTTCTATCACATTAAATGTCAAAAACGAACAAGGAAATTAATATTGGACTGAGAATTACTGCAAATAGAATTGTTGCAATAACCAGCCTAACAAGATAAAGCATACCATTATAATATATTCTATCTTGTCAACAGTTTAGCTGACTAAACGTCACCATTCACTTATATCAGCGGCAAGATATTTTATAAAAACAACAGCATATAAAACATTCATGTCACTCTCCCAATTAATTTATAGTAAAAATTTGCCGAAACCAGCGACAAAAGGGAATTAAATCACTTAACCATGTAAAGAACTCAAATAAAAGCGGACCTGGATACGCTTCCAAATCTAACAATCTTTTCGGCTATTCCAAGTACCTAACTCGCTCTGCGGCTATATAAAATCTAGTCTTATCATTGATATCATGCCACCCTATAGGTCCAACCTCACAGTCAGCACATGACAAAAACTTTATATTTTCCACTAAATGGGAAACCCCTATGTTCTCGAAAGCCATTAAAGAAGTAAGCAACCAAAACTTAGTGACAACTTCATTTTCTGGTGCATCTACTTTGTACCTAGACATTTTCATTTCACTCTCGACCAGCACCGCTGTGTCTGCCAAACAAATCTTACTAGGACACCTTGGACAATGTATCTCCTTGTTTTTGCTTCCTTCAGCGCATTCAATTGAACCCCACTCCACAAAGGACTGGTTTGTTGGTTGAGACGCTCCGCTGAGCGCAGCTCCCCCCATTAAAAGTTCTCGGAGTTGGTCCGCAGAGAGCTGGTGTTCAGGCCCAATGTTCTCTATATCGGAGGCAGCAGCCGCGACAGCGGTGTCCGGTAATTCTGCGTCACCAGGCATGGTTAGCTGTGTCAAGGATAGTTTGTTAGAATTACAATACATATTATGTAGGGGATTATCTTAAGGTTTCAAACACGCTTTAAATTTAAAATAATAGTTCTGAGCGTGAATTTAAATCTTAATCTTCTCTAACAGAGGCGACAGATAATATCAGCGATAAGAAGGAGGCAGGATTTCGATTAGATAAAACTCATTCAAATTAAACATGAGAATACACTATACTACATTAAATACACATTCGCAAAATTTGTTTAAATCAATTCCATTCACAATCAAAAACCACAATCAAAACCTCCTAATATATCTTATATCTGGTTGAATTGATTTGTCGTATTCTCATAGTCATAGAATTATTGTCATTATTTCATCGATCATTTTATCATAATATTTAAAAACAAAGAAGTAACATTTTGTATTGACTTTTATCAATTTTTCGGAATTGTTTTTTACGAGCTCGGCATAGTCGAGCAAATTGTAAACGAAGTCTTTTAATGATTATCAATATCATCTGAAATTTTTAAAAACCTTCGAAATAATTAATTTCACATTTCGACAAGAACCCAAAAAACAAGGCAAACAAAAATAATAATTCTAGCTCAATGCTTTCTAATAAAGCTTGTAGGTAGGCTGAGTTTAATAAGTCTATCGAAACACTAACTCACACAGGACATTGACAACGATTAACTATTATAATGCTACTGTCAAAACGATTGAAACCGTCCGGCACTATGTCCGGCACTATGTCCGGCACTATGACCAAAACTACAGCCTCAAAGTTCCAACCTCAGTGATATACTAACTCCAGGACGTCATGCTCCAAAATATGCAATACCTTAAGTTCAGTTTTTACCCCTACAGTAACCCAAATTAAGCCGATTGCCTGGACCCAAAGTAATAACTTTTAAAACAGTTTTGTGCTCAAATTTAGAAGAACACGAAAATTTTAAAGATGAAAATATAATGTCTGTGCTAAAGCTTGACAGTTGCAACTAAAGAAGGAGTAGTAGTATCTAAAAGTAAAGGTATCAGGTTCTAGTCTATAATAGTGTATACACAACGAATAAGGTCCTGTTCCAGTCGGCCTAAAGGACAGTACCCTTTTGAAGCAACCTTAACTCGAGTCAATCTAATCTGCAAAAGCCCTCCTCAAGTGCAACGATGGAATTTTATGACTATGGACCGAGCTCGGAGCGAGACTTAGTAGTGTTATGTTTTGTTTTACTTTTGATGAGGTACAAAATTCGTTCTCTTATTCAATTACTATTCTGAAAAATCATTATATTCCCCATACAGAACATTTGGTGATGGTATTTTTTAAAGTTATGTGAAAATACCACACGGACACATCAGTTAATAACCTCCATAAATTATCTGAGAATAAAACGTATTAAACATTAACTATAACATTTGACAAGACGTGTCAAGGAAATTATTTGCATACTGCGTAAGGAAAATAGCATAAATCTAATAATTTTAAATCAAAGAAAAAACAAATTAAATTACACACCATACATTAAATATCATATATGAATTATGATATAATATAGCAATAATTTAATATTTAGAATTAGATTAAGATTTAAACGAAATACCACACAAAATGATTAAAACTGCAAGGCATAGATTCCATAATCAGAATCTCAAGATATAATTGTAGAAGGTGGATCGTCTGATAATAACACATAACATTATTATTATAAAAAAACTTAGTAACCAAGCAGTACTCTGGTAAGCCTAGTAACTTGTATATAATATGTTTATATTGAGTCCTCGTTGTGATTTTCTATAGTAGCTGCATCAGCCCAGTCCCAATTAACGTCCAAACACACTACTGAGAGTCTAACATTTAGTCAACATAGTACAAATCATTGAGTGACATGGACAGTTGTTATTCCTATTGAATTATTAATGTCGGTGCTGGCCGGAGCACACACACACAAACAGTGCCACTCAGCAGAGACATGATGATTCGGAGGCTTGGGACTTGTCTAACGGCACTGTGTCTGTAGGCTCTGTCGGCGCGTTCACACTGTCAGCCATCTGAAAGTGAGCGGGGTTAGTGTAGGACTCATCAGGTAATTTCAGTTGTGGATCCGTCAAAATGAACTATACAATTCATTATAATAACCTTATTGATTATAACTTGATAACGTATAAAATTGATTTAGTTTCCACAAGTTGTGAACAACATTTAATAGAACTAATAATTATAGGGTTCATTTGAATAAGGAAGCATTACCTGTACACATATTGAGCTCACGAGAGAGTGGAATGTAGACTGGACACTGTCCGATGTTTTGGCGCTTGCTTCAAAGAACTCATACCCCAGCTCGTTTGCAAGATCCTTGCGAATGTCATTGTTAACTAATTTCAGATTAAACAAAATATTTCGATTCTTTCACATTTTTATGTTTCTGGTTTATCAAACCAATTTATTCGCTTAAACAGCCAATCAGTTCAGTCTCTACACTTCGAGTTGATGTTATAATAAATGTATCACCATTAACTCGTGAAGGTAACATTGTGAATCTTCACATATCAATAATATGTTTTACAAAACCCCCTGGTCATCTTGCTCCTACTGGGACTGAACTACTCTAAGTACATACCTTGCCCCGCTGAGTTGGCACTTGGCACTGCTCTAAGTACATACCTTGCCCCGCTGAGTTTGCACTGCTCTAAGTACATACCTTGCCCCGATGAATTGGCACTGCTTTGAGTACATACCTTGCCCCGCTGAGTTGGCACTGCGCGCTGATCCTCTAGATCACTCTTGTTGGCCACGATAATAATCTGCGCGTTCCCAAAACTGTGTTGCTGTACCTTGTGGTAGGTTATCTGTGTTTAACATTAGCAGTACAGCTCTTCAGAAGTTTGTGCTTCTCTCAGACTACGTAGTGTGTTGCTGCTGACCGGCAGGGAGGCAGTGCTCATGCTCGTGACGTGGTGTTTAATAGAGGTTTAGTTTGTGGAGTTCAGAGATCGGAGCTGTTAACGTCTGTCACGTGCACTGCCTCCCTGCATATTGTACACACTACCCATTGTACTTCTCACTTCATCTATTGGATATGGCCTGACATGTTGCTTTGTTTGGATACATAATGCTCATAAAGACAGGGAATTGTTTGTAAACTCTCAAAATACATTCTTTCAAGAATATTTCTGATTTTTTCTGATTAGACTCAGTGATGACAACGTTCGGATGACTCACACATTACTTACAAATTACAAACAATTATACAATTCCTCTTCGTTATCATTGAGATTGAAATAACAAGGGATATGAACACAAAACATTCAGCTTACCACAGACACTAAGAACAATATCATGCCAATTGTTATACTAGTAGTTTGGCTGGATTTAAAGGGAGTTAATCCAAGAAAAAGTACAATGCAGCAATGAGAAGTAGAGTAGAGAAATCGAAATTCAAAGAAAAAGATGCAATAAAACGGAAAAGTCTGATTCGCTTCCAAGGGTTAGGCTACAATTTGAGATTTAAAAGTTTGAGCATTTTCTGATGACTAAAACTGCAACAATTGATATTTTACCTGACTGAGCCAGTTTCTGATGTCGAGAAAAGACGTTTCATTGGTTATATCGTACATGACTAAGAATCCCATAGCATGCCGATAGTATTGAGTCGTTATTATCTTATACCTCTCCTGAAAATTAACGTGTTAAGAGTAAATCATAAATCGTGATATAATTAACTTTGAAAGAATTGCAATTTATTCAATGATCGATAAAATTACTACCATCAAAGAGATGGTACTTGTGCCTCAAAAGACTTACCTGACCAGCAGTGTCCCAAACTTGAAGCTTTATCCTTTTATCCTTCACAATAACAGTTTTTACTTTAAAATCTATTCCAACAGTGCTCACAAAGGCAGGATTAAATTTTCCCTCGCAATACTGAAAATAAATTCGATGGACTATTAAGAAGAACTGTATAAGAGAAATATTATTTCTTTAAGGATCTTCAAAAGTGATATAGGAAAATTTCAATTCAAGGAACCAATAGAATGCATTCAGCTACTTTTAAGAATCTTAATTTACAAACCTGCAACAAAAAGGAAGTTTTGCCTACTCCAGAATTTCCAATCAGCAATATCTTGAACATGCAATCAAAATTCATGTCACTGTACTCTGCCCCAGGGTTGCTCTCCGCAACGGGTGTTTCAGAAGCAGTGGGAGCCATTGTGCATTGACCTGACCAGCCAGCCTTCACATTACTCCTTCAATATAATGCGTGTACAGATTAGTATTGTTGCTTTGTTGGAAAATAACAATATTACATAATTACAGAAACATAATTTTTTTCACCTCAGATAGAATACAATACACATTAATTTTGTAAAGACAAACAGCGATTTTGCAAAAATAACTCATAAAATTAATGCACACTGAATTTAAAATTGGGATGATTGTTTGATGGTCAATCTTTGAGTGACGACGCCTAACTCTGCCCCTTCCCTCCTACGGTCCCCCTTACAAGCAAGATGTGTATTACTAAAACAAAATCATTAAGACATATATGAATAAATCTAAATAACTTAAGTTCTTGATCATTTGTTGCTACATTCCACCACAATAGGAAGAAAATGATTTATATTCGAATGAATAGGTTTCCAATAGCAAAACGGTTTCATTTACAAACGTGTTTCTTCAATTAATATAATTTAACAAGTCATTATGCTATAACATCCTATTTCACTTAAAACTCCCAGTGGATAGGGTTATAGTATCAAGGTACTCGATAGGCTGAGGAGAAGCAGTTTCTTCTTCAATGATTTCTGCTGAAACAAATGCTCTTAACTTAAAGTTTTTAAGGTTTGGCACAACAAGTTGAGGGGTCATTAATGGATCTTCTATAAAGCTACTGGAATCCTCTGATAAGTAACCATATGCTGAAGCAGTTCTTTTGTTATATCTCCAATAAGATCCAGCCCTATCATCTTTTCCAGTTTTTGGTCCCCTATGTTTGAATGGTTTGACGAATCTTTCTCTACGAATGCATGCATTTGCAACACGTCCAATGACACCACTAGACATGATCACTGTAGAAATAAGTAATGGTTAAGAAAATGTAGCAGTGAATTATTTCACCATAAAATATTACAAAATTAAAAGCGAATCAAGAGATCCCAGATCTTTTTTCTTGTGGTTGTATCTACAAACAAAATCAGTCAAAGCATAGATCAATATCAGAATCAAAGGTAATGATGAGTTATGCAAAATTTTAAAAACAAAAAAAAACAAATGAGTAAGCATAAAAAGCAAATGGTATAGATTAGGTGAAATACAAATTTATAACATGTAAATTAAATTTTGTAATTGAGGGATAATTGAGGAGCTTGGTCAGCCATCAGATCCAGTGGCTTAACAAAGTGCCCCATTTACCCCGCTGTGCGGCAGTGCCCAGTGGCGTAACGTTGCCTGTTGCGGGCCCTTCGTTACGCCACTGCTGTGTGGGGGTGCCAAGTCGTTGTTTGAATGTGGGACAATTTAAAAAAACTTAACTTCAGTACTAGCAAAACTGTGCGTTTTGCTCTAGATACCTGAGATACCTCTAGATTACCTCTAGTAACCTGAGTGACTCAAAACAACAGAGTAGCACCCTTGAAGAAAAGAAGAATGGCAAAAAGTTCTTCCAATTTGTCAAGAAAACAGGAAGCAACCTCAAAAGCCGGTTGGTTAAGGTGAAAGAAATAGCTCTGGGGAAAAAGCATGGTCAAACAAGGCCGTGTAGAAAGAAGAACTGTGCAACGTGTGAGTCTATTGATAGTGCTACACAAATCAGCATCAATGGGAAACGGGTAAAACCAGCACCAGGTACATGCATCACTTACAACATCATATATTTGATCAGATGTAAACTGTGTGAGAAACCATACGTAGGCAAATCCACCAGAATGCTACGGGTAAGGTTTGGCGAACACAGAAGAGCATTCTACAAGATCATCAGTGGGCAAAAGGTTGACACGGATGATGACTCAAACTGCGTAGGACTCCACCTCCATATAGAGCATGGACTGACTCAGAAGGAAAATTTTAACAATAGTGTTTCAGTGTGTATCCTAGAAAATTCAAGTCCTAGTAGTTTAGATGTTAAGGAGCACCGATATATACATGCCTTAAATTCCCTCCGCCCCTCAGGAATGAATAGTACAAACCCTTTTAAGATTCCTTTATTGCATAATTGATTTTTATTTTGCCTGAGGGGCTTTCCATAAATTATTTTTTTAAATAATTGGTCCTTTTATTGATGTTTCATATTTCACGGCAGTTTCCTTTTCAGAGTTTGAGTTTATATTTAGAAACTAACCATACTATCTTTTAGATTTATGTCACTTATGATGGCTCCGGCTGAAAGTACTATGACTCATTTTATCTAGAAGATTGTAGTTTCATTGCTTCTGAAGTAGCTATCAGTTCGCCGGTCAATGTTGGGTATAATACTCTTGTTGCTCTAGATACATACTTTTTAAAGGATTTTACCCACGTATCCTCTAATATCACCTAATTTGTCCAATTTTACGTTTCTACTTTAAGAGGGGGAGGGGCACCAACTGGTGGCGCTTTTGCAGCGGGGGTGCCAACATGCAACATTATGCTACTGAATAGATCTAGAATCTTCTAAGAGTACCATAGTACTACAATTTAGATGTATATAATGCCTTTTGTTTAATAGAACCAGGATAAAGGTGCAATTGTGGAATGTAAAGATACTTGGACTCCAAACAAATTTAAATTGCAGTACGTAATCTAATCTAATTGCAGCGGCACACACTTAAAAGCTTTAGTGATTCGTATAAGAAACAGCTACTCTCATCTATAACAACAGACCCTAATTATACCGTCGACAATTCATATGACAAATTTTACACTGCAATCATAGTCAACGATAACTAAGTATCTTCTAATTCTTTTAAATCTGAGGCATATATAATTGATGTATCGAAAGGATATTCCCTTTTTTACCACCTTACCATTCTGATTGATTTTGCACATGACTGACATGTTTTAACTGGAGAAGGGGTTCGCACAGTGGTAGTTTTATAAACCACTTTTAATTTATTGACCTATTATACCTAGTGGTAGTTTTATAGACCACATTTAATTTATTAACTTATTATACTTAGTATTTATTTTTGGTGACTGTATCACCCAGTTTTAACATTTGATAATTGTACAGTTTATTGACGACACATTGACTGAATGTTATTTTATATTCTAATTTATATTCTAGATATTTTATTTATTTTTCAACAGACGACAACTTCCTGTTTTTTCTTCTATATTAGTTACTCATATCTCTTGTACAGACTGTTTTACAAGGACATTGACAGATGATACTCACATTAGGCATTCATTATTGCATCTAAATTATTTCACTTGCATTAGGTTTAGAAATTTATTCTCTGGTTAACAGACTCAAATGTTTAATTAATTTGTAGTATGACAGTAAGGTATCGTATATAAGAAGTTATTTAATTTTGCTTGGGCTATTATATTGACTATTGAGGTTTAATGATGATATGGAATTTGAATATTATATAAATTTACACTATGTGGTTGGGGCATTTTGCATAGTAAATATGGTTACTACTCCTATATATCATATTATTTGATTGGCATTCGATTTCTGGTTATTTTCCTAGGAATATGATTATTATATCTCAATTTGGCTTTAGGTAGGGTGCCCCGCTAATAGAACTGGATTCTTCCAGGAAGCATCCCGTGCACAGAGCTTGGTCTACATATATATTAAATTATTAACCATTCATTCTGTATGTGCACGAAAATTTATTTCAATCAAAAACTTACTATTACTATCATGATTGTACTATAGACAGAAAATCTCTCAAATCGATTTTGGGCGCTTTTAACCATTTGTTGTAATGTTTTTAAATACTAAATATCTAAATTTATATTTACGAATTAATTAATATTTAACAATTTATTCGGTAGTTCTATCTGATATTGATATTGATATTGATTATATTGATATTGTTGTTATTGAACGAAGCTAACTCTAGACATACCTTACTCGGGAATATTATGACTGGGATAAAGTGGTGGGTTTTGGAAAATTCCGCCATATTTTTCCCGGTCAAAAATTTTACCAGTCATAATAAAACCCGCCGAGTCAGATTATGGGGTTCCAAGGGGGTGGTGATCATCATATTTTACCTGAAGTCTCATATGTGCTAGAGAAGACGTTTGAAGCAGTGGATGGAGGGCTGTAACTTTATTGGCTGTTGCTACCATAATTTCGTTATAAAAATCACAATTTGGTTGTAGAAATCAGATTTCAGGATAGACCGTGATTCTCATTTCTCTTGGCCTTGCCCATGAATCAGTGAATCGTAGAGAAGAAAACAATTTATATGTTATAGAAGAAATCAGTGGAACGAGAGACATCAGCTGAGTCGCTCAAGATTGATCGCTTCTCGTGTGCAGTGTGTAGACTAAAAAAGAGGGAGTTTTTCCCGTTAAGGGGGGGGGCCAATGGATATTTTTTTGTGAAACTTGATTTCGAGATAGTAGTTGACCAACAAACTAAGACCAGTGACTCTAGAGCAACTCTTGTTGCTCTAGATACATACTTTTTAAAGGATTTTACCCACGTATCCTCTAATATCACCTAATTTGTCCAATTTTACGTTTCTACTTTAAGAGGGGGAGGGGCACCAACTGGTGGCGCTTTTGCAGCGGGGGTGCCAACATGCAACATTATGCTACTGAATAGATCTAGAATCTTCTAAGAGTACCATAGTACTACAATTTAGATGTATATAATGCCTTTTGTTTAATAGAACCAGGATAAAGGTGCAATTGTGGAATGTAAAGATACTTGGACTCCAAACAAATTTAAATTGCAGTACGTAATCTAATCTAATTGCAGCGGCACACACTTAAAAGCTTTAGTGATTCGTATAAGAAACAGCTACTCTCATCTATAACAACAGACCCTAATTATACCGTCGACAATTCATATGACAAATTTTACACTGCAATCATAGTCAACGATAACTAAGTATCTTCTAATTCTTTTAAATCTGAGGCATATATAATTGATGTATCGAAAGGATATTCCCTTTTTTACCACCTTACCATTCTGATTGATTTTGCACATGACTGACATGTTTTAACTGGAGAAGGGGTTCGCACAGTGGTAGTTTTATAAACCACTTTTAATTTATTGACCTATTATACCTAGTGGTAGTTTTATA